TCTCTGGTGAGTCCTTTCACCCTCCCGCGCCTCTGGCCTGTACCCCAGCTCTTGTATAAATAAATAAATTTAAAAAAATTAAAAAATATATATAGAAAACTATAGAGGAATGCAAAGAAACAGAGTTGCTTCTGCAAAAAGATCAATAGCATTGAAACTTTTAGTCATATGGAGGCTTTCCAGATATTTTTCACTATTGACTTCTAATTTAATTCCATTTTGACCAAAGAACATACTTCTGATGACCTGAATCGGAGTCAGCTGCACTCGCAGCGGCGGCCCTCTGGGGTGAGCTCTGCACTGTCCGCAGCCTGCTCCCAGTAGAGAGGCGTCTGATACCCTGCTAAATGGATGTTTCCCTAGTTCCCTCCTTCTTCTAACGGTTTTGTTTGCATTTCAAAGTTCTATCACTCATATAATTGTTATATGCTTTTAATGAATTGATTCTTTTATCACTATAAAGTGCTTTTTAAAAAAGACATTTATTTCTGCATACAACAGCTGGGGTGCAGACCAGAGGTGAGTGGGGTGTGAGAGGACCCACCAGAGACAGAGCGGGGAACAGAACAGGCAGACGGACTGAAACACACTGCAGAGGGGAGCAGCGGGGGAGACAGGAGAGGTCTGCCGTGCCATGTGGGTAGCTCCTGGCCAAGATGGAACTCCGGCCGCAGTGGCTGCCGACAGCTTCATAAGTTGTGTCTTAACCCCTTGCGCCACCAGGGAGGCCCTATAAAGTGCTTTTTATCCCTCGTAGTTTCTTACTCTGAAGACTGCTTTGCCTCATGGTAATGGAGCTGCTCAAATTTTCATTTGAACTTTTTTTTAAAGATTTATTTATTTATGCATACAAGAGCTGGGGTACAGGCCAGAAGTGGGGGGGTGAGAGGATTCACCAGAGACAGAGTGGGGAGCAGAACAGGCAGATCGACTGAAATCCACTGCTGAGGGGAACAGAGGGGGAGACAGGAGAAGTCTGCTGCGCCCTCTGGGAAGCTCCCTGGCCTGCTGGGGATTGAACTCGTGCTGCAGAGGCTGCGGATTGCTTCAAAGTGCGGTGCTTAACCCCTTGCGCCACCAGGGAGGCCTTTAAATTGAACTTCTTATAGATCATAGACAATTGGGTCCCTTTTTTATGCAATCTGAAAACATGCCTTTTAATCGGCACGTGTAGACCCTGTGATGCGGTCATCGATGTGGCCGCTGAAGGATGAAGTCCTTCAACCACAAGGACAAAGCCTTTCCTTGAGGGAGAGTGGGCAGGGAGTGGGCGCAGCAGAAAGGAGGCTGTAGGCGCTCCCCCCTCAGGAGCTGTCATTGCTCCGGCTGGTCACACGTCTAGCACCATGCATGTTGACAATAAAAAACAGCCTTCGAGCTTGCCAGATGATGAGTGTGGACGGGAACAGCCTGGCGACTTGCAGTTCAGGACATGTGCGGCCCAAATTGGCGAATGCAGGTCCGCTGGCTGGGTAAAAGGACTGCAGCCATGTAGAGAACCCCCCACCCCCAGCTCTGGCTGCTCTGGCGGGCTGCTGCTCCTCCCCAGACAGGATGAGATGACTCTGGTCTGCAGGGTGGAGATGCAGCAAAGACAGGTGCCTGCAGGTGCAGGGACTGATGGCGCCTCAGCTCCCTCTGCAGGCCTCCTAGCTCCAGTGGCAGTTGGGGTGACCTAACAATTTCCTCCTTTTCTGTTGCTCATTGTCTATTGGATTTCCGGTTCCTCTCCTTAATTTACAAACATTCGGGCCTCCCTGGTGGCAGCAAGGGTTGAGTCTCAGCGCTATCAAGCTGTAGGCAGCCACCTCGGCCTGAGTGTGATCCCCAGCCAGGGAGCTACCCACAGGGCACAGCAGACCTCTCCTGTCTCCCCGCTGCTCCCCTCAGCAGTGGATTTCAGTCAGTCTGCCTGTTCTGCTCCCCGCTCTCTCTGGTGAATCCTTTCACCCTCCTGCGCCTCTGGCCTGTACCCCAGCTCTTATATAAATGAAAAAAAATCTTAAAAATTTACAGGGGCCTCCCGGGTGGCGCAGCGGTTGAGCGCTGGGTTGCGAGGCTGCCCGCAGCCTCTGCAACGCTTGTTCGATCCCCGGCCACCGGGTGAGGGTCCCGCATGGCGCGCAGACCTCTCCTGCTGCCCGCTGCTCCCCTCAGCAGTGTCCTTCGGTCCTTCTGCCTGTTCTGTTCCCCGCTCTGGCTCTGGTGAATTCTCTCACCCTCCCGCGCTTCTGACAGTGCCCAGTGCTTGTATAAATAAATAAGTAAATCTTAAAAAAAAAATTTTACAAACATTCCTTTTTTCATAAATGATAACCCATGATTGCTTTTGATACTGCAAGTACCTCCACCTGTCTTCCCTTTTTTTTTAAGATTTATTTTATTTATTTACTTATGCATACAAAAGCTGGGGTGTAGGTCAGAAATGCAGAGGGTGAGAGGATTCACTAGACAGAGTGGGGAGCAGAACAGGTGGATACACTGAAGGTAATTATTTCAGACTGTCAGCCAGTGATATGAGACTTCTTAGCTGAATTATAGTTTTTGAATACTGGGAAAAATACTGCCTCAATTGTGTGTGTGTGTGTGTGTGTGTGTGCATGCACACGCACTATTCACAGGGTATTAACTACAGACATTGAAGTTTACTCTTCATTGTTATCATTTTCTCTTTTTTAAAATTTCTTTTTAATATATGTATTTTTTTAATATTTATTTATACAAGGACTGGGGTACAGTCAGAGGCGAGGGAGGTTGAGAGAATTCACCAGAGACAGAGTGGGGAACAGAACAGGCAGATGGACTGAAGACACTGCCGAGGGGAGCAGCGGGGAGACAGGAGAGGTCTGCTGTGCCATATGGGTTTCTTCCTGGCTGGCTGGGAATCGAGCCATGGCTGTAGAGACTGCGGACAACTTCACAGTGCGGCGCTCAACCCGCTGTGCCACCGGGGAGGCCCTTAAATTTTCTTTTTATTTATATATTTTCCATCATTGTTCATTTTTATTTATTTTTTAAAGATTTACTTATTTTTATACAAGAACCAGGGTACAGGCCAGATGCGCGGGAGGGTGATAGGACTCACCAGAGACAGAGCAGGGAACAGAGCAGGCAGACTGACGGAAATACACTGCTGACGGGAGCAGCGGGGACACGAGAGGTCTGCTGCACCATGTGGGATTCTCGCTGGCCGGCCGGGATCGAACCCGCGCCGCAGAGGCTGTGAACAGCTTCACAGTGCGGTGCTCAACCGCTTGCACCACCAGGGAGGCCCTTTCATTTTTAAACAATGTTTGCTTCCCCCCACCCCCTTCAGGTGTAGTCCCCACAGAATTTCCTTCACCCGTGCACCTGTGCACCATCACCACAGCCCCCTGTGCTCCGCCCTCCCTCCCTCTGATCCCTCCTCATCCCTCTGTCCTTTTACTTAGCTAGACAATCAACAAAACAATCAAGCCCTGATTTGTAGTGTGTGTCAAAATTCATGGTGCAAATGTGACCACTGTCTCTGAGTTCAAGCTCCTTCCGTGGAAGGAAGCTGGGGTGAGCTTGCAGCAGCACATGCTTACACCACATTCCCAGAGTGGTTACCAGAGGCATAAATAACGTCTAGGAAGTGGGAACGCCTTGGAAGTAGTAAGATGAAGTTAGTATCTTGTAAAGGCAAAGTAGTAAAATAAATACAATGGGCTAATGAGAAACTTGTGAAGGTCCTGGAAATTTAACGATGGGTTCTTGCAAGGCTGTGAAAGCTCCAGCACCCAGCTGTGGGGGGGCAACTGGTACAGCCCCCTGGAGAGCCTCTGGGAGTCCTCTGTAACATCACCTGGTGCCTTTGAGCAACGCCCCTGCTCTGGGGCCTGTATCTCCCAGCCCTCCCAGTCAAGAGGAGCTCCGACCAGGCTCTCACAGGCTGTTTGCAGGGCAGGCAATGGGAAGCAATGTGAGGGCTTAATCCTTGGGGAATATAAAGTTACCGTGCGGTGGGTCTGTCCGCTGAAGACACAAAATACAGGGTTGTCATTAGCATTTGTCGGCACACACGTCAGGACATACTCCAAGCGCAGTAGAGCAGGGGTGAGGTGCTGGGGGAGAGCAGCGCGCTCTGGGGCTGGCGGTGGAAGAAAGACTTGGATGAAATAAAACCACAGTCTGCCCTCACCCCAAGCAAGGAGGACAGCGGGCCCTGACCCCAGGGCACTGCTCTGCAGCCCTCGCAGCAGCCCAGGCGCGGAGAGAAGGGGAGGCCGGACCCCTCCCAGTGGACTCAACCAAGCGGAAAGAGGGAGACTGAGCCATTAGGAAGACACAGGCTCGCGCTCGCGGTCCCCCAGACGGCGCGTGACAGGAGTGGGCAGACGCGCCGGACGGGGGAGGGAGGCGCGGGCGGCCGGAGGACAGGGCTGGGAGGTCGCCCCTAGGCGCGCCTTCCTGCGGTCAGAGGCCGGTTCCCGGGCTCTGGGCCCGGAGACAGGGGCTGCCTGGGGCACGCGAGGCGCTGCCCGGGGGAAGCCCCTGCCCCGGACGGTCCGGCTTCAGCTGAAATCTCTGCTTTGCGGCTTCACGGCTGCCGCCCAAGGACGGCTCGGGCCGGCCCGCGGTGCCGGGGCTGACTTCGACCCGCGGGCCGGACGGCAGCGCCGGCCACGCGGGAGGGGCCGCCCCAGCCCCGACGGGTGCGGGCGGCGGCGCAGGCCCCAGCGAGCGCGGCCGCCGGGACGGGCGGGCCAGGCCGGGGAAGCCGCGCCGGCCCTCGAGCCGCGATCCGCAGCGCCTCGGCCTGGCGGGCCCTCGCGGGAGTGAACGGACGCGCGCCGGGGCCCGCCCGCGGGGAGCCCCGACTCTGCCGCCGGCTCCGACGGCCCCGGGCGCGCGGCGCGCCCCAGCTCCCGCGGGCCCTCCGGCCTCGCCTCCGCGCGGCGCGCCGCCCTGACGTCACCCTCCGCGCCGCCCGCCGGCCCGTCCCTCCCGGCCGACGCCCCGCCCAGGCCCCGCCCCCGACGCCATGTTGGGGCCCTGCGGCGCGTAGGTGTCTCCATAAGATGCCGGCGCGGCGGCGCCCGGCCCCCCAAGATGGCGTCCATGCGGGAGAGCGACACGGGCCTGTGGCTGCACAACAAGCTGGGGGCCACCGACGAGCTGTGGGCGCCGCCCAGCATCGCGTCCCTGCTCACGGCCGCGGTCATCGACAACATCCGCCTCTGCTTCCACGGCCTCTCCTCCGCCGTGAAGCTCAAGCTGCTGCTCGGGACGCTGCACCTCCCGCGCCGCGCGGTGGACGAGGTAGGGAGGCGGCTCCGCGGGCCGAGCGGGCCGAGCCCCCAGCCCCCCCGGCACCCCTCCCCCTCCTCCCGCCCCCCGGCACCCCGCTCCCCCCCAGCCCCCGCCCCCCAGCTCCCCCAGAACCCCGCCCCCCGCGTCCCCCTTCAGCCCCGCCCCCGAGCGCGGAGCCGGGCGAGGGCCGTGACGCCGCTGGTCGCTCCGGGTCCGGCGCCGCCTCTGCGGCCGTGGGGGGCGCGCGGCGTCCGGGGCGCGGGGGCGGGGGCCGGGGCGGGCGGCCTCGGCCCCCCCGGCGGCTTGGGCATGGGGGCGCCCCCGGGGGCCGCTGGGGACCCCGGGACGGAGCTGGGAGAGCCGCCCGGCCCGGCGGTCCGGCCCGAGCGCCCCTCGGTTGCTGGCGGGTCGCTTCGGCCGCCGCCGCCCTGGCAGTTGAGGCCAGAATCGAATTTTGAATTTTATCAAACGCGTAAAATCCCGTCGCAGTGAGGCTCGGGCCCCGCCCGGACAGCCCCGCCCGCACCCCCAGCACCCCCCGTCGTCGTCCTCCCCCCCCCCCCCCGTGACGCGCTGCGGGGTGCCTCGCGCTCCCGGCGAGCTTTGAGGGGCCGCCCCCTGGAAAGGGGTGCAGCTGTTTTGTGCTTTCCTCTTTGGAGCGTTTGTTTCCTGACGGCGGTGTTGCCTCCCGAGCGCGCTGCGGCACGCAAGCTGGCGGGGCACCTGCAGTATTTCTTTTTTTAAGATTGATTTATGCACGCAAGAACTGGGGTGCAGGCCAGCGGTGCGGGGGTAAGAGGACGCCCCAGAGACAGAGTGGGGAACAGAACAGGCAGACCGAGGGAAATGCACTGCTGAGGGGAGCAGCGGGGAGACAGGAGAGGGCTGCCCCGCCCTGTGGGCCTCTCTCTCTGGCGGGCGGGATGGACCCGGCGCTGCGGAGGCTGTGGACAGCTTCACGGCGCTGCGCTCAGCCGCCTGCGCCACCAGGGAGGCCTCGCTGATTTTTTTTTAAAAGATTTTATTTATTTATACAAGAGCTGGGGTACAAGGCAGAGGTGTGGGGGTGAGAGGATCCACCAGAGACAGAGTGGGGAGCAGAGCAGGCGGATCCCCTGAAACATGCTGCTGAGGGGAGCAGCGGGCGAGTCAGGAGAGGTCTGCTGTGCCCTGTGTGCAGCAGCTCCCTGGCCGGGGATCGAACTCGTGCTGCAGTGGCTGCGAACAGCTTCATAGGTTGCGTCTTAACCCCTTGCGCCACCAGGGAAGCCCTGTCTCTTACAAGTTTTCATTAGCAAATCATAGTGCTTTCTAATTTTTAGGATTTTTTTGTTTTAACTGATTATAATGGGGGTTTTAGGATTTTTTTTTTTTAACTGATTCCTCTGTAATTGGGGATGTTTCTTTGTTTCCATACATTAGAAGGAGACGTGTTTTAGCTGTATTAACATTTGTCAGAGAATGTGGTCTACATTATTTCAGTCACCTGAAATCTAAGATTTGCTTAATGGCAAAGTATATGGTCAGTTTTTGTAGACCATGTATGAGCTTGAGAACCTTATTCTCTAGTTTTGAGATCCCTTGTGTTAGTGAGATCAAATTTGCTTGATCATATTGCATAGGTTTACTGTATTAAATTATCAAGTAGTGAGGAGTGTGTTGACCTCTATTATGAATTTAGTTTTTCTTCCTTACAAGTTTGTCAACTTTTGCTATAGTTGCCTGGTGAGCAGAGCCATGGATCTTTATATAGCGTATTCTGTAGCTGATGTTTTTTCCTTAAAGTCTGTTTTTTCCTGGCATTTATTATATAGTTTTTTGTTGGCTTTCCTTCACTGATTTTTCTTTACACAGAGCGTGTGCTTTCGGACTGACCTTGTTACCAGAAAGTTTAGTGAAAGACTTCATTTAGCTAGACTGCTAAAGGACTGAGCCATTCTGGGTAATTTACTTTTCTGAAGAGCATTTTTGTTTTTCATTTATTTTCTTAGTATGAAGAACTTTTCTAAAATATCTTTTTTTTTTTTGTGTGTGAAAGATTTATTTATGCATATAAGAGCTGGGGTACAGGCCAGAGATGTGGGGGGTGAGGGGATTCACCAGAGACAGAGCGGGGAGCAGAACAGGCAGATCGACTGAAATCCACTGCTGAGGGGAGCAGCGGGGGAGACAGGAGAGGTCTGCGCGCCATGTGGATAGCTCCCTGGCTGGGGATCGAACTTGTGCTGCAGAGGCTGCGATTGCTTCATAGTGCGGTGCTTAACCCCTTGCGCCACCAGGGAGGCCCTCTAAAGTGTCTTAATTCACTTGTGTCTGTTCTTTATTTTCAGTTGTTTAAGGACCTGATGCCATCATTCTTAAGACCATATTTTTCTACATAGGACCATAGTTGCAAGACCCGGAGGGACTAGAGGACTGGGTTGGATGTGTCCCATGCTATATGAGACACAGGTCTCCAGAGTCACAGAACCAATAGGGTGTGTGTGTTGGGGCAGGGGTGGGGAGAGTTGTGTTTTGTTAAAAAAGAATGGACTGCTGTGATCCTGGCATCTGAAGTTCTGAGGCTGGAGAGCCATGAGAGCTGATCTAGGCCAAAGTCACCAGGCTGGAGACCTAAGAAATTCAAACCCAGCTCTGTGGTCAAGACAGGAGTGTCATCATGCCTTGTTCTGTTTATGTCTTAAGTTGATTGGATGAAGCCTGCCCACATGGGGGGGCGGGGGCAGCAGTCAGCTTCATTCCTCCAGTTGAAATGTTACTCTCATCCACCCTCACAGACACTCCTGGTATCTTGTTTGAGCAGATGGCTGTGGTCAGTCCAGTGGACACATAAAACTGACAGTTATACACAGCATCTGCTATAACTTGTGTTCCTTAATGAAATCCCGAAGCCATCACTTGTTTGTGATGTGATCTGTATCTCCTTTTTTTTTTTAAAAGATTATTTTATTTATGCATACAAGAACTAGGGTACAGGCCAGAGGTGTGTGTATGAGAGGAATCACCAGAGACAGCGGGGAGTAGAACAGGCAGGTCTACTGAAATCCACTGCTAAGGGGAGCAGCAGCCAAGGCAGGAGAGGTCTGCTGCGCCATGTGGGTAGCTCCCTGGCCGGGGATTGAACTCAAGCATAAGTGGCAGTGGCTGGTGATAGCTTGATAGCGCTGAGCCTTTAACCCCTGCGCCCCCAGGGAGGCCCTGATCTGTTCCTCTTAACAGCCAAGTGAGCAGTAGTTCTCAGCCAATACCAGGGAGGACTTTCCTCATTTGGTATTTTATTTTTTTCACTGAAGTTATAGAAATGAATTCAGGCCCCTCCTCTCTTTAGACTTCACTACCTGGTTAGGGCAGCAGGAATGAGGTCTTGAAGACGGAGGCAGAAGACATCATACATGCAGTGTTTGTTCACTGCAAAGTCTCAAAATGTAATAATGACTTCATGATGTTTTAGCTCTATTTGAAAGGACTGTGAGGAAACACTAATGAAGCCAGTGTCAACTCCAGAAGGAAGTTTTAGGGAGAACAGAGGTGACTGAGAGAGAGCTCCCCGCAGAGTCCTCTGGGCAGCCCTAAGGTTCTGGTCATCACCGTCTGGGGGCCATGCGCGCATCAGCCAGGGCAGCGAACAGGATGCTGTGAGAGTGACATGCCCTAGCAAGCCCTTTTCTTCAGTCACTGTGGCCACCTTGCTCCCGGAGGGACTCTTTTTTTTTTTTTAAAAAAAAGATTTATTTATTTATTTACGCAAGAACCGGGGTACAGGCCAGATTCGCAGGAGGGTGAGAGGACTCACCAGAGACAGAGCGGGGAGCAGAACAGGCAGACGGACTGAATACACTGCTGAGGGGAGCAGCGGGGAGACAGGAGAGGGCTGCTCGCCGTGTGGGACCCTCGCTGGCCGACCGGGATGGAACCGGCGCTGCAGAGGCTGCGGACAGCTTCACAGCCCGGCGCTCAACCGCTGCGCCGCTGGGGGAGGCCCTGCTGGAGGGACTCTTGTCTGACTCAGCCTCTCAGAAGCTTCCCTATTGGATGTCTTGTCAGGAAGAGGGAGCCGTCCCACTCGGGCCTGACGCTCAGAAGCTGCCTCCAGGTCGTCAGACGCGTCACAGGCCTTCCGTTTCTGACGGCATGTTTTGGTGAAAAAAGGTTTTTTTTTTTTTTTTTTTAATAGAGGCATGTTTGTTTATTTATTTATTTATTTGTTTGTTTGTTTGTTTTGTTTATACAAGCACTGGGTACAGTCAGAAGCGCGGGAGGGTGAGAGAATTCCCCAGAGCCAGAGCGGGGAGCAGAGCAGGCAGAAGGACCGAAGGACACTGCTGAGGGGAGCAGCGGGCGGCAGGAGAGGTCTGCGCGCCATGTGGACCCTCACCCGGCGGCCGGGGATCGAACCAGCGCTGCAGAAGCTGCGTGTGGGCAGCTTCGCAGCCCAGCGCTCAACCGCTGCGCCACCGGGGAGGCCCTGAAAAAAGGTTTTAAGTTTATCTTACGAAATTTGTTGGGTTTCTTGAAATCATGGTTGTAGTTCATCAGTTGTAGAAAACTCTCAGCAATCATCTCTTCAAATAATGGCTTCCAGCTCTTTTTCTTCTTGTCTCTGTGACTCTCCCTGGGGTGTGTGAGACTTCGCTGCTCCGCAAGGTCTCCGCTGTGTTCTCGAGTGAGTCCCTCTGCGGCCTCGCACCGCGTCTCCACTGCCTGTCTTTTCCTTCCTGCCGTTGCTTCTGTTTTACTTCTTTTTTTTTTTTTATTTTTATAGAGGCATGTTTTATTTATTTGTTTGTTTGTTTGCTTGTTTTGTTTTGTTTATACAAGCACTGGGCACAGTCAGAAGCGCGGGAGGGCGAAAGAATTCACCAGAGCCAGAGCGGGGAGCAGAGCAGGCAGAAGGACCGAAGGACACTGCTGAGGGGAGCAGCGGGCGGCAGGAGAGGTCTGCGCGCCATGCGGGACCCTCCTCCGGGGGCCGGGGAGCAGCCGGGGATCGAACCTGCGCTGCAGAGGCCGCGGGCAGCTTCGCAACCCAGCGCTCACCCGCTGCGCCCCTGGGGGAGGCCCTGTCACCTAATTTTTGTAAGGCCTCTGAGCAAAGAATTTTTGGAATGTTATGAGGGGTTATTTCTTTTTGGAACAGTGTCCTGTGGTGCTGAAGCCGTGCGGGCTCACTGCCCCCGCCTCTGCCGGCACTGGCTTGCGTCAGCTGCGCTGGCAGAGGTGCTTCGGAGTCTGTGCCTCCGGGTGGCGTTGTTGAGTCATGGGATGTGTTTACTTGGCCAAAGTGCTGACTTTGTGCCCCTGCAGTGCCTGAGGGCTCCCGGGCCCTGCCGTCAGCGCTGCTGCTGGCCCAGGTTTCCGTTTTCTCAGCTCAGCCGGCTGGCCGGGACGCTTGTGTTCTCGCCGACGTCGCTGGCTGAGTTGGGCCTGTGGCCCCGTCTGTTGACTTCTCGGGCCTTCTCTGTATCGTGGCGTCTGGTCATAGCATGTGCCCGTTCCCTTTGGTTCGCTGCCCTCGTGTGGCTCTGCAGGTGGCTCTGCAGAAAGCAACAAACTGAGTCAGGAGCGGACAGGGCCCCAAAACGGCAAGGCGGGGGGCCGCCGGGGGGGGGCGGAAGGGCCACCCCTGCCTGGGCTGAGACCAGAGAGCCGCCAAAAAGCCCCGAAAGGCTGAAAGCGAGGGCTCCGGCAGCACAACACCCGCACGGCGGGGGCCGGCGGCCAGACAGGGGGCAGTGCCCGCTAGGGGACAGGCCGCCGTCCGGGGGTCTCGCCCGCATGCGACATTGCAAGAGCCGTCCGGCTCCAGGGACGGCCACCAGGGGCTCCGTCTTACCCACAGGGAGACGCGCTCGCCGTACCCACACGGGGCGGCTGCTCACCCGGAGCGCGCGGGGGGCGGGGGGGGGGCCTGGTCACCAGCAGCGCTGCCCGGCGTGAAGGCCCCTGGAGGCGGCGTCAGAGCCACCCGGCGCTCACAGCTCTTGGGAGTCGGCGGGCGACGCCAACAGCAAACAGCTCTTTGAGGCGCCAGGCCCGGGACCCTCGGGGCTCCCCTCAGGCCACCGGCAGGGCCGAGGCGGTCCCGCTCCTGCGGGCGCCGCTCTTCCTCTTTTCCCCGAGCCAGGGGCAGAGTCTCCCCGTCTCCTCGGAGGCTGGAGCCGTCTTCTCTCCCTCGGGCACTGGCGCCCACCCTGGCTCCCGGGCGCTGTCAGGCCCCCACGCCTGATCGGGCCGCTCCTCAGTCCTGTGGCGGGCCGGCCCGCAGCCCCGGACGGGTCCAGTCCCGGGCGCAGGAGGCGGCTCTCCATCACAGGCTCCGAGGCGGGTCCCGGCAACAAGGCTCCGTGGGCCAGTGAGCCCGTCAGCTCCCAGCGCGCACCGGATGGGTCCCCCCGTGGTGCGGGCGGGCGGCCGCCACACACAAGGGCTCTGAGGCCACCTGCCGCGGCTGCAGCGACGCAGACCTGCGGGGCCCCGTGCGGCGCCTCCCTGTGGTGCTGGCAGAGCTCGGGCTGGGGCGTGGGGGGTTCCTCGTGCCCTGTGCTGCCTGGCGGCCTCTGCTCTCCTCTGCGCTGGCGGGAGCGCACCAGGCCCCACCCATGCCCGGTGCGCCTCGGCCTCCTCGGCCCCTGGAGAAAGGCGGGCGTGCGCTCAGGGCCCGTCTGTCCTCTTGTGCCACCGCCCCCGGGGGCCCTCGGGAGCCTGGGGCGCTGGGTGTCCCTGGGCAAGGCCCCCTCGCTTGCAGCAGCGGTCGGCCGGCAGGTCATGGAGAAGGCGGGGGGTGGGGGCAGCTCGGGCAGGACAGTCCCCGCTGCTCCCCGCCCGGTGGAGGGGGCTGCCCCTGAGCACCGGCCCTGCTTTCTCCCAGATGAAGGGTGCCCTGACTGAAATCATCCAGCTCGCCACCCTGGACTCGGACCCCTGGGTGCTCATGGTTGCGGACATTCTTAAGTCCTTCCCCGACACCGGCTCGCTTAACCTTGACCTCGAAGAGCAGAACCCCAACGTCCAGGACATCCTGGGAGAGCTCAGAGAGAAGGGTACGGCGCGCCGTTTGCTGGGGTCGTGCACCCGCCTGCGAGGGAGCTGACCTCAGGGCTGTCGGGGGCCGCCCCAGGGGGTTCTGCGCGCCCGCCCTGCCCTCCTGGACGCGGGGTGTCTCCGCCCGTTGCCCGCACGGGCTGCCCATCCTCACTGAGGGCGCCCAGAGACGCGTCCTGGAGACGCCAGTTGGGTCATTTGGAGCAGGAATGCACCCCCGAGGTGCTGTTTGCAGAGCGCGGGAGAGACACGGCGCCTCCCTGGCTTCCTCTCCCTCCGGAGCGTGGGCGCCGCGGCCCTTGCAGACGCCGGTGCCTGCCCCACGGTGGCCCTGCCCCCTCGCCAGGAGGCTCCCGGCTTCGTTCCCTGTGCTGCTGCCTGCGCGGCAGAGAAACTCCCAGAGCTTTGGGAAGCAGACCCTGGGGGTGGCTCAAGGAGGGCCCAGGGGGGTCCACCCCCACCTGGGTGACCTGTTCCAGGCAGCAGGGCCCGGCTCTGTCCTCTGCTCGAGGTGGGCTTCTGGGCATTCGGGGGGATCAGGAGGCCGGGAATGTGCTGGGCTGCCCTCCAGGGCAGTTCCTCGCCTCCTTCGGGCCGGGGGAGCCCCTCTTGGGTGTCAGGCCCACCCGGGATGTGCGGGCTGCTGCTTCTGCGGACCGGGGGCCAGGCGCGGCCAGGAGAGGCTTCTGACCGGGCCTGAGAAGCCTGGAGCTTCATGGACAGGCCTGGCCTCCCGAGGGCGCTGCCCAGCCAGGTCTGCTGTAAAAAGCTCCTGGGCGCCCCGCAGGAGGATACCCGCCCGGGGCAGTGCAGGGCCCGGTTGCTGGGAGGGGGCGGAGGTGCGTTTGTGGGCGCCGCTTGTCTGTGGGTGCCATGGCGGGTCTGCGGCTCGAGCAGAAGCCGCGTGGCTAACGCTGTGCGGGGCCCCGACGCGCCTGGGGCCTTCCCGACCGCGCAGTGAACGAGTGCGAGGCGTCGGCCATGCTGCCGCTGGAGTGCCAGTACCTGAACAAGAACGCCCTGACCACGCTGGCCGGGCCCCTCACGCCGCCGGTGAAGCACTTCCAGCTGAAGAGGAAGCCGAAGAGCGCCACGCTGCGGGCCGAGCTGCTGCAGAAGTGTGAGTGCGCGGGGGGCGCGGGGGGCGCGGGGCGGCCCCGAGCGGACGGCCCCTTCGTCTGTCTCCCCGGCTCGGCGCTGGGCTCCGGCTGGGTCCGTGGAGGTGCCGCGAGGCGGCCTGTCCTGGAACCCGCCCGGAGCCAGCGTGGCTGCCGCGGGACCGCCCTTGACCCAGAGCCGTGTGGGCCGTGCGCTCGCGGGGTTCCCGGCGGCGGGGTGCTCGGGGAGACGGCCCTGCACCCTCGGGCGGGAGCCACCGCCAGGACCCGGCTCGGCGCCGGGGCGCCACCCTCGCCGCCCTCACCCGCGGCCTGCACAGACGCTGTCCCCCGGGGCGGCCTGAGCGGCGTCTCCGCAACCACGTGGACCCGTGCGGAAACGCGCCGTGCGTGCGTGCGTGGCTCGGGGCTCGCCGCCCTGCGCCGGGGCCGCGGGGGGCACCCTGCCACCTGATTTCTTGCCCACAGCCACGGAGACCGCCCAGCAGCTGAAAAGGAGCGCGGGGGTGCCCTTCCACGCCAAGGGCCGCGGGCTGCTCCGCAAGATGGACACCACCAGTAAGCCGCTGCCGCGGGGCGCGTGCGCCGGGCCCCGCCTGGCCTCCTGTGGGCCACGGCCTCTCCTCGGGCCACGGGGGTGCACCCAAAACATACTGTTTTCCCTCGTTCACGATGCCAGATCAGGGTGAGGCCCCAAGCGCCTCTCGGGCCTGTTGAGCCGAGGAGAGCCTGGGCGGGGTAGCCGCTCCCAGCGCCACCGGCCCGCGGGGAGCCTGTCTGCCTGCACCCTGAGCCGGCCGTTGGCCCCACGCCGGCGCTCCAGCCCGCGTCTTTGTCTGGATTGGGGACAGAAAGCCCAGCCCCGTCCCGCCAGAGAGCGTCTGAGGGGAGACGGCGGGCTGCCGCTGGGAGGCCTCATCCCCGCTGCCCGCTGTACGCTGGGGCCTGGCCAGCCCTGTGCCCCGTGCCCCTTGGGTCACTTGCAGCGGTCACCGGCAGGCCCACGCTCTGGATGTGCTCCCGCAGGGCCTGCCTCTGGGTGGCCCCGGCCTCACCTCAGCACGGCGGCTGCAGGCGGCCTTGGCAGCTCGGGCAGCTGGCCTGTCCTCGTCTCCGCGCCCGGCAGGGCACCCGGGAACCCAGAGGACGAGGCAGCGTGTCCTTGCAGCCTCCTGGGGGGGGGCTGCACTCAGTGGGCGGTCCCGGCCCCTCGGCCGTGCCCAGCCTTCGCGTAGGGCAGGGGGAGGGGCGCGGCTGCCCGGGCCGGCCTTTCTCGGGCTAGCGGCCAGGTGGGCCCTGGGGCCCTGACAGGCAGGACCAGGCTCAGAGGAGAGGGGCCCCCGCTGCGCAGTGTGGGTGACGTGCCGGGGGAGGGTCTGCATGGGCGCGTGTCCGGCGTTTGCCCCGCTGGCTGGCGCCCGCCCCAGTGCTTGGCCGCGGGGACGGAGAGGGGGCCTCATCCCCTAGGGCGCGGGGGCACCCCGACAGCCCTGGCTCACCGCCACTCGCCGCCGCCCCTCTGCAGCCCCGCTCAAAGGCATCCCGAAGCAGGCCCCGTTCCGGAGCCCGACCACCCCCAGCGTCTTCAGCCCCGCCGGGAACAGGACCCCCATCCCGCCCTCGCGGACGCCTCTGCGCAAGGAGCGGGGAGTGAAGGTGGGCGCCCCTCCGCGCCCTGGGCCCCGGGGCACGCCTGGCGCCCGCCTGCCACTGAGGGCGGCCTCTCTGTTGGCAGCTGCTCGACATCTCGGAGCTGGACATGGTGGGCGCCGGCCGCGAGGCCAAGAGGAGGAGGAAGACGCTCGGTGCGTGCTCGGTGCTGCCCGTGGGGCCGGGGGCCGCCTTCTGCCCCCCCCCCCTCTCGCGGGTGCCCCTCCGAGGATGAGCCGTCGGCGCTGGGCACGGGGGGCCCTGTTCACCCCGCTTCCACCCGGCGCCCTCGGCAGAAGCCGCCCTGGGGGCTCGGGCCTGTCCGTGGGGGGCGGCCCCGGCCTGACGGCGCCCGCTCTGCGGCAGATGCGGACGTGGTGGAGAAGCCGGCCAAGGAGGAGACCGTCATCGAAAACGCCACCCCCGACTACGCGGCCGGCCTGGTGTCCACTCAGGTAGCCCAGCGCCTCCGGGCCTCGTGGCCGCCCGTGGGCCCCTCGTCCCCGCTGCGTGTGCACGCGTGGGCGGGTGGCTGAGCCGCTGCCCGCTGGGGCCCCGACGCGGGCAGCACAGCTGTGGGCTCGCGGCCTCCTCACCACTGCAGCTTGGCGTTCCCTCCGTCCGGCAGCGGCGGGCACTGGGGGGCCGGGGGGCCAGACGTGGCCCCCATGAGCTCCACTGCACTGCTTGGAGGCCCTCGCTGCTGGGCACACCCACAGGCGCCTTGGCGGCGGCGGCAGCTCCTGGGCGCCGGGCTGCTGTCCTCGAGTGCCGAACTGGGTGTCCTTGGCACGGGCCTGTCCACCTGCACCGGCGCTCGTGGTAACGTGGTGCTGTGGGGCGTCTCCTTCCCGAGTGCCCTGCTGTGGCCAGGCAGAGGCTAGGCAGCGCCCGCATGCAGGGGCTGGACCGGCGGGGGGCGTCTGTTGGGGCCCACAGCCCAGCCTCCATGAGCCCCGCTGTCTTCCAGAAACTCGGGTCTCTGAACGAGCCCGCACTGCCCTCTACGAGCTACCTGCCAGCGACACCCAGCGTGGTCCCGGCCTCCTCCTACATCCCCAGCTCGGAGACCCCGCCGGGTGAGTGGGCTGCGGGATGGCAGCGCCGGCCAGGACCCCGGCACGCCTTTGGAGGCCAGGACTTCGGTGTCTCTTGTGACCAGCGCAGGTTTTCCAGGGAAAACGTTTTCAGCTGCGTTGCCCTTTCTGGGGACAGACGGGCCACTTAGAGTAGGGGTGTTGGCATCGCCCGGGAGAGCGGCCCGGCCCCCAGCACCCCTCACCTGTCTAACTCTCCCTGCAGCTTCATCTGCTCGGGAGACCAGCCTGCAGGCCAGCCGGCCCCCCGAGGAGCCCAGCACCCCCGGCCCTGCTCTGCCCACGCAGTTCAAGCAGAGGGCGCCCATGTACAACAGCGGCCTGAGCCCAGCCACGCCCGCGCCCCCGCCTGAAGCACCCGCCTCACCCCTGACACCCACCACGCCCCCAGCCGTCGCCCCAGCCTCCCAGACGCCGCCGGTGGCCATGGTGACCTCACAGACCCAGCCCCTGGCCCAGCAGCAGCAGCAGCCCAAGAAGAACCTCTCTCTCACGGTAGGAGTGGCCGCTGGCGAGGGGCCCGCCGGGATGGGGGTGGGAGGGGTGGGCAGCACACGGGGCCCTGGCACCCACACCCCGCCTGGACTTGCAGAAGGAACAGATACTGGCCGCACGGGAGATGTTCAAGACGGCCAACAAGGTGACGCGGCCCGAGAAGGCCCTCATCCTGGGCTTCATGGCCGGCTCCCGAGGTGGGTGCTTGGGGCCGGGGGGGGGGGGGGCGGGGGCGGGGCGGGCGGCCTCTGCCCATGGCCCTGCTCTCCGCAGAGAACCCGTGCCAGGAGCAGGGCGACGTGATCCAGATCAAGCTGAGCGAGCACACGGAGGACCTGCCCAAAGCCGACAGCCAGGGCAGCACCACCATGCTGGTGGACACCGTGTTCGAGATGAACTACACCACGGGCCAGTGGACGCGCTTCAAGAAGTACAAGCCCATGGCCAACGTGTCCTAGGCCGCCCGCCCGGGCTGCGCCGTCGGCGCTCGGAGGGCTGGACTGAGTTTTTAAGATTTTCCCAGGGGTTACCTTCTGTGCGATGAGACGCTTTTCTGTGTTCAGTGATTCTATTTTCAATGCTGACGTTCATCCAGAACGTTCGAGCTTCCCGATCCTAGCTGCGGCTTTCTGCCTGTTCGTCTTTCTACCTTTTTAAAATTTTTTCTTAGATTCCACTGGCCGTGCGGGGGGGGCTTTCCTCGCTGTTGCGGCGGCCTCTCCCTCCACCCCACAAGCTTGAGGGGCCCCAAGGTGGCGCCTGGTGCTGCCGAGACTGGGTGGGGGCCCCGCCGGGGCCGCAGAGCCGGGGGCGGGGCCTGTCCGTCGTGGCTGGGGAGACCCTCGGAGTCATTAAAACAGCGTTTCTAAAGCGAGCGCCTGCAGCCGGCCTGTCCTCTGCTCCCGGGCCCGCTCCTCGGGGCGCCCATGGGCGGGGTCCTGGGCCCAGAGGCCGGCGCTCCTGGCCGCGCCCCCTTCAGCAGCCCCCGGAGCGTTCCGGGGCCAGCGCCACCCCGCGGGCTGAGGTCTGGGCGGGCGCCCTGCCCCGCGGGCGCTGGCCGAGGACGGCACTGAAGGTGGGAAACGCCTCCCCTCGGAAGTGCGACCCCAGGTACAAGAAGGTGAAGAAAAGGGCCTTTAAATGTTTTTAATACAAAAATACTTAGACGCAACTTTCCAAACACAACTTCGCTCGCGATGCTCTCCCCCCGGCGGCAGCCCTCACCCCGACGGTCCCGCCTCGTCCCGCCGCGCCCCCCACCCCCAGCCGATGGCAAGCTTTTAGGCCTGTCCGGACCAGCGCCGGCACCGTGCGCCCCGGAGGGCCCGGCCTCGCCGCCAGCGGGCACGTGCCCGTTCCCATTGCATTTCCGAGGGGCTTTCAAGCTCGACGGCGCGGGCGCCCGAGGGCGGCGCTTTCCTCCGGCTCACCCGCGGCGGCGCTCTGCTGGCAGGGCCCGCAATTTGGCAACGGACGGTCGTTTGTGTTACCTTGAAACAGGCGTGTCATTCCTGAAAACGGGGTTCCGGGCGGTGGGCGTGCGCCGTGCTGCTCGTCCAGGTGAATGCTCGGGGGCGCCAGCCGACCTGAGTGGGGCTGGGCGCTGCGGGACGCCTCAGAGGGCAGGTCAACGCGAGCGTCCCCGGGGGGGGGGCGGGGGGGGCCTGGGGCCACGGCACGGCGGCTCCTCGCTCGTGCGGCCTCGGCCTCGCTGCGCTCGGGTCGCTCCCCCGGGCCGGGCCGTCCTCCAGAGCCTGGTGCCGCCGCGAGGCCTCGCGAGCTGGGATTCTGGAGCTTTTCAGTTAGTGTTGTTCGGTCGCTCGCGGCTTGGTGTTGAAGGGGCGGCCACGTCGCAGTGACCCTTCCGGCACGGCCGCGGGAGTCGGAGAACGGGGCTCGGCAGTCAGAGGCTTCACCGTCGAGTGTGAAAGTGAGTTCACGTTTCCCAGCGCGCACGGCAGACCCGCTCGGCGTTCTGCGTCGGGGGAGGACGGGCCGCTCGGCCGGGCCCGTCGCCGGCACCACAGCGCTCCGCACAGGGGCGTCGGTCTGTCAACTGGTCCAGTACTTCCTCGGGCGACGGTCTCGGGTCCCCACGCTTCACCAGCCAAGCGCGTCTGCACAGCTGGCGGGGCCGGTCACCGGCTCGCGCCTTCCCGGGTCTTCTGCGGGGCTGCGCCCCAGGTCACCGGGGGCGTCGGGGGACAGCTGGTCAGGACACAGCAGAGGCGTGGAACCCGAGCCCCCACAAGCCTCCCTTGGGGAGCAGAGCCTTGCTGGGGTGAGCGCAGCCTGGGGGCGGCCACGCCCCACGGGCTCCCCCCAAAAGCTGTGAGCAACGAAGGGGCCGCTGGCCCAGCCGCACCGAGGCGGCCGTCCCTGCGGACGGCGTGTCAAGTCCTGCAGATCGGATGTCCTTTCAGGTGACGCCGAGAAAACGCCGAAAAAGCACCTGCTGCCGAGTCCCCTCCCAGCGTGGCGGCCCGAGGGTCCTGAGGGCACAGGGCGCCCCCTCTGGGTCCAGCGCAGCTCCGGCAAGGACCAGGACTCCACAGAAGCGGCACCTCTGAGAAGAAACCTCGCGGGGCCATGGCTCCCCGGGGACAGCCCCCCCCCCCGAGGGAGGAGGTGGCAGTGGCTGGAAACGGCAGCGGCTCTGGGGTGTCTCCTCAGGCCCTGGAAAGAGACTTCGCAGAAAGAGCAGCTCCTGCAAACCGGGTCCCGGGGGGAGCACCGGGTCGTGCCCGGGAGGCAGAACACAGCTCAGCACCCACGCGCCCCAAGTCGCCACGGGCAAGCTCGGGGGGTCCCCCAGTTCGTTCCTTCACAGCGAGGACGCAGGGGCGCGTCAGAAAGGACACATTTCAGTCGGTGGTATTTGTGGAACAAGTTTAGCAAAAAACATATTGCGAATAAAAGCCAGAAACTGGTAAAGAAAACCCAAGTGGAAACAGCCCTCCGGGGCGCCCGGGCGGGACGCAGGAGCCCATCTTGCTCACGTCCACGCGAGCAAAGGGGGGCTCCCACGGATGCCGACGCCCTCAGCCACCCGGACGGAGAAGCATCTTGAGGCAAACTTCACATTAGTACGAAACACCCACGACAGCTGTTCGCGCGCGGCGCGGCCACGGGCCCGGCTCCGAGGAACCCGGGGCTGAGCCTCGGCCGGGCCGGGCCGGTCTCCTGAGCGGTGGCGCCAGGGAAGAGGCGGCAGGACACGGCGAGGGTCCGAGAGCAGAGCGCGCCCCGGGAAACGGACTAGACTAGACACGACACGACACTCCGGGCGGGAGAAAACCGTCTCACGGGCCAGCTCGTCGTCAACAACTTTAACCTAAAAACGGGGCGGGGGGAGCCTCGACATTCTCGGAGCTCCAAGTGCAGCGGTGACGGGGGACGGCTGGACCTTCCGAGCCAGCGGCCAAGGGCGCCGGGGCGGCTCAGCGGGGGCCCAGGCGTCCCCCGCTCCCGAGCGGGCCCATCCATCCGTCCTCCCCGCTGGGCCACGGCGCCCCGGGCCGGCCGCCGCCCGGCACTACTTGGCCTCCGGGACCCTCCGCCAGCGCCGCCGCCGCCGCCGCCCCTTGGCCTTGGCCGGCCCCGGGCAGCGCGGCTCGGGCTTGGCGCTGCGGGCCGCGTCGGCGCCGAGGTCGTGCTCGCAGCAGTAGGCGCGCCCGTCCTGGGTGGCGCGGAAGGCCGTGCCCTCGAGGTGCTCCTTGCAGAACGAGTTGGGGCAGAGGTGGCAGAAGGCGGCGGAGGGCTTGCCGCACACGTCGCAGTGGTGCCACGGGCACTCCCACTTCCCTGCAACGGGACACGCGGGTCAGCGCGGGGCCGGCCGCGGGTCTGCACGGGCCCCGGGGCCGGCGGCCGCTCGGTGGACACCCCGGGGGGCGGGAGACGGCGCCCACCAGCCCTAGCGGCGGCCCGGGACGGCCCGTGCGGGCGCCTCCTGGCTCGGAACCCCCTTCGCCCGCCGCCCCCCGTCTTCACGAACATCGGATGTCCCCTGCCCCTCTCCGCTCCCCCGACACCCGGGCCCGGGGCGGCGCCACCCACCGAAGGGCCGCTTGCCCAGGCCCAGGCAGGACAGGTGGTAGGCCTTGGTGCAGAGCCGGCGGTCGCACAGCACCAGCTGGCCGCCGTCGCCGCAGCGGAAACACTCGTCCTCCGACCGCTTGCGGCCCTCGCCCCGCGCGCGCCGCCGCCGCTGCTTCTTCTTGCCCTTCTTGCCCTTGTCCTCGGCGGAGAGGGGCGCTGAGGTCTGGAGGGAGAACCCCACACCCTCACTGGGAAGCCCCGGCCACCCAGCGCCGCCGCCGTGGAGAGGCGCGTGGCCGCGGAGCTGGGCCGCCCGGCCAGCGGCTCCAAGACGGGCGGTCGGGGGCCCGGACACAGAGAGGCTGGGTCGGGTTCGCCCCGCGCCCCCGAGGTAGCTCTCGCCGGCCGTCGCGTGCCCGGGAGGGAGGGCGCCCGGCAGCCTCACCTTGGGCCTGTCCCCCAGGAACCCGCTGCAGTTGGAGGCGCCGCAGCGGCAGACGGTCTTCTCGTTGCCCAGACAGTCGAGGTTGTAGTTGAAGGTCAGCTCCGTGCCTGGGGGGGGGAGGCAGACGGCACCTGCCACGGCCGCCCCGCGCCCCGCCCCCGCGGGCCCCCCGCCCCCACGGCTGAGCCTGATCGCGCGGGAGACGCGCGGACCCGCCGCCGGCCGCACCTGCGGGGATGTCACACACGGCGAAGAGGCCCACGCGCGTGTCGCCGTTGACCGTCCACTTGAGGGTCTCGCAGTTGGGCTGGCAGCTGTGGTTCATGAACCGGGAATAGTTCCCCTTGGGACCGGCGTCGATGATGCGGTCCTGGAAGGCAGGACCCCATCTCAGCAGGGCCCACACGGCGCTCGGCACGCCCCGGCGCCCCGGGAACAGGGCGGACAGTGGGTGTCGTACTGGAAACCACGGTGGCCTGTGTCCACTCAGACAGGACGCGCCCAAGCCAGTTCCATTTCTCTCGCTCCTGCAGGGCAGGTCGGGACCACACGGAAAGGACCAAGCCCGAGGAGCAGGGCAGGAGGACCCTGCGCCAGCACTGCAGCGGCCGCCCCGACACCCCAGGCCAGCGGCCGGCAGGGCCGCGCTCAGGCCCCTCGGCAGCCCGGTGGGCGCCCCCACACCCACGGGGCCATGCCTGGGCCGGGATGGCCACTGCACCATGCAGGGGGCGCCGCAGTCGAGCAGGCCGCAGGCCGGAGGTGCAGGTGCCGGCTGCCGCCCTGCCAGCGTCGTGCCCAACAGTCGGGGCCTGTCACAAGGCCAGGCGGGCGCCGTAGCCAGATCCAGCACCCTGTCAGCCCCGGCCGAAGCCGACGGCCTCACTCGAGCTGAGGAAGTTTCCCTCTACCCTAGGCTCCTGCGGCGTCTTCACCAGGGACAGGTTTAAATTCTCGCAAGCAATTGCTCGTGATCCACAAAGACAAAGGACGTGTCGTCCTCAGGGGACAAACGCCCTGCTGTCTCGGCAGGAGAGCGCCCCTCTCCCGGGTCCTCACACCACGGGCTTGCCCACAGGGGCTTCTTGCTCAGCTGTTCCCGCCTCCCCGACATCCAAGCAAATGCTTGGTCTTCGATCCCATTACGACTGTGGGAGCCGCGGGGCCGTCTCTGCCCTGGCCGGACAGGCAGCTTCCGGGTCACCTTCCTCACCTGGGGCCCTGCCCAGGGGCAGCCTCAACTCCCCTTGTCTGGGAACCGCGTTTACAACTTTGACGTCGCCTGGCGTTCCTTTGGGGTTTCGCGGCACCTTTCAGAACCTGTTTCTCACCGAGGGCAGGGCACCCGGCTCTGCCCAGCAACCCCGTCTGAAAAGAGTTAGTGGTCAGTGGCCCCCGGCCTCCCGTTGCCAGGAGGCACCTACTTCGTTTGTGTGTATAGTTTTAAAGCCTTTCATTACAAGGCAGTGGTTCTGCTTTTCTGTTTGTTGACAACCGTGTCATCAACACTGGCTGCCCTTCAGACTGTCCTCGCACTCACACCCGGCTGCCGCCCTCAGCACCCACCAGCCCACTGCTACTGCCAGCAAACCGGCCGGAGCCCTCCTCCCTCACCGCCACCATGGCAGTCCATCAGGAGCAACACTTGCTGTTACTCCAGATGTGCTTTGGCACTCCAACTTGATTAGTTCTGATTCCTGGACACTAGTGATGAGTTTATTCTAATCTCCACTCGCGTCCCACTTTGGGGCCGTGGGGGCCACATGTCAGGCGCACAACATGCCCGGCGCCCTTGCCTGTTTCTGTGCGTCACTGCCAGCCTGGCTCTTCACACTGGACTCTGGAATCGTAGCCCATCTCAATCTTGATTCTTCGTCTAAAAATTTAAGCCGTTTACATTTACTGTGATGGTTGACAGATTTGTCTTTTTTCAATCACGCTTTCTCATTACCATCATTTTTCCTTTTTACTTCTAATATCTCTAATCCAATTTCTACTTTTTTAATGCACCCTCTCACTCTTGAATGATGTGGAAGGTACGTCTTTCCTTTGACTTGTTTAGTGGCTTCTCGTTAGCTTTACGTGAGATTCTGACACACCATAAAGTCAATAAAACCTCTTCTCTCCATCCTCACAAGACAAGCGTCTCACTAGTGCCTCACATTGCTTCTGATGCCCTCTGCAGCCATCAGGATTCAGTGTCCCTCACGCCAAGCCCCGTCCTGCATCATCATGCCGTAGACCCCACGTCCAGCTGGGCCCACGCACCCGCACGTCAGCATTCCTTCAGCATCTCACTTTGCTTTCTCCGGCAGCACTTCCTCTGCCGCATCGTGTCTGCTCCCCCAGTCTTTGGAGTGAGAGTGTGGCAGAGTTAAGCGATCTCCCCTGAACACTCAGGGAGGGCAGTGTGTCTTCTGGCTTCTGCCACACTCCAAGAAATCCGAACACTCTCTGCATTCCCTGGAACATGGCGATTATTTTCTCTCTGTTTCTTCTAATCGTCGAGTCTCTGTTACCTGACCTGCTTGGTTTATCTAAGCATATGATTCACTCTTATTTATCCTGCTTGCAACTTGGTCAATTTCATGAGTAAGATGACACATCACAGATTACAAGAAATTCTTTTTTGACATTATCTCTCCCGTAATTCTGTCTTTTCTTCTAGTGAGCAATTGAATTTCCTATGTCTCTTAGTTTCTTCTATAGTTTTCATCCTTCTTTGCTGCAGTCTAGATTTTCTTTTTGCTTTAGTCTACTTTAGCAACTTTCTCTAGATAATTTTTCATAGCCCGTCTATGGGGTTGATTTTAGTGATCATGTGTCACTCCCAGTTTTAGCTGTTTGTTGAAATCTGCCTGATTGAGAGGTCTTATTCTTTTCTTGTGACCTCTAAACCTCCTGCGGGAGGTTTAAAGGCATCAACCATTTAAAGGCATCAACCACTTCCAACATCTTATGTCATATTTTCTTTCAGAGTCAGTCTCATCACTACCTCAGGATCTCATCAGAAGCTGTGTCTTTACGGAGATGTCCTATTGTACTTGATAACATTTACGTAGGACTTAAATTTTTACTTGTTTTCTTGTTATGGAAAATACTTGAGAGACTTCTTGAAGAGTCTCGTGTGTCCTAAGCTTTACCTTTTCTTCATTCAGGTGCAATAGGCCTCAGCACCTCAGGCAGCATTGTGTGTTAAAACGAATCAATTTAGCATTTTTTACAGCACGCAATAGTTTAACTTGCTATTAAAAACCACGGTTTCAGCTTTTAATAGAACAACTTGTCTTGCAACCCTCAAAAAACAGGATAAGCTACCGACTCAGGTGAGGCCACCAGCCGTCCCCGAGGCCACAGCGTGGCAGGCCCAGAGAGGCGGTCAGCCCCCGCTGCTGTCAGGCCGCTGAGCAGGCCGAGGGCGGTCCCGCAGGAGAGGTAGAACCCAAGCCCCACTGCCCCACGTGGGGTGACCTGGGAGCTGCCATTCCTCACGGCGGCACCTTCTGCTCCCCACCTGCCATCCCACCTGGGTGTCCTGAGGGTGTCACGGGGCTCGGACAGATGCTCCTCTTTCATCTGCAGGTGCCCTTCTGGGTTTTCTGTTCATTTGGAAACCCCTGCTCTGCCTGCCAGGGATGCCAGCACCCGCCTCCCGCAGGAGGCCTGAGGGCGAGGTGGGGCGCCCAGCGAGGCCGGAGGCGGCACACGGCCCGGTGCTCTAGTCCAGGACCCACATCTCCTAATCAATTATTTCACAAAGCCTCAAACCCACTAAGAACAGAACACGGCAATGGCGCCGGCCACACACACATGCCGCCCCTGCCGGCCACCCAGCAGGAAGCACCAAGAGCCCAGGGCTCGTCCGGCAGCCCCGGCCACAGCCTCACTCCCGCGCCAGCCTCTCTGCCTCGCGTGCTGCTGTCTGCCGCAGGGGCCCGGGGTGCTCTGCCTGCAACCAGCCAGGGTGCCCGCGGGACGTGAGGCTGGGGCCAACAGTGGAGCCGCGCTCTGTCCGCCCTGCCGGCGGCGGATGAGCCTCGAGGAGCTGCCCCTGGGGCCGGGCCTGCCGGCAGGGGCCAACAACCAAGATGCCTGCTCTCCACGGCAGCAGCACAGGAGCCACCCGGGGGCCTGCCTGGCAGGCTGCAGCCCTGCACCGCCCGCCGGCTCACCATCACCTGCCCGTCCTCTGGGAACCCTGGCCCCTCGCGCTGCCCTGCCCGCCAAATAGTCGTCCACCTGGGCGTCAAGCAAGCACCGCGAGCCCACAAAATGCTGCTCTGCAAGCGAGGGGCGCACGGCCGCGAGCCCGCACGTCGTCCTGCTCCTGGCCAGCTCATCTGACACGCCCCCCGGGACAGGCAGCGCTCCCGGCGGGCCGGGCAGGACGGACGGCGCGCGGGCCGAGGGGCTCCGCGGGGGCGGCCGTACCTTGTCGATGGTGAGCATGTAGAAGTGTGTGATGTCGTTCTCGTGCGCGCGCCGGATGCGCGCCATGCACTCCTCCTCGTCGATGAGCTCGCCCACGTACTCGTTCACGAACTCCCCCTGCAAGCCGGCAGCGCGCGGTGAGATCAGCAGGCCCGGCGGGCCGCAGGTGGGGCTGTGCGGTGCGGCTGCGCATTACAGCAGCCGCAGCCGCCTCGAAGCCCCGCGGAACGGGCGCTGCCTTGTGTGCGGGGGCGCCCTCGGGGTTTGCGAGCCCCAGGGCCCCAGGGGAAGGGCTTCAGAGCTGTCGCCAGGGGAGGAACCGGCTCTGAGGCCTGCTGGCCTGGCCACACCCAGGCTGGGTCAGGCTGTGGACGCAGCACCCCCACCCTCCCACCGCCACCAGCAGGCCCCTGGCCTCTGAACGGGGCAGCCTCGTGAGGCCTCGGCACACAAAGGGCTCAGGCCTGCACAGAGCTGGGGTTACCCCGTGAGCCAAGCGGCCCCTCAAAAGCTCTTGTTTAGCAGACCTCTCCTGTCTCCCCGCTGCTCCCCTCAGCAGTGGATCCGCCTGTTCTGCTCCCCCCTCTGTCTCTGGGGAGTTCTCTCACCCCCTCCCCCGCCTCTGGCCTGCACCCCAGCTCCTGTGCGCATAAATAAATCTTTAAAAAATAAAAAAAATTTGACCAAAGACAGGTTTTCGGGACTCCTGCGTCTTGCCGGATCCCTTCACGGCCATCGCCCAAGGGCCAGCTGCGGTGCCCAGAGGGTCCTGCTCAGGGAACACGCAGCTCTCGGGCCGGGAAGGGCAGGAGCGCGGGGCTGGCACGCACCTTCCTGATGTCTCTCTTGGCCACCAGGCCCCAGCCTTTGCCGTCGGTCTTGATGACCTTGGTCTCGGGGTACTGGCGCTTGGAGAAGCACTGGTTCTGGCAGGCCGCGCCCGCAGGGCACACCTGCGGGTGGCACTCGAACATCAGCATGCGGTTCAGGCACTCGGAGTCGGCGCCACAGGGGCTCTCGTCCGTGGGCTTGCAGTTGCACTTGGGGATCTCGGAGATGTCGGCCGTGTAGATCTGCACCTTCCCATACGGCTTGTTCACCTGCGGAGGGAGGCACCGTCGGGGCCTGCACCTGCACTGGGCGGCGACGGCGGACGCAGGGTCCCCACTGTGCAGCGGGCTCTGGGCGCCTCGAGCACGTGGGCGCAGGGCACATCCTGGGCGGCAACAGGGCTGCCTCTGCCCCATGCTCCACAGCGACTGCAGGGGGCACGGAGCTGCGCCCAGGCCTCGGGAGAGTGAGCTGACGGCGCCTCCGCAGCTGCGAGGCAGAACTGCGCTCCGGGGACAGCCAGGGACTTGCTTCGGGGACCTCAGGGTTTCCAGCGCTCTGGCGGGCAATCCCACCTCCAGGGCCTTCCGACAAGACCCTCAGCGGAGATCAGTGCAGAGCAGGTGTCCCCCACTCGCAGCTGCCCAGCCCGAGGGGCGGCTCTCCCGCCGCCCGCCCCCAAAGCAGCCTGGCCAGGCCCCTCCGCCGTGGCGACGCCTCAGCCCTGGGAGCGCGGGCGCAGGGAGGTGGCTCATCCCACCCCGGCTCTGGCCGCCCGGCCTTTCATGGAAAGGACGCACTTGCCCCGGCGGTGCCGGCCTTGCCAGCTGCCCGTGGCCCGAGGGTGTGCCCCTGCACGTGAGGGCCCCCGCGAGCAGTCGCTCCTACCTTGATGTGCTTGTAGGGGGGTGGCTTGCGCTCGCTCTCCTGCGTCTCTCTGGCCTCCCTTTGAAGTTTGATTTCTCGAAAACGCGCTTCGGCTTCTTGCAGTGCTGAAGGCAACGAAACATGCGTGAGGGCGCAGAGGGGTGGACGCCCCATGTGCGCTGTGCTGTGGGTCACGCTCAGCGTCCCCCCACTGCTCGGCGGGGCTTCCAGCCTCCGGACAAGCCAAGGTCACGGAACCCCTGAGAGGCAGGTGTCCCTAAGGCCGCACAGCGCCCGCAGGCTTGGAGGACGCCCGGCCAGGCCTCTGCATGAGGGACTCGCTGTGCGGAACGTGACACGGGAGACGCGCGAGGACGGGGGAGGGCGCCCTGCCCAGGGCGGCCCCTTGCCCTCCAGCCCTCCTGTCTAATGACCATGAAGGCTCCGATGCCCACACATTGTCTTGCATCCGAGGGCCTGGTGCGCGGTGGGAGGGCAGAGCTCTCGGGGCCGCCGCCCCTGCTCTCGCCCGCAGCCCAGCCCGGGCACCCCGCACACAGCCGCATCCCAGCTGTGTCCCCGCCGTCCTGGCCTTCCACCTCCCGCCCTGCGCCCGGTGAGGCAGGTCTCCTCTACCCGCCGCCTGCAGGACCCAGGGTGGACCTGGGGCTGGCACAGACTGCGCCTTGCCAACAGCGCGGGCGCCCTCGAGCGACGGGGCCGCGGCGGCTGAGCAGCAGGGCCTCCCGGCACCTCGCCCCCAGCCACCAACCTGCTCTCCTAATTTAAAGCACAGACACAAGGCTCAGCCCAAGCGTCCCGCAGAAACCAGGCGGGCAAAGGTTCCAGGCGCCGCGCGCCTCCTGGGCATCTCCGTACCGTTTTTGAAGACTCTTCCGATCCCTCTGACCCCGTGGTGGCGGCTGCCCCGGTCCCCTTCCATGTACGGGAACACTCGTGCCTGATGCGTCCAGTAATAATCTTTAGACCCAAAGAAAAACACAGGGAATTCTCCAATCTCGTGCTTCATTTTCTGAATATTTGGGGGAACATTTTTGGGATGGCAAACTTCTGCCGGCCACCATCTATTATAAATATTAAAAACAGGATTCACAGACTCTTCAGAGAGAGTGACAACGGCGTCAACACGTCAAGCACTGCAAACAGAACACAGTGAGCAGCGAGACACGGGCCGCGGGCGCCCCCCACACCTGTAGTTCCCGAGCTTGACCCAGACCACGTCCTGGAAGTGCAGCCTCTTCCCGGCCCTGCAGTCGCCGCAGAACCAGCTGCCGTCCGGCATGTCGATGCTCAGGCAGTCGGGGTGGAAGGCAGCCGGGCAGGACTCGCAGCACAGCAGGCTGCCCCCTGCGGAGAGGTGCGCTCAGGCCAGCCCCCGTCCCCACCCCCCACCCCCACCCCGCCGCAGGGGCCCAGCCGCTCACCCTTGGAGCACACGAAGCACCAGCTCACGTTGACGTGGGCGTGGTGCCGCTTGCCCTTGCTGGCGGTGAAGTGGGCCGTGCAGACGATGCTGTTGGAGGCGATCACGGAGCAGCCTGCAGCCAGGCAGGCGTCCCCACCGTGGTAGGCCACAGGGCAGCGGACACACCGCATCATCCTCCCTAGGGGCAGAGGCAGGCGGTGCAGCTGGAGGGCGGGCCCAGGCCCAGCCCATGCAACCACGGAGACTGGAAACCTCGTCCCAGGCGGCCAGGCCGAGCGCACAGCCCTCCCCAGGAGACGCCGCTGGCCAGGGAGCCAGGCCTGTCTGGGCAGGCCCAAGCCTGGCCTGAAGCAACGCAGCCAGACAGCTCTCGCGATCTCCTCACGCGCGCGCCGTGAAAACCAGAGCGAGCAGAACCCACCGGGACAGTACCGAGGTCTCCACAGGCGGGGCGGGGGGGACGGCAGACGCACCTTTGCTCGGCCGTGGGTGGGCCGGGTTGGTCGCATGGCAGCTCACACAGCTGTGCAGGGGGCAGCGGAAGCCGCGGCTCTCAAACACGGTCAGCGGGAACTTCCTCACGCAGGCCTCATGGTAGAACTTCCCACACTGAGACACAGCGCAGCGCTTCACGCCCGCCCGGCTCTCCTTGCACACGAAGCATGCATGGACGCCTGGGGGTGCGAGGGTTGTGGTCAGGCCACAGCCTCAGCACCGCAGCCCCAGGAGACCTGGCCAGCGAGGGTGACGCAGCCGCCCCTGGACACGGGCGCCCAAGAGGCCCCACCCGCGAGCGAGAGGCCTGAAGCAGGGGCCCCGCAGAGGGCGGAGGAACCACGGGAAGAGCCCCAGACAGGAGCCTGGAAACTGGCCGCGAGGTCGCAGGTGCCCTGCTGACTAGGATGCGGTCAGGAGTCAGGAAAGTCCAGGTCCGGCTGTGAACGGGAGGCCCCAGAGGCAGGGCCCGGCCTGCGTGGCCCCTACAGGAGACCGTGCTGGGAGAGCCCGGATGGCCCTGCAGGCCGGGTGGAGGCGCCGAGCAGACCCCTGGCCACACGCGGGACCGGAGCTGGGCACTTGCCTGAGGCGCATGCGTGGCAGGTGAAGCGGCCCTCTGGTCTCCGAGCCAGGCCCAGGCAGGCCGGGTGGAAGGCCCCACAGCAGGGGCCCTGGCACAGCAGCAGGCCACCAGTCTTCTCACACAGCTGCGGGGCGGGAGAGCGGTCTGAGTGGGGCTGCCCAGCGCAGGCCGCACGGTCAGGGAAACGGCTCACCAGAGACCAGAGTCACCCACACGGGGTGGGGGGGCGGGCGGGGGGCGGGCGCAGTCTCCCAGCCCCGCGGGCCGCCCGGCCGCCTCCCTCACCTGACACACGTACTCCTTCTTGGCGGCGCCTCCTCGTTCTGACCTTTTCGATGAGGCGGAGACTTCGGTCTGCGTCTCATCCGCACTCTCGTATGGGGACTCCGGGGGCTCATCACCGGGGCCGTCCGAGACCTGGGGGTGCGGGAGGGGGATGACAGTTCACTAGTAGCAGAACGAGGGGTCACGGGGCGTGGGCGGCACTTGGGGAGGCAGCAACAGGCCCTCTCAGTGGGGACACCTCGTTCAGCCTCGGACACCAGGGCCTGGGTAAGCACCGCAGCTGCCAGGCCGCGCCAGCCAGGAGCACGTCCCCCCGCCTGGCTGCCCCGCGGGGCAGAGCAAGACAGTGGCCGCCTCTGTGGACACTCGTGGTGGGCAGAGGTCCCGAGAGACAGGTGTGGGTCCTCGAGCCTCCCGCCACCTCGGCCCACACACGCGCCCGCCCGCAGCCGCCCCAGACCGGCATGTCTTCAGCCAGAAGCCCTGCCGCACGTCACGCTCGGCGACACGGGCACGGCCCGGGGGGACGCTGAGGCCTTCTGGGCAACGCCAAGGGCTCCCCTGCCAGGAGCACAATCGGCTGCGCCACCGTCTGATTTCCTTCACCAACACGCCCCACAGGCCGCCGCCCGCAGAGGCCGCACAGGCTCCTCAATGCTCCTCTGGGTGAGGCGCGAGGGGGAGGGCAGGGCCTGGGCACGGCTCTGAGGCTGGGGCCTGCTGGCGCTCCCTGGCGTGGGGACAGTTGTGCGGCCCTCCCCCTCGGCGCGTCCCACAACACAGCCTCATGAGGCCTCCCCTTCCCGGTAGGGTGCGCGGCCTCAAGGCTGGACGCTAGTCACAGAGCGTCACTGCTGGCCTGCTCGCCGAGGGCTGCCCACCGCCCGGACACAGCCCCGGGCGCGCCAGCACCAGCAGCGAGAAAGGCCCTGTGAGTCGGCCCACGTCGGACGGTGCCAGACGCGGCGGCCGGGCCATCGGGAAGGGGCCCCGGCCCTCACCAGGCTCGGGAGAGTCTGGGCCTGCTCCGCCCTCGTCGTGGGCTCGGCGGAGTCGAAGCTAGAAATAAAGACGACGTGCGTGGGGAGAGACAGAAGACACAGACAGTCCGGGCTCACGGGGAGGAACAGCACCTTTTATTTGAGATTTACAGAACAGCCAGCACGTTCCAGGGAGACAGCGTCCGCGGCCACAGGAGCCGTGGGGGCGGCGCGGGCGACTGCCGACTCGGGCCGCGTCTGTGGGCAGCGCCCCGCCGGCGCCCGCCTCTCGGTCTGGGACGGCTACGTCCACTCCGCCCGCGCCAGGCACTCGAGACGCCAGGCCGCGCCCTCCTCTCGGGCGCCAAGCTCCTGACTCCGGCGTTCTCCGGAGCCCACCGCTCTCTCTACCTGCTCCGCTGCCAGGGCGCGGGCTCGTGAGCACGTCCCAACCGACTGTGAGAAACGGGGCGCCTCTTGGGGCGACACAGGCCCTCGGGGCGCTGCTGTACAGGCCGCGTCTGACAAGCCAAGCCCCTCACAAGGTGCCACTACGTGGATTTTGAAACACAGTTACAGGCCGTGAACAATAAACAGTCTGTAAACTGACAACATTTCCACTTCTGGCTACGCTTTTGCAAAGGAAAACGGCAGCGTGAAGCTCTGTCTCTGGGGTGCACGGGCCGGGCTCAGCAATGGCCCCAACAGGCCAGCGGGCAGCGCGCGTCAGAGAGTCCAGTCACTTCTGTGCCAGTCGTCCATCCCCTCACACGCGACCGTCTACACTGACACCCCCAGAGTTCCCTGGCTGCCCGGCCCCGTGCCTCCCGTGTGAGCACGGACCGCCCCCTGCGGGGAAAGTGTGTCTCCATAGCGCCCCGCCCAGCGTGTCCCCACAGCGGCCTCCCCTGAGCGGGCAGCTGGGGCAGGGCCCGGCGGGGCAGCACCCTCGGCAGTCACCGCGTGGCCAGCTCCATCACAGTGGCCGAGTGCCCCGGCCGGCCTGACCCCACCCACCACACATGAAGACGCGCCGCACCTCCAGGGCCCTCAGAGCACCCCCAGGATCCCCGTGACTATAGGCCCAGCATGCGCCAGGCCTCCTCGGGACGAGGCCAACGGGCGCAGAGCTGCGGGGGCGGGGGGGGCCTCCCCAGCAAGGATGCTCCAAAGGGAAGCCGCCGCCTGGAGGCCGCACGGTCCCAGGTCCTGCTGCAGGCCAGGACAGCGGCTCCCAACCCGGCCAGCGATCAACAGCCACGTGTGCTCTCCCGGCCGAAAATGGCACCGCGGGAAGCAACACCAATGTCACCGCCCCAAAAAATCCCAAAAGGGAGGAGTCAGTGCATTTCCTTTAAAAGCGCAGCCCTGGGGCCGGGACCTCTCTGGCCGGGGGAGCCCCCACCGCTACACGCCCCGCCTGGCCCAGGCCTCTGCTCCGGGCGTTGCAGTTTCACGCCCGTGACAGACAAACCTCCGACCTGGATGTCAGCCGTTCACTCAGTCTCGCTTTCCTTCCTCTCTAGAACGCTTCTGAGAAGGGCCTCCAGAGGACGCTCGCCCACCCGGCACCCCCGGGCAGCTCCACCTCTGCCCTCGGGCCTAGCCACTCGGGCACTGCGGTCAGCATCTGGCCACTGAAGGCTGGGGTCCACGGGCCCCGCCCAAGCCGCGTGGGGACGGTGCAGAGGCCAGGGGCTGGAGCCGCCTGGGGGGCTTGGCGCCAAGCACAGAGCCCTGTCCTGGGGACCCCGCACCCTACGGCGACCTCCCAACTCAGCCCCTGTGCCTGAGGCCCCGCCGAGTCCCTGGTCACGCTTTAGGAGCAGCCTTCCAACCTGGGGTGGCCGCGGGCTGCAGGACCGAGCCGATGGCTGCACGGTGCCCAGAGCACCAGGCCGCCCCGCATGTCCCCACAGCCACAGGCAGATGTCACTCCACGTGGATACACCAGCCCAGGGCCTCCCGGGAGCACCTGCGTCTCCAGACACCTGCCCCATGCGCCCTGCCGGCAGGTGCAGGCCTTCTCCTCACCACCTGGGCCGGCAGGCGGGCATGTGCAGGGCGGCCCGGGGCAGCAGGGCCAGCTCAGTCAGCCCCCCACGCCTGATCACTGAGACCGGGACCAACCCTGCCCTCCAGCCCTCAAAGAGGAGGGGCCGTGACCATGTCGAGTCGCGGCCCCAGACTCTGGGCAGACACACGACTGCACGCCTCTCAGCTCCCCCAGCACAGGCACCCCGCCCCCCGACGCCCCTCCCCCAGGAAGCCGCGGGGCTCCGGGACGCTGCTCCTCCGCCAGCCAGCCTGCGCCCAGGCCTGCAGGGCACTGACCGCGCGGCTCCCCCGACACCCAGGGGCGAGGCCTGCCCCAGCTGAGCAGCACCGCTGAGCAGGGAGAGGACACGGCCTCGCCCTCGGGGCCGTCCACTCACCCAGCGCCAGGCCTGGCAAAGCCCCTCTGGAGCCCCAGGCGCGGGGTCATGCTGGACCCGGACCGTCCTCGCACGGCCGCTTTCTCACGGCTTTGCAGTGTTGCGTGGGCCCCTCGGGGTCCTGAGGGACCAGCATGACCCACCAGTTCGCACAGCCCCCCACCCCGTCCGGCCTGGGGCCTGCCGCGTGCCTGGTCCCCCCCATGCAGCCGCTCGGAGCGCCGCTTCTCATGCCAAAGCACGACTTGTACTTTTGGATAGAAATGGAATGAGGATGATTTTGTGATTTTTATTGTTAAACCATCATTGTCACAACATGGAACTGCGGCACCCCGCGAGGCGCCCGGCGCCCGAGGTGCTGGACATGCACTACTCAGCGGTCAGGACACGGTGGCTGCGGGGCCCGCCAGAGGCGTCCACAGCACATGCCCACGCGCCAAGGGTGGCCGGCTTTGCCATGCAAGCATGCGCACCCCGACGCAGGCACCCCGGGCCGGCGCGGAGCACGCGGCCACCCCCAGATGCCCACAGACGGCCGAGGACGTGCTGGGTGAGAATGACGGGGTGTGGCGCCCCGTGGCGTCGCCAAGTCAGAGCGCAGGCTACACTATCACAACGGTGCTGGACGGGGTCATCCCACAAACCCACTACATCTAGTGTCATCGTCAACTACTCGGTAGAAAAAGGCAGAATCAAAATGGCCTTTCACGCTGGAGGGCGGGGCTGGCCTGCAGCACTGAGGTCCCAGCGCCGGGCCCGCGGCAGGCGGCTCCTCTCCCACGAGCTGCTCCTTCTGCTCGGAAGGTACAGAGGCTGACGTTTTGCGATAAAAAATCAGTACGAACCGGAGGAGAAAAGGGCCCCCGCAGGGCCAGCCCCCAGCGCGGGGCGGGCAGCCGGGCCTCCTCTGACGCGGGCCGCGCGGCCACGGGCGCATGGGCGTGCTCCCACCATGACATGGACGTGGCTGACCGCATGGCCTGGATCCGGTATCTTACCTGTGTCTTAACATTTGTTATCTGTTCTCTTCACTGTGTATGTCTATTAATACCCACAAAGACAGATCACCACACCTCCTCCTGGCACGCCCGAGGCGGGTCCCTTAGTGTGCAGGACGGGGCGCCCCGCAGCGGCGTCCTTGGGTTTTAGCCATTTAAGTGCAGCACAGGGCGGCGGGGTTCAAGTCCAACTTGGCTGGTGTGGGCTCCCACAAAAGCTGTCACCAGTGAAGGCGAGAAAAATAAGAGTCTGCGCTACTGAGGGAACAAGAAACGAGGTTACAGACACTTAAATCACATTGCTCCTCGCGGCCTGGCATGCAGGGGCTGCGCCCACCGCGCGGGGCTTGGGAGCAGCGGCAGAGCTTGGCGCCTGCGGCCATTCCCTCTAGGGCGGCAGGGGCGAGATGGACGCCTGCGGAGGGCGCGTGACCCAGAGGACAGGGCAGAAACCACACAGCCACTCCGGGGCCAGCTAGCTCCCCGCTGGGCCCCGCCCGCCCCCCTCCCCCGCGTGGCTCTGACTAGGGAGACAACCCCCAACAATGGTGAGGGACGGTCGCCACACGCGACACCAGAGGGCCTGCGGGAAAAGGCCTGGCCGTGGGAACGGTGCCCTAGGAGGAGCAGGCACCAGGCAGCACCTCGCTCGAGCGCACAGGAGTGCCCGCCCGCCGCCTGCCCAGCCCCGCAGCCCTGGAGCAAGGGCCGACTCCCCACGTGCCCGCCTAGCCCCGGGGCAGAAGCCCACGCGTAGTGAGGGCGCCACTGCCACAGCCTGTGCCACCTCCTGGAGGGCGTGCCTGCAGGCACCCACAGAAACCGCAGGGCACACAACTTAGGGCAGGGGACAGCAGACAGGACCCAGCGGCCTTTGTATCTGACCACATACAACTGCAAACTCAACCGACTAAAAAAATACGATGCAAGAAAAATTCACTTAAAATTTCTCTAAACCAAGAGGCCGACTCAAGCAAAAGAGGCCCGGAGGGGCAGCTGCCTCCCTGGGGCTGCCCGAGCCACAGGCCACCTGTCACCCAGCTTCCTGGGCCGCCGGCCTGAGCCCGGACGAGAGCGGAGGAAGGAGACATTCTGCGCGGCAGCTGCAGCGTCCTGCGTCAGTAAACTTCCGGAAGCTCGGGGGCGGGCTCCCCTGCCTTTTCTAGAATGTGCCCCAATGTAAACCCGCTCAGAGACCTACACCCCAAACGCCAGGAGTGCCAGGCGGGCCCGCTCGGTGGGCAGCCGGCATGCCAGCAGGTACCCCACAGTGCCCTGCCCGCTGCGCCCCCCGCCCAGACCCCGGGCTCCCCTCAGGGGCGCAAGGGAGGCTGAGAGAGGGACCCGGGGCAGCCAGATCCGAGGGCCGCCCTCTCGCCGACCCCTCCCTCCCCGCCTCCCTCTGCTCTGGAAAGCCGGAGCCAGCGTCCCCGAGTCTGCACGTGGCCACGCTGCATGTGCGGGAGACCCTGGGACTCGGCCGCGAGAGACCGATGTCTGGAAACAAGCCCCTGAAGAGCAGCCACTGGGACCGGAGCCCACAGACCAGCCAGTGCCCCTCCGCACTGGGCAGGAAAGGGACGTCAGGTCAGCTGGAGCGGCCAGTGGTGGGATGCGATGCCGGGACAGCCTTGCTGGCCATGGCTCCCGCCGCGGACTTGGCCAGCACAGCAGGCCGGAGCGGCCACCCGGGCTGACTCCCCTCAATACTCCCGGTCCAAGAAAATGTCAGCAGCACAGGAGCAAATCTCAGAGTACCGGGGACACCCTCTGTGAGCCCCACCGGGGCCCAGGGGCTGTGGCGGGCCTGTGTGCACCCCAACCGGCGTCAGCTTGGCCGACATATGCGTCCCCAGGGCAGAGCAGGCCCCCTTCTCGTGGAGGAGCCCAGGCAGGCGCCTGGGCCTCGGGCTGAGGACAGGCTGCACGTGTGCTAAGCGGTGGCAGCACCAGCGCACACGCGTGTGCTCATACCGAGGGCTCAGGCAGCCAGCGCCACAGAGCAGAGCAACCCCGAGACTCGCCTGCCTCGTGGGCACCAGCACCGCCACGCCCGTCAAGGCTGCCCTGGCTCACCCCCCAACTGAGGCAGCTAGAGGGCCCGGGCGATCGCGTGCTTGTCGTCCCGCGTTTTACCTCGTTCTCAGTGAGGGACGCGGAGGGGGACGAGCTCTTGCTGAGCACCAGAGATGCAGGCGCTGCCGCGGGGGCCCGGTTCCGCTTCTTCAGTGGTTTGCACGCGTCAGACAGGTTTTTTGTTGCTGTAAAGTAATTTTGGCTTATACAGTTTGAAATCTCAAACCCTCAGTACCTTCACTGCCCGAAGATCACCCTGTTAATGCGTGAGACCCTAAAAGCGGCCCTGCTGCTCTGTGACTTTACTGAGGTTCTAACGCCTCATCGTGAATGAATCCGGGTGTCAACAACAGCAGGTGAGCTGGACCCTGCATGTCAGGTGGCCCCAGAACCACAAGCTGGGGCAGCACTGCGCCCCGCCCCCCGCCAGGGTCCTCTGGCGCCAGCCTGCGCAGAGCAGCCGCGCGAGCAGCTGGCTGGGCACGCAGGCTGTGCCGCCCCAGAGCCACTGCTTCCATTGGCACCGGTGGGCGGGGCAGGAGGCGGCAACTCTCAGCGGGGCGTGTGCCAGAGCAGGATTGGTGGAGGGCAGCCGGCACCCCCCAGCCCCCACAGCGCCCCGCTAGCTTCCACACTCGCCCAACACGCGCGAGGAGCTGGGACACCGAACGGGCCCCGTCACCTGGTCCAGCCACTTCTTTTGCACTATTTTATACTGAAAACGAGAGCGCTGAGCGGGCGGAGCAGCAGATGGGCTCCAGGCAGACGCAGCAGGAGTGGACGGCCCAGCCGGGGAAGGGCTCCCTCCCCCCTAGCCACCTCCCAGGCGCCCGGGGCCCCGGGGACAGCCCAGGCAGCGGGGCCGCTCAGGAGCACTGGCCACATTACCTGCCTGACTCTTCAGCGAAGAGGCGGCCTCGAGGGCCTTGCAAGCACCAGCCCTGGCCGTCCTGTCAGCGATTGTCTCTCTCTGTCGTCGACAAAGGAGAGAAATAAAGAAGGAGAGAAAGAGAAAAGGACACCGACCCCAGCCAGCACTGCACAGCGGTCGTGGGCGGCACCCCTGGGCCAGCAGTGAAACGTCCCGTGAGTGCCTCGGCTCCCCCGGTGGGTGTGGCAAGGGGACGGGTCCCCCACCCGCGGCTCCCAATCAGCTGAAGAGCCACAGTACCCCTCTAGTTTCCTGTGCTGGGGGCCCCACTTCTGAGACAAGCCCCAGGAGCGCCCCTGCTGGTGGCCGACCCACACTGCCCAGTGAGAACACAGCCCAGAGGGCTCGGCTGCTGCCTGGCGCTCCGCAGGGTCCCGCGCTCACATCCCTCCCTGCCCGGCCGGCCGGGGCCTGGGGGCACAGTCCAGGGCAGAGGCAGGCGGCCACCCCAGACTGGGGGCGGAGCTGGGCAGCCAAGGGCTCCTCAGGGCCACAAAGCCCAGCAGGGGAGGTGCTGCCTCTGCTGCCCACACTGTTCCCACCAGGCAGCTCAGCCCGCACACATGGCCCCTTGGGCGTCCAGGCCACACTGGGCACGTGGCTCAGACGCCTCAGAGCACTGGCCACCACGGGTGGCCAAGGAGGCGTGGAGGCCCCAGACCTGTGCGCACAGCCCCCACGGGCCCTGGACCGGGTGGCCACCCTGCTGCAGACCCAGCTGCAGAGCAGCGTGGCGGGCCTGGCGGCCACGGGCCCACACCACAGCCACAACAGCCCCCGGCTCAAGAGACAGTCTGAGCTTTAGCCCACGGAGAGTGGCTGCCCACAGAGCTGGGCTGAGCAGCAGCCCCACGCAGGCCAGCCGCACAACGCCGGGAAGGGGCTGTGAGGTGTCTGGGTGCACCGGGGTGAGGCCGAGGCAGGGCTGTGGGCACCCACTCCCGGGGCACACCCTGGCCGGCAGGGCCGCTAGGGGTTGCTGCTCTTCAACACCCTCCTCAGTCTCCGGGGAGAGCAGCCAGCGGCCCTGAGCCCGAGAACCCCCCCGCGAGCTGTAGTCCCGTTACCTTCCGGAGGCCGTGCTTGTCCATTCTGAGCCTCTTCCTGGGGGCGTCCTCAACGTCCACGTTTTCTGTGGGATCCCGTGTCCTCTTAGTGTGGTTTCTCTTTTTCCCACTTGGGGTACCTTGGGGCGGGGGAGGGGAAACGTGAAAAAAGCCCCATAGGCGCTGACGCACCAGAAGCCGCCAGGGCCCGGCCCGGCCACCCCAACTTGGCCATCCCCAGCAGCACCCAACACGGAGCACTCCTCTGGTCAGACACAGATGGCCACTGCGCGTCACACCTGGCAGGGCCCAGCGCCTTTCCACTCTCTGCTCCAGGGACCACAGGCATCTGAGCTGCTCACGCAGCCCCCAGAGCCGCCTGGGTAGCAGGTCGGGTGTCGGGCACCAGGAACAGCACCCAGGCCAGCCCTGCAGCAGCACTGTGTTGGGGGGTCCAACCAGTCCTCCCTCAAACAGCTGTGGGACGGCAATGTCCCTGGTGAACAGCTCCGAGGTGGCCAGCAGTGCCCAGGGGTGGTGTCAGGAGCCCGCCCGGCACCCACAGGCACAGGCCCAGCTCCAGGGTCCCCTCCTGGCTGCAGCAGCATGGGCTGGACACCAGGGGGCACCAGAGGGCCTGGGCAGCAGAGTGTGCCCAGCCACTGGCCGAGAATGCAGCACAGGCCAGCCTGGCCCTCGCCAGAGGCTCCTGCCGGCCATGTGTGCTCAGCTGGCCTCCCGGAAGCACGTCCACCGGTCCCCACTCTGTGCCCCGCGCCAGGACGGGTGCCGGCCCGAGTCCCTGCACAGCCTGGGACAAGGCCATCACCATGGGCTAGCCCTGGGGTCCCGGGCGCAGGGTCCAAGGGCAACCAGGAGCCAGCCCGGGTCAGATGAGCCGGGGGCAGGGATGGGCCCGCCCCCCAGCCCCTATACTTGGGGACACAGCCAGAGACCCTCTCCTGGAGGGGCCGTGTCAGCTGAGGCAGCCACGGACGGCCCCAGGCTGAGCGCGGACGAGGGTCGGGGCTGTCAGAGACGCAGACCAGCCCCACCCCCCCACCCGCAGACACAGCGCCTGGCTGACGCTGGCCGGCCGGACCGCCTCAGGGCTAACCGACGCTTCCGGCGCTCTGGCCCTCACACCCGAATGCCCGGCCCCCGGGCAGGGCCAGCTTCGTGCCCCAGGTCTCTCCCAAGTCTCCTCGGTAACCTTGAGAGAGAGAAGTTGTCTGTATTTTAACCTGACGCCCAAACACATTGTCCTTAGGACACTGGTCCCCGGGCAGCACGCCCCGGGCCTCAGGGCCTTGGCTTCCTGTTCTTGCCCAAAGCACTTTTTGCTTTTTAAACTGACGGCCTGAGGACACAGGGGCACACCCCAATTTACAACCAGCCCCTTGGGCCTGCCGCCATGAGCTCTCAAGCAAGTGGGGCAGCGCCCGCTGGGTTTGGCCCCCCGCAGCCCAGCGCGCCCCGAGGCGCAGGCTGAGAGCAGGTCCACTGGGTCTGCCTGAGGCCACCATCTGTGGCTCCCCACAGCCACTGGCCAGGGCCAGAGCCAGGTGCCGGGCGCAGCCCCCCACAAAGCTTTACCAGCACCGTCTTCTGAGGGGGCAGAGGTCACTGGGGCGAACTTGGTGTGGTAGCGAGCCCGCTGCTTCTCATTGAGCATGTTCCACTGGGACCCCAGCAGCTCCTCGATCTCCTCCCCTGAGGCATCGGGGTGCTCCGCCACCACCTGTGAACACCAGAGAGGGCGGTGAGGCCGGGCCCGCAGCGTGCCCTGCCAGGAGAGCCGAGACCACTGGCTGGGAGGCAGCGCTGGGAAAACAGGGTGGCCAGGAAAGACGCACCTTCCCAAACCCCCAGGCCTCCAGAAACTCTCCGCCAGGCTGACCCCCAGGCGCGCTTTAAGCCCAGCCATTCCTATCCCTTCTCCCTCCACGGCGGGCAGCAGGTGCCACACGCCTTCAGGGGGCTCGGCTGGCCCACCTGGCCCTTCTGCGCAGACAAGTGCTCGGGTGGGGGGGCCCTGAAAGTGCCCCGCTTCCCACGGGCGCTCAGTGGGTCTTGTGCCCGGCTCCCGCGCGCACCCCACATGGAAGGGGAGGGCCTTGCACCCAGGCTCAGCTCAGTCAGCTGTACAACGGGGACGGCGGGGCCATGCTCAGAGCCCCGCAGCCCCAGCCTTGCGCCCCTGCCAGTGACCTGCAGATGCCCAGTGCCCCTGCTCCCTCCTCCACCAAGCACTGGAAGCCGGAGTGCGCGGAGCCAGGGACCGGCCCCCACAGCAAGCACGGCGGCATCAGCAGCCACGCCGGCCCATGTGGGCCTGAGAGAAAACAAACGGCAGGCTTGGGAGACGTGGGCGGTGCTGGACCATGGCGGTGCTTCAGACGCAGCAGAGCTCACCTGGCCAGCTCTGGCTAGACATGGTACAGGGCTGAGGTTTTGGTTTTGAGCCCCGAGCTGGTTTTGGAAACCGATCAGGTCCCAGCCCCCTCCGGCACCAAAGAGATTCAAGCGCCCACCGGCACAGTCAAGTCTTGGACACAGCTGGTCTGGAATGTGGCCCCATCGGGCGGGCAGCCTGGGGGGCGGGGCAGGGGCCACTCATGGGGTCCCTTGGTTGAGAAAGCTGACTCAGCTTGGGAGAGGCCTCAAGAGAGACTTGGGTGGCCCCCACTGCCCCGGCAACATGTCTCATACCCGAAGGCCCAAGGGCCGCCAGCCTGGGTCCCAAAAGCAGCAAGGGTGCTCGGTGGACAGTGCTTTGAAGCCGCAAGCACCACGGGGGAGAGGCCGGGGCAGGCAGGGGGCAGCTCAGCTGTGGCAGGCCGGGTGCTCGCGAGTGCCAGCACTCCCTGGACAGATGTCCCTGCTCCAAGGGACACCCCAACTTTCTGGATGCCATGGGGAGATGGGGCGGAAAGTTGTGACTCAGACTGGAAGTCTCGGCTCTGCCTCCCGCGCCCCTCATGCCCCGTCCTGGGTAGCGCCACCTGCAGGAGCCGGCGTCTGCCTGGTGCTCAGCCAATGACTCTACAGCTCTGAGCCTGCAGGGTTCCCCTGGCACACGCCTGGGGCGTCTCAGGGAAGAGCAAGCACCTGAGGACATGTCCTAAAACGGAACGTGTCCCCTCGTCTACACCACTCGCTGCTGCCCAGCACAGTGCGGACCAGAGTCAGTGACGACCCGCCGCGGCCCTGCGGGGACCCTCCCTGCCACATCCCCCTCACTCCGGTCTCCCCTCGTGGTCGGTGGTCAGCTGGCTTAGGAGAAACTCCCCTCTCCCCTGTGACGATGCTGCTGTGCAGGGCCAGGCCCCGGGGCCCCGGCGTGGCCACATCCTGAGGCTGCCTCTGTTCCTTGCTGCCCCGGCCCCGAGTCGCCCTCACGCCCGCCAGCCCTCTGAGTGCCGGGACACCCTGCAGACTGGGTTCACGCGTGCTTTCTACACTGGCCTGTCCCAGGACTGCACTACCACGTTCCTTCCATCCCACGGCACCTGGGAGCCAGAGAGGGGGTGGCGGGAGGCAGATGGCTCTGCGTGGGATCCAGAGGGACGTGCCAAGCCTCACCAGGGCCGAGGTGCAGACAGCCCCAGGGCCCCCTGCACCCACGTGGGCTTCCTGGCCTCCCGCCCTCCACATGCAAGACACAGCCCAGCAGTGCTCTCGAGGGCGCGGGGCCGCCAGCGCTTCCGCCGGACACAGGACTGTGCATTTGCGAAGGGCCCTCAGACGGCATGCTCCGAGACGAGCTGCCCCGCTGCGCTGCCAGCACAGCCCTGAGAGGTGCAGGCGGTGCCCAGGGGGCACGCCAGGCTGGGCTGCCGGGCCAGCAGCAGCTGCAGACCTGGGAGTAAGCTCCCGGGCCAGGCGCTACGCAGAGTGTGCCAGGGGTTGGGGAGGTGGGGGGGCACGTCCCATGGGAAGCCTCGGCAGCCACGAGCACAAAGGGCTCTTCCTTTCACCCCCAGAGTTCACACAGCGTCCCTCGCCAGATTCATGCAGCCTGCCCCGCGCAGGGCGGCGCTGAGGGGGCCCTCGCCTCAGACACACCCCAGCACAGAGACGCACCCCAGGACGCGGCACCCACCTCGTCCCTGTGCTTCTGACAGAAGACCAGGAACTGGGACGCAGCTCCGCCCTTCCGGCCCCTCGGCGTGGAGGCCGGGGCCTTCTTCCTCCCCGTGGGAGACCCCACACCTCTCTTGGGGTCCACCTCCGTCATCTGCTGAGGAGAGGTCTTCCCTGTGCCTGGGTCACATTTGTGGTGCTCGCCAGAGCTGAGCAGCTTGGCCCTCCGCCTCCTCTTGGCAGACACACCCGCCTTTCCGGGGGACACGGGGGCATCGACCACCTCTCCTCTGGCCGCAGAGGCGTCCACCACACCCCCCAGAGCCTGGGCAGTGAGGCCTGCCTCCTTGGCTACGTGAGGGTTGAGGTGAAGCTGGTCTCCCAAGTAGAGGAAGGTGAACTTGGCCTTCCGCTCCTCCACTGACATGCCCGCGGCCGCTGCCGCCTGGACGATGCCCATGTCCCACTGGGCCCTCAGCTTCCCCGAGATGGGTTTCAACAGCTGCAAAGGAAAACACAAGTGACTGTATTTCATTACACAAATGTAAACATTAACTCGCTTTAAAGAAGGATACTTCCTGGGGGCCTCCCTGGGGGCGCAGGAGTTAAGTCTCAGCACTACCAAGCTACCTCCAGCCACTGTGCCTGAGATTGATCCCGGCCAGGGGCTACTACCCCCAGGGCACAGCAGACCTCTCCTGTCTCCCCGCTGCTCCCCTCAGCAGTGGATTTCACTCAGTCTGCCTGCTCTGCTCCCCGCTCTGTCTCTGGTGTGTCCTCTTATGCCCCCCCTGCACCTGTGGCCTGTACCCCAGCTCTTGTGTGAAGAAAGAAAGGAGGGAAGGGAAGGGAAGGGAAGGGAAGGAGGGAGGGAGAGAGAAAAAAACTTCCAGCATTTCAGATAACTTCAGAGATCCAAAACTATAGAAACAGCTTTGCTGCTGCTTTACACTGGAGGGAAGCCCAAGCGCATCAGCCCAGGTGGCGTGGCACACGACACATCTGTGTTCCGGAAAAAAGACAAGGGCCCTCAGGTAAGTAAAAACAACAAGCTGTGTCTAGAGACGTGGGCAGCATGGGCAGAGCAGGCAGCGCGGCACCGCGCGCTCCTGGAGAGCCGGACGAGCAGGCGGGGGACAGGTGGGAGCGGGCCGGGGCGGCACTGATGGGGCGCCCGCACCTTGACTTTCTCAGCTTTCGTGGGTGCCTGCTTGGCGCTCTCCTGGCACAGTCTTTCAAACTGTCCTTCTCCTTCAAAAGCAACAAGGCTCTTCTCAAATATCCAAGCTCTTTCTGGGGCGTCTCCAAAGAACTGCACGTGATACTGGCGCGCGCTCTTTTTCTGCCCTGGTTTTTAAAATAAAAGTTAGAATTTGGGATGAAATGAGGCAAATCTATTAATAATCACTGACATAAAGTCAGGAGCGGCTTTGAAGTTGTCTCCCCTGGTGCCGTTTGTCTGTCAAGCTCAAAGTCTGTCCTGCCCTTGCGTCCCCTCCACGTCCGCGCCACAGAGGGCGACAGACGCACGCGACGCGGAGAAAGTCCAAAATCGCCTGGGACGGAAAACAGGGCGGCTGGCACACCTGCCCGCCCCGGCCACCCAAGGTGCTCGGGGAGATGCCCAGCACTTGGGAGGATGCAGCCGAGGGCCGCGTGCGAGGCCGTGCTGGGCAGCACAGTGGCAGCAAGGACCAGGTCCAACTGCGTCCCCTCAGCTGCCAGTGGAGCAGCTCGGGCTGGCCGCCCGGTGGAGCCCTGGGGCAGAAACACCCTCCGAGGGCCACTGGAGGCCAGGGGGGCTTGTGCTCCTGGCTGGGGAGGGAGTGGCACGCTCCAGAAGCAGAGGGGCCTGCGGGAGAGCAGCCCAGGAGGGCGCCAAGCCAGCTGAGGGGAGGGAGGCTGCACTGTCGGGGTTACCAGTCCCTGCTCCCTTCCACAGCACCCCGCCATCAGAGCCAGGCGCTTCCAGAGGGCTGGCGCGCCCAGAGGAAAAACCTTTCTGTCACGTCTTCCCCGCTGAGAGGCCGGGGTCAGCCAGACCCGCTGGAACAAGCGAACGGTCCCGCAGGTGGGCAGGACGGCCCCTCAGGCGCCAGGTGGACGCCAACATAGGGCCACGCCGGACAGACAGTGGCCCAGGGCGCACCTTTGCTGAGAAATGAGAGAGGGCACGCCACTCGAGACCACGCACAGCTGTGGCGCCCCCGGCGAGCTCAGAACCTCCACAAAGGAAAGACCAAGAGGAAAAAGGTCCCCTGGCGAGGAGCGGTGGGGGGAGGCAGGCAGTGGCCTTCCAGAGACAGGAGCCCCCGCAGCCACCTGCTCCAGCCACGCTTCGTCCCCCAGGTGCCAGGAGGCAGCTCGGGCCTGGAGGACATGGAGCGGCCCCCCGGCCGGCGCATGAGCCAGAGGAGTGGTCTCGCAGCTACAGGCGCCCACACACTCCCTCACACTCCACCAGCGCCCTGAGACACCCCAGCACTAGAAGCCACCAGGCCGGCGGGGGCACCCGGCCCCTCGAAGACCACGGCAGCCTGCAGGCGCCAGAGGGCTTAGAAGAGAGCCAGGGAGGAAAGCCGAGGGGCACAGCCCCAGCCGGCGAGAGCCCGGCAGCCGGGCGGACGCGAGAAGATGAGTCGGGGTGGAAGAGGCGGTGCAGCCGGACACAGGCTCCCCCCAGGAGGACGCTGTGCAGGGCAAGTCAGAACAGAAGGAAGCCCCAAAAAGACTCCGGCCACGCGGACGGCAGAGCACGCGCCCCCACAAAGGCAGGCAGAGCTCACAGGACGCGCAGCTTCTGCGCCCGGCAGCAGCGGCGAGCTAAGCCCGGGGCGGGCAGGGGTCAGCCTCAGAAATGGCCGGTGGGGAACTGTAGTTAAAACTACGGGAAACACCGAAGGAGTCAAAGGCAACTGCCTCTGAGAGGCGGAGAGGACTACGTCTCGCTCTGACGTTGGAGTCCTGTTTATTTACAAGTGTCCGCATCTTTGATTTTAAACGCCCAAGACTCAAAAACACATCAAGAAACGTGTGCCTCCCCTGCTCAGCTGTACTTTAATGCTTTGAAACAACTTCCCCGGCCATGACAGTGAAGAGCAACTCAAGTCACAACATTGGGGTAACGCCAGAAATCTATTACAATAAAGGGCCTCCGTGGGGGCCTAGGGGTCAGTCTCAGGCTGTCACCGCCGTGGCCTGAAATGATCCCCGGCCAGGGAGCTACCCCCAGGGCGCAGCAGACCTCTCCTGTCTCGCCCGCTGCTCCCCTCAGCAGTGGATTTCAGTCCGTCTGCCTGTTCTGTTCCCCGCTCTGTCTCTGGGGAATCCTCTCACCGCCCCCACACCTCTGGCCTGCACCCCAGCTCTTGTAGCATAAATAAGTAAAATAAATCTCTGAAATATAACAATGAAAGGAAGATAGTCTGGGACTCAGCAGCAGCAGGCCCGGGTCAGCCGCCAACCGTGGGCAGAGCTGCAAAGAGGACCTGCAGGAAACACAACCACCAAAACACAACCGATTCAAACGGGCCAACTTACGAGACAGGCCTCTGTCAAGATAAACAAAGGGCCGCTATACCCATGAAGAGATGCCAGCACCGCGGGCATCAGGGAGAGCAGGGAACTGCCCTGAGGGGCCACACCATGCCCCAGGAGGACTGCCCACAGAGAGCCAGAAACCCCAAGCCTGGGCGCTGCCTAGGGACACTGGGCCCAGGCCCTGATGGCGGGAAGGGGACGGCGCAGCCACCAGACAAACTACAAGGGGCCTCAAAACACCACCAAACTCCAGCGCCCGGGCCTGGCCAAAGAGGGCTGGGCACCGGGTCTGCGGGCCCCGCGGGCACCCACAGCCAGCGCAGAGCTGCTCCCCACCAAGGGCAGGGGCGCCTTGGAGCCCGCGGGAGGGACACGCACGGGACCAGCCCCACAGGGAGTGCTGGCCAGCTTGGGGGGACAAACGGGCCCTGCTGCCCACGGGCGGCCTTGAGAGCGCAGCCAAGTGAAAGGAGCCAGGCCCGGAGGGCCCCGTGGGCGAGCCCCTCTCCCCGGAGCGGAGACCATCAGGTCACGGGGACAGAGGTGAGGGCGGCCGGGCAGGCCGGGGCCTCACGGGGTAGAGCGTCAGCTCCATGGGTGAGAGGAGCTGCGGAGCGGCCGGGGCAATGGCTGCAGGCTCCAGGGTCCCAGATGGCGCTTCAGCGTGGGCGAGACGCAGACTTTCCGCCAGCGTTGGGGCGGCACGCGGGGCAGGGAGGAGCCAGAGCAGGGCCACGGGAGGCAGCCGGGAAGCTGCAGGCGAGAGAGAAAAGCGCGACGCGGTACCTTTCAGTTTGGTGTGGCAGCGGAGGAGGGGGTCTGCGGAGACCATGCACGGCCACCATGGGTACCCCGACACCTTGGACCACACCAAGTCACCCACGGCGTATCTCAGCAGGGGGTCTCTGTCTCCGGAGGCGGCGGGGCAGGGCTCTCTCCCGGCGGGGACCTGGAAGCGAGCAGCAACAAGACACGCTAGTGCGCCTGGAGCCACCCAGCTCGGCCCTGGCCACGCTGACAGGAGGCCCGCGATGCAGCCACACCCCCACCAAAGGGGCGTGCACCCCCTCGCCCCGCAGTCCAGGGCCCTGCCACACCCCGCCACGGCCGCCTGTCTCCCCTGGGCCGAAAGGCCTGCCGTGGTCAATCTGCGTGGTAGCTCCCCGGCCTGGCAGCCGCCTCTAGCCCCAAAACCATCAAGGCCCCGTCCCCAACCCCAAGTGTCCTGTCCAGGACCCAGCAGGGTGAGGACTGGGGCAGAGTGAGCCTAGGCCACCGCCCGTGGGCGCCTCCCCCACACCACACCGCGCTCTCCAGCGGGCACACAGGCCAGCATGGCCCGGGCCGCCCCCGGAGTACTAGATACTCTGGCAAAGAGCTCAACTTCAGTGGGTCTGCTTCCTCACGGAGAGAGCGAGCGCCAGGAGGCGTGCCGGCGTTACACCCCCATGGCAGAGCTGGGAGCACGCGCACGGCCTGACTACGTGGTGGGGGTCTGGCCCGAGCCTCTTGGAACACCCCACCCTGCAGCTGCATCAGCAGGAGCTAAAACAGCCCCCGAGTGACCAGAAAGCACGAAGTCCTCAGATTTCTTCCTCATCTCAACAATTTCAGGGAGGCTGGCCATTCCCCCACCTGTGGAAACTGCACGACACCTCAAATGTGCTTCCAGACAAAGCACCCGCCCGGTGACCATGCCCACAGGTGGCCGCCATCCAGGAGACGCCAGGGAGGCCTTCAGCTCGCCACGGCTGACGCTCAGAGCAGCCCGAGCATCGCGCAATACGAGGCTGCCGAAGCCGCGTCGCTGTCCTCAGGGCTTCCACCCGGTCTCCGTGACCCGCACCGGGGCTGAGCTCTGCCCGGGCCCCAGAGAGCCCTCGGCTCCCCACTCACTAGACGGCAGACAGAGGAGCCTCGCACCAGACCCCAGGGCAGCCCATGACAGAGGCCGGGGTAGGGAGGTCCTCGGACAGGCGCGCCCCAGAACCACAGAGCCCGAGGGCCAGGGAGGCCGCCTGGGCTCGGAAACCGGCCTCGCCTCTTCTGAGCCGCATCGCCTCCTCAGCCAGACCTGCTAGCCCAGCACCTGCTCCCGGACACGGTGAGCCTCCAGGAGCAGGGCGGCCCCCCACGCCCAGCCCCAGACAGAGCCCCGTAGGCACCTTTGGATCGGAGGGGCTGGAGATCTTGGACACCAGAGCCGCCTCGGCCAGGCCCTGCTCCAGCAAGGAGTCGTACTTGATGCTCCTCTTCCTGCTCCTGCGGGCCTTGCCTTCCGGCTTCTGCCCGCTGTCCTCGGACTGCGACACGGCAGCAGCCCCGTCGCCACAGATGGAAGATTCAAAGAGCGGCTTCCCGTTCATGTACGTTTTGGTGATTTTCAGCTTGATTTCCGGAGAGCCGTTTTTGGTCGGGGTGGCGAGGGGCGGCTCCTGGGACTCAAAGCGCAGCTTGGCCTCGTGCGCCCCGGGCTCTCCGTTAAACACGCGGGACGTCAGGTCCTTCAGCCTCTCGGCCGGCAGGAAGGGCAGCGCGTCGTGGCCGTTGAACCTCTGCACGACGCCCTCCTGCAGGCCGGCCGAGAGCGGGGCCTTGCCCAGGAGCACGGAGCACTCGCGGCTCACCTCGCAGCTCTGTGCCTTCCCGCTGGCGCTGCCGAGGGCTTCCGGCGCCTGCTTCATCGCGAGGCACTTGACGACTTTCTGAAGGGAAAGCGGGCTTTTTCTCACGCCGACTTCCATTCAGCCCGACACGTCCGCCTTTAGAACGCTGCAGGGCAACAAAAAGAAACGTCAGCGCACAGAGGACGGGCCCATGGCTGGCCACCGGGACGAGAGGGAGATGGCGGCTGCACCACGAGGCCCTTCTGCCCCTTCTGGCAGGGCAGCTCCCCAGAACCGAGACGAGATCGCTGACACACACCCCCATGGGCACCTGGACATGCCCTCGCTGACCACCCGCAGGGCCAGGACACTGCGGGCTGTGTGCACGCGCATGTCCGCACGCCCAAGACCACGGTGCCTGCCGACTGTGAGGGCCGTGGCCGGACCGGGCAGCCTGCTGAGCCCCAGGGGCCAGATGCGCTCTTGCAGGACACACCACCTCAGGCGCAAAAGGGCTGTGAAGACCACAAGAGAGGCGGCCTGGGGAGAACCTCAGGGGCGCCGGGTGCACCTCAATGAAGAGGAGGAGCGGCATCTCTGTGATAGGAGTGCCGGCACCGCTGGGCCCTGGGGTGGCCCCGGCGTCCCCTTGCTGCTTCACAGAGCGGCCGGGGGCATGGTGGCCATTATGACACCTCAGAGATGAGACAAAGGCACAAAGTGAGAGCCCGAGAGGGACAGGGGGAGCGGCAGGCAAGAGGGCAGAGACCAGTGGCCGGATTTGTGCTGGACACGTGCCCGGGGAGCACGGGCTGCCTGTGCCAGGCCACCCCAGAAGGCAGGGAGGCGCCCAAAGCCGATAAGATGGCAGCGGAAGGTCCCGCGACAGGCCGGACGGACACCCGTGGGAGCAGATGGTTCTACAGGCCCAGGGCAACAGGATGAGAAGAGCCTTGGCGTCAACTGGAGAGGGACGTGGTCAGACACCCAGCCCCGCCGGCGCAGCTCTCCTCCCAGGGCGGAGGGACCCGCAGCACGGGACAGGCCGGGCGTCCACTAGGAGCGACAGAAACCAGGCTCGGCGGCTGCAGAGGGAGGCGCCCGAGGGTGGGCGGGCACGCGCCAGGAGGTGCTGCCGGGGCGGGGCTGGGAACAAGGCGGGCGCATGTGGTATGGACGGCCAGGGCTGAGCGCTGAGTTACCTCAGGCGACGGACGGACTTGGCCCCGGGTCTCCAGGCCCCGCGGGCACCCACGGTCACCGCAGCGCTGTTCCCGGCAGCCGAGGGCAGAGATACCCGCAGGCCCCACGTGGACAGACATGTGGGCACCATCCCCACGGGGAATGCTGGTCAGCCTGGGGGGACACACGGGCCCTGCTGCTGGCAGGAGGCCTTGAAGACGACGTTGAGCAGAAAGAGCCAGGCCCAGAGAGGCCCCAGGAATGTCAAATTCAGACAGAAAATAGGGCGGTGGGCACCAGGGGAAGCTGGACTCAGTGTGGGCAGTTCCCATAAGGAGGGGATGAAGTTACAGCGGGCCAGGGAGGCTGTCCCCCCACAACTGGGTGGTAGCACTTGATACCAAGAAAAAGGCTCTTCAAGGTGAAGGCCAAGCACGTGCTAAGAGATCAGAAACCGCGAGGCTGTCACTGGCAGGGACGGCCTGAAAGGAACCAGCAGCTGATGAGAAATGAGACAGAACCCAGGTCGTCAGGGGCCAGCGGAGGACGCCAGAGACGGTGCATGTTCTTGTTCCTCTGAGTTTCTTTAACATTCAGGTAACGGGGCCTCTCTGGTGGCGCAAGGGGTTGAGTGCAGCACCATGAAGCTGTTCGCAGCCTCTACGGCCTGAGTTCGATCCCTGGCCAGGGAGCTGACCCACAGGGCGCAGCAGACCTCTCCTGTCTCCCCGCTGCTCTCCTCAGCAGTGGATTTCAGTCAGTCTGCCTGTTCTGCTCCCCACTCTGTCTCTGGGGAATCCTCTCACCCCCCCACACCTCTGGCCTGTACCCCAGCTCTTGTGTGCATACATAAATCTTTAATAAGCAACTGAAATTTAATGCAGACTCAGAGCTTAACAAAAAGAGCCCAACAAGCTGTCCACAGGCCACATCATCCCAGCACCTTCCACGGGGCTCGGGCCCAGGACGCACTGGTGGCAGCTGTCCTTGCGCTGCTGCTCCCCACGCTTAGCGCTGCCCCTGCCTAAACCCGCTCCCCTCCCTCCCGAGGAAGAGCACATGGCCTTCCCACGCGCTCCTGCCAGCGCACGCCTCGGCTCAGACCATGGCCTCTGGACGCAGGGAAACCCACCAGGGTCCCGGCTCACTGCAGAGCAGCGGGCTGGGGGGAGCTGAGGGGAGGCCGTGGGGCCCACCCTCGCCGAGTTTGCCCTCTCGCAGCTGGGCATCAGAGACAGGGCAGTGGCTGCCTCAGAGATAGACAGCTGCTAGAGAGGATCCCTGCATTAAGGAGCCTTCGCGGGATGTCCGGCCCCAGAGCCCTGAGCTAAGCTCGTGAGTGCCGTGAGGACACTGCGGACAGCAGGCAGCGCCCTTGCCCGTCTGGTTGTGTGGGACGACCTGGGGGCCACCCCTGGCCCTCGTGCCCCCAGCAACAGGCTTCCTGAGACTCATGCAACGTCCCTCCAGGGCGGCGCCCGCCCAGCCTCCAGTGGGCGGGCTGGCCAGGACCCCAAGGCCGGTCACAACCCAAAGCACGTGACTTGGCACAGACCCGGCGTGGCCTGGGACATGCGCTTCGCCAGCCCTGTGAGGCCGCGCCACCCATCTTGGGCAAGAAGACGAGGTGCGCTCACAGACGCGGCCGCACACAGCCTCCCAGGCCTGGTCAGCAGTAGCCCGGGCGCTTCCGGGCAGCAGCCATGCCCAGAGGACCTGCCGGGGCCCTGCCCACCGGGGGGCGGCGACAGGTGGGAGCTGGGACAGGCTCAGAGACGCGGCATCTGCGGACTCCGGAAGCCACGCCAGAGGCCCCACGCAGCGCCAGAGCCGCAGCGAGACCGTGCGAGCCAGGAGCGGCCACCAGAACAGGGACCGGCGCCGCGCCAAGGGCCAGGCCGCCTGTGCTGGCGACTGTGAAGCCCCGGGACACACGCCACTGCAGGCGAGCTCAGAGCGTCACTCTGGAAGGAGCCAGAGAGGGAACTGGCTCCTCCCCTCTCCCGGCCACCGGTGCCCGCTCCGCCGGCTCTTTCCGGGCTGCCTCGGTCCCTGCCTCCCCTACAGCGTCCACCCCCGCGCCGGGCAGCCCGGTGCCCAGCACAGCTGCTCGTCCCTGAGCCTCCTCTCCCGCCTGGCATGGTGACCCACTTTCCGACCTCACCCCCGGGCAAGCACGTTCAGGCCACCCCCCCCAGTCCACACGGCTTCTGAGTCATGACACACTGAACTCCAGTGGGGGCTCCCGCCACCCCCACTGCCGCAGGGCGAGCAGGCACCGGGGGTGTGGCGGTGACGAAGCCACGGGAGAGCTCCCCCCAGACGTCTCAGCGGCCGGAAGGGGGGGCGCGTGACCGCAGAAGACGGGCGGTAAGTGCCCAGGGAAACGCCGCGGCAGATGGGGAGCAGCGGGTGCAGCAGCGTGTTGTGTCAGGGAAGGCGCCTGGGGGGGGACGTCTGGCCAGGACCGCAACGCAGGTAAGGCGAAGGTGATGCCGGCGGCCGGGGAACAGCATCCAGGCAGATAGAACAGCGAGCGCAGCAACCTGAGGTCGGGCATGGTGCAGGGCTCAAGGCAGGCGGGGTCCGGTCTTGCCACAGCACATGGGAGTGGAGAGCAGGCGCAGGTGGGTGGACACAGCCAACAGCCCTCGGGGGCTTCTCCGAACAGGCAGGGCCAGGGGTGGCTTCCCAGGAGTGACATCCGAGCGGGGTCCTCGAGAAGAGGGAGCTCGGAAGAAAGGCCAGCCGTGCCACACTCGGGGCGTGTGGCCGTGTGTGACAAAGTGAGCTAAGGCAGGGGGCCCAGGGGAAGCCTGGCAAGAGGGCTGAGGGTGCAGGCACAGAGGGAGGGGAACAGGATCGGCAGCAGAAAGCCCAGGAGACACCGGCCTCGGGGCCCAGGCCCTGGGGAGCCGTGGGAGGCAGGCTCCGCGAGCACACGCGCGTTTCCGAAAGACCAGCCGGGCCAGCGCCGAGGCGGTAAAAGCCAAGTCAGAGGCGCCTGCTGAGACGCCTCCAGAGCACGCCAGCAAGGGCCACGCCAAGACCTGGCCAAGGGCGACAGGCGACAGAAACACCCCTGGTCAACCCGCTTCACCGACTTGCCGGACAGGCCTGGGCTAGCGATGTCCGCCTCCTCCAGGGAGCACTGACTGGCCGCGCCGGCTGCTGGGCGTCCAGAGGCCCTCAGCGCCACCACCGCACCGCTGCTTCCACCCTCAGATACCTCGCCGGGGGCCTCGAGGACGGCATCGGAGTGGCGCCTGACTACCCCACGTGGCGAGGAAGGCGAACTCAAGAACCGAACCAATGTGAGGTCTTGGCTTTTTGAACGCACAAGCCCAATCCCTCAAGTCAGCGACGGCCGGCGGGAGCGGCGGCGCACCCACAGGAAGGCACGAGCCAGCGGGACCGACGCGAGCCGCTGTCCTCTCCGAGCACTGGCCCAGCAGGCGCTCCCGACAGGAGCCATGGAGGGGCTGCGAGGCGCGCGCCTGGCCCTGCACGCCCGCTCCCCCCGCACCGTGTGTCTGTTCCCTGCTGTGCCCGGCGCAGAGTGGCCTAGGGGGCTCCCACCCTCCTCTACCGGCTTATTTGCTCGCGACGTCTTACAACTTCTATCCCATGTTGGCGTTAACCACAGCGAAGAAAGGAAAAGGGGGGAGCAGCGCTGCCTGCGAACAAGGCCTGGGCCCCGCAAGCACAGGCCAGCCCCCCGCCCCCCCCCAGCTTCTCCAGGGGTCCCTTTCTGCCCCAGCATGATGTCTCACAGAGGCCAACTGGCCTGGTGCTGGTAGCTACATGGGCAGTTCGCTGACCCCAGTCACGTGCCCACCTGCTCAGCACCCACCGAGCGCCCACCGAGGGCGTGCCGCAGAGGCCTGGGGCTGAGCCCTGCCTCCAAGAGCTCCTGCAGAGGGGAGGGAGCCCTGCAAAGGCTGGGTGCCCCTGCTCAGAAAAGGAGATCCACGCACACCAGCGCAAAGGCCTGGCATCAGGGCCGGCACCACGTGTCTGGGGATGAGGACACCCTCGTGTGGGCCTGACGAGAGTGAGAGGCTCGGAAACCGGGGCGCGGGTCCAACCCGCACAGCCCCAGCCAGCAGCCCCCGGGAAAAGCCCAACGCGAGGATGAAACCTCTGGCTTCCGCCCCCTTCTGGTCCCCAAAGCTTTTCTTTGCCAGGACTTGTCCAGACCTACAGGCACAGCGCCTGCAGGCCACACAGCTGGGCACCCGGGCGCGCCCACTCTGGGTGCAGGAGGCCGCACTGACCAGTGTCTGCCACCCTCCCGGGGCGTCCATCCCGACTCCTCCTGTCTGCTTCACCCTGAGGTGCTGAGCAGAAAGGAAGTGCCGGCCGCACGGCGCGCGCGGAACCCTGAACCCCGCAAGCCCGCAGCCGCAGAGGGCACCCGGTAGGTGCCAGACCCCGCGCTCCCCTCCCTGAGCCGGGGGCCTCTTGCTGCCCAGAGGCCTGGCCCGTCCCCGCCGCCGCCTCAGCCCCGCCGCAGGCAGCGGGTCCACCGGAGCCCCCGGCTCTGCCTCCAGCGAGCTCCGGCGACGGGCGCCCCGCGCGGGCTCCAGGGCCGGCCCTCACCCTGGGGTGGACGGCCACGGCTGCCGGCCGGGATGCCCGCGCCCGCGCCCAGCCTGCCCTGCCCGGCGGCGCGGCGAGGCGGGACGCGACCGCTGAGGGGAGGAGGCCGGGCCCGCGCGCCGGGCGCCTGACGCGACCCACGGGGCGCGCCCTCCCCGGCCCGCCGGCCGGAGCCCGAGGCCGGCGCCGAGGCCAGGGCGGGGGAAGGAAACGACTCCAGGCCGCCGCGGCCGCGCGGGCCCCGCCGACCCCGCCGCCCGGCCGCAGACCCCCGCCCCCGCGCCCGCGCCCGCGCCCGCCCGCCCGCCGCCCGGCCGGCCGGCCGGCGGGTCATTGTTCGGCCGCGCGGCTCGCGGCGGCGGCGGCCTCACCGGTCGCGCCCGCGGGCCCTTCGGGCGGCGGCGCCCCGAGAAGTTCGGCCGCACCGCGGCCCCGGCCCGGCCCGGCCCGGCCCGCGCGCACAAAGCGGGGCCTCGGGGCGGGCGGCACGAGGGGCTCCTCCGCGGAACCAGGCCGCGGCGCCTGTCAGCGCGGGCCCCGACGGGGGCGCCCGCGGGGTCGCGCCCGCCGCCCGCCCGCCCGCCCGCCCGCCCGCGCCGGGAGCCCAACCGCCCGGCGGCGGGGCCGGGGCCGCCCGCCCGCCCGCCGCCCGCGCCCGCCGCGGCGAACAAAGGGGCCGCTCCCGGCACAGGTGCAGCCCGGGCCCAACATGGCCGCGCCGCCGCCCCCCCGCCCGCCCGCCCGCCCGCCGCCGCCCGCCCGGAGACCTGCGAGCGGCGCGTCCTCCGGCGGCGGCGGCCCGGGGGCGGCGGCGAGGCGGCCAGGCCCAGGCTCTCCGCGCGCGGCGCCGACCCCGCCCCCGCGCCTCCCGCCCGCCGCCGCCGCCGCCGGCCGCCGCCGCCGCCAGCCGCGGGAAAGAGCGCGCCGCTGATTGGCTGCCGCGCGCGCGGGGCCGCGGCCGGGCTTTTCAAATCCGCGCGCGGCGGGCGGGGGCGGGGCGGGGCCGGGCGCCCGCGACGGCGCCGAGCCCGAGCCGAGCGCGCGCCCGCGGCCGTTCCTCGCCTCGCGCGGCGGCGGCCGGCCGGGCGGGCCCGCGCGCTGACGTCACGCCGCGCGGCCAATCGCCGCCCGCGCCCGGCCCCGCGGCGGGAAGGGGCGGCCGGGGGCGGCCGCGCGCCCGCGGACCCGTCGGGCCCGCCGGCCTCCGGCCCCGCGTCGCCCGCTGGGCCGCCGAGAGCGCGGCCCGCGGGGAGGGCGGCCCCGGAGAAGGGGCGCGGCCGGCGGGGCCGACGCGCGGCCGGGGAAGGCGCGCGTGCCGGGGCGCCGACGACCGGCGCCCGCCCTCCGGGGAAGCGGACACCCCGCTCGCGGGGCCGCCGAGGAGGGCCCGAGGGCAGGCCCCGGGACGCGGGCACCTGCAGACCGCCCGGCCGCTCAGCGCGGTGCGCGGGCGCGGGGCCCGCCCAGGCCGCGCGCACCTTCGGCCGGGCGGGGTGGGCCTCCCCGAGGAGGCAAGCGACGGGCCGGGGCGAGGGAGGCCGCGGGCCTGGGCCCGGTGCCAGGCAGAACCGGGATGGCGGGGCCGTGAAACCACCGGCAGGCGCCCGCGGCCGCGCCCCGTCACAGCCCCCAGGAGCGCGCGCCTGCGCTCGAGCCCTGCGGTGCGCTGTGGGCTCCGGGTGAGGACGGGGAGTCACATTCAGCAAGTGGACATCCGCTGTGGGCAGCGGGAAGGCCCGCCGCGGGGTCGAGTCCACATAGAACCCGACTTTTCAAACATTTGTTTTAAGATTTATGTATTTAGGGCCTCCCCGGTGGCGCGGCGCGGCGGGTGAGCGCTGGGCTGCGAAGCTGCCCGCGGCCTCTGCGGCGCCGGTTCGATCCCCGGCTGCTCCCCGGCCACCAGAGGAGGGTCCCACACGGCGCGCAGACCTCTCCTGCCGCCCGCTGCTCCCCTCAGCAGTGTGCTTCGGTCCTTCTGCCTGCTCTGCTCCCCGCTCTGGCTCTGGTGAATCCTCTCGCCCTCCCGCGCTTCTGACTGTACCCAGTGCTTGTATAAACAAACAAATCTTTTAAAAAAAAAAGAAACAAGGGCCTCCCCGGTGGCGCAGCGGTTGAGCGCTGGGTTGCGAAGCTGCCCGCAGCCTCTGCGGCACCGGTTCGATCCCCAGCTGCTCCCCGGCCACCGGAGGAGGGTCCCACATGGCGCGCAGACCTCTCCTGCCGCCCACTGCTCCCCTCAGCAGTGTACTTGGGTCCTTCTGCCTGCTCTGCTCCCCGCTCTGGCTCTGGTGAATTCTCTCACCCTCCCGCGCTTCTGACTGTACCCAGTGCTTGTATAAACAAATAAATAAATAAATAAAACATGCCTCTATTAAAAAAGTCATTGTTTATTAAAAAAAAAAAAAAAAAAAAAGAAACAAGACAAAGATTTATGTATGCACACAAGAGCTGAGTACAGCCAGAGGTGGGGGGTGCGGTTTAGAGGATTCCCCAGAGACAGAGCGGGGAGCAGAACAGGCAGACGGACTGAAATCCACTGCTGAGGGGAGCAGCGGGTGAGACAGGAGGGGTCTGCCGTGCCGTGTGGGTAGCTCTCTGGCTGAGGATCGAACTCTTGCTGCAGGGGCTGCAGACAGCTTCATAGCGCTGTGCTTAACCTCTTGCACCACCAGGGAGGCCCAGAACTCTACTTTCTCCTCAGTTTTGCTGGAAATCTAAAACTGCTCTAAAAATCAAAATCTTGAAAAGTCGAGTCTTAGCCCTCGCCACCTGAGCTGTGACCCTGTTTGAAGGTGCACAGGCTGACGGGCTATCCGGGGGGACCAGGCCCTTACAGGGAGGGGGGGCGCCGCCAGTGTGCTGGAAAAACTGCAGGTGAAGCTGAAGGCAGCGATGAGGTGGGTTCTAAGCCCAGGGATGGCAGCACCCCACGGCAGGCCGGGCCAAGAGACCCACACCCACCTCCGCTGCCGGCACCTGGTGCTGCGGGGGGACGTTTCTTGTTTCATTCGCCATGTCCGGGTGCCCTACTCCCGCAGCCCCTCATCTGCAGTTGGCCCCTCAAACCACAATTCAGCCTCTGCATCTGAGGGCCAGACCTACGGCAGCTGGAGGGGGCTGGACCAGAGTTGGGGACGGCGGGCCTTAGATAGCCTGGACATCTGTAGGGGAGGGAAGTGGGTGAAGTCTCCTTACTCCCCCAGAGGATTGCACCCCACAGCAGGAGACATGGCCTTAGGTGAGCAATGGGACCACAGCAGGAATGGCGCCCACGCAAGCTGTCCCATGGCCCTCAGCTGGCGTCCACTCCCTTCTCCCTATGTCATAGCCACTGGCACCTGGGCGCCAGCCCCAGCGGCTGGGCAAGGAGGCAGCAACACCTCGGCCGTGCCCTCCGCACCAGGGCCCACCTGCCACCACAGACCGGAGTGGTCAGGTCACCTGCAAGTACAAACTAGCAGTGCCAAGGCCCAGCCCTGGTCTGTTCCCCAAACCCCCAGATCTCCCCAAAACCTTGATGGTCGTAATCCAGTGCTTGTTCTCCTAATCCAAAAGGAAGGAGAGATGGGCCAGAGAGGTTGGAGAGCATTTTGCTCAGGCCTCTCGGCCAGGACTGGGGGTGGGGTGGGGGCACTGCTTGGACTGGGGCCCCTGCTCAGGGGGGTGGGCCCACATGACCCCGAGGCCACCTCCTTGGTGGCGCAAGGGGTTAAGCACAGCCCCCTATGCTTAACAATGAAGCAATCTGTAGCCTCTGCAGCAGGAGTTCGATCCCTGCCCAGGGAGCAACCCACATGGCGCAGCAGACCTCTCCTGTCTTACCCGCTGCTCCCCTCAGCAGTGTGTTTCAGTCAGGCTGCCTGTTCTGCTCCCCACTCTGTCTCTGGTGAGTCCTCTCACCCCCTCCCCCACCTCTGACCTGTACTCCAGCTCTTGTATGCATAAATAAATCTTTAAAACAAAACAAAAACAAAAGGAAAGAGGGCTCCCCGGTGGTGGTGGCTCAGCGGTTGAGCGCTGGGCTGTGAAGCTGCCCACAGCTTCTGCAGCGACGGTTTGATCCCTGGTCACTGGTGAGGGTCCCACATGGCGCGCAGACCTCTCCTGCCGCCCGCTGCTCCCCTCAGCAGTGTCCTTCGGTCCTTCTGCCCGTTCTGTTCCCCGCTCTGGCTCTGGTGAATTCTCTCACCCTCCCGCGCTTCTGACTGTACCCAGTGCATGTATAAATAAATAAATCTTTAAATTAAAAAAAAGGAAGGAGAGGAAGGGCCTGGGCGCAGGTGGGGTCCATGAAGACAGAGCAGGATGAGGGAACCTACACCAGCCTCCCCAGAGCTGTCTGCCTCGCTCCTCGCACCCACGGTTCCTGGCTCACGCCCTGAGCCCTGTATGTGCTGCTACTGAAGGCAAAGCCTTAGCCCAAGAAGCCTGAGCCCCAGGCTGGCCTCCCCACCCCCTGCCAGGGCCAGGGTCCCAGGGCAGGTGCATGGCTGTTTCCATGGGGATGCGTGCACTCTGACCCCGGCCTTTCTCCACTCCTGGCCAAATAAAGAGGCTTTTGAGGGGGAAGCAGTGGGCTCAGGCCACCACTCTGTCCAGGTCACCCTGCCTCGGAGGAGGCCAGGAAAGGGAGGCCCCGGGATAGGCCCGCAGCCCAGGGAAAGCATGGTGGCGGCTTCCCACCCCCAACCTTCCTGGCAGCCCACTCCCAGCCCTGACCACGCCTGCGGGCTGGAAACCTGGCTGCCCAAGGGCCCGCATCCCCAGCCCAGGCCCGCTGCGGTTCCCGAGACAGCTCTTGGGAGCGTCTGTGCTCACCCAGAGTTGGTGGGCAGCACCGCCAGGTGCCTTGGGGTCATGTGGGCCCACCCCCCTGAGCAGGGGCCCCAGTCCAAGCAGCGCCCCCACCCACCCTCAGTCCTGGCCAAGAGGCCTGAGCAAAATGCTCTCCAACCTCTCTGGCCGGCCTTGCTGCGTGCACCTTGGAGCTGACCCGTAGGCACCCCAACCAGTCTGAGGGGCCCCCCAGCAGAGTCCCAGTGGTCCCTCCAAGAGCAAACTACAGTCTGGGGCCAGGGTCCAATCCTGAGGGCAGCGGCAGACCTGTCTTTCCTGAAAAAGCTGCTTCTTGGAGATTCCGCCCAAGCCGGCCTATGCCTTCCCCCAGCTGGCTCCAAGATTCTGAAGTGGAGACCCCTTCTAATCCACTTGTCCCCTCTCCTGCCCAGCCACCTGGCCCGCTCCCAGCGGGCCTTCCTTCAGCCTCCTACTGGAAGCTGGGTGTCCACTGGTTGCCCTGCCCTGCCCTGCTTCCCCTCATCCATTCTCCACACCCAGCTGGGATGTTTTCTGAGCCACAGAACTGACCGTGTCACCTCCCTGCTCAAAACCCACTATGACTCCCCAGCGCCTCCACCACAAAGCCTGCCCTCACCCAGCCTCACCCTAGACACCACCTCCACCTCTCCAGCTAGGTTCCTCCCAGGTCTCCTGCCTGGCACAGCTGGCTCCCGCTGAAGCCGCCCCTGGACAGCCACAGGGACCTGACCTAGGGAGGAGCCTGATGGCGCTTCTCCCATGCCAGTCCCAGGGGACACTTCCCCCAGAAGCCTCCTGGCCACGTGGGCCTCCCCGAGGTGGCATGGTCAGTGTTCAGCCCAGGTGGCAGTGCAGCCTGGGGTGGCCGCCACTTCAGCACTGCTGCCCGCGCATGTGCCGCCCTTACTGTGCCCCGAGGCAGCTGCTCAGTGGGCCTCTTGCAGCCCTGGAGGCCAGAGCCGGAAACCAAGGTGTGTGCAGGTCTGCTCTGGCCCTGCCCTCCCGCCAGGAGCCCGAGCTCCTGGGGGCGAACGTCCTCCTGCTCCCTGGCTGCAGACCCGGCTCTTCTCACGCCACCCGCCTCTGACGTCTCCCACACGGACACGGGCCATGGCAGTAGGGCCCACTGACCGCGCCTGCGAGGCCAGTTTCAGGCAAGGTGGCACTGGCGGGCGCCGGGAGGTCGTGGCTCCCAGCGCGGGGCGCGCAGAAGGGATGCCAGGTCGCGAACGGCGGTGCGGGCGGGAGGCGCCGCGCACGGTGCTAGGGCGGCCTGCGGGGAGAGCCCAGCTCCTCCCCGCGCGGGCTCCTGGGCCCCGCCCCGCGCCCCCCTGGCCCGCGGCAGGAGTCTGCTCTCCAGCTGCGGAGCCCGACGGTCGGATGCGGGGCAGGCGGCCCAGAGCCGGCCGAGGAGGGCGAGCGCCCCAGCCGCGCAGCCTCCCCTGTCGCCCGCCCGGAGCCGAGCGCGCACCCCACCTCCGCGGGGCCGCCGCGGGCCGCGAGGCCCACTCACAGCCCCGGCACGAAGAGGACGTTTTGTGCTCACGTGGCGTTTCTTTTTCTAATTATGGAAACCGAAGGCTGTGAGAGCCGAGACTGGCAGAAAGGGGGAAATGCGGCTCTTGCGCGCGCTGAGCTGCAGCAAAGTGAACGCTGGCAGGGCCGGGGCGCCTGTGTCCGGCACTGGTGCCCCCCGCTCTCTGGGGGCTGCCGCGGACCCCAGATGCAGCCTGCAGAGACAGCCTGGCCTGCAGCCACGCAGGTTTTCCTTCTCTTTATTGCAACCACCTTAGATTGATGGAAGAGGCGGAGATTGCAGCGCAGCCCCCAGCTGTGCAGGGGTGGACCCCTCACAGGCAGTGGCAGCTTTGCGCTGCTAACAAAGCAAGGCCTGTCCACCACAGCTCCTGTCCAGACTTGACTCGGGGCACCCAGGGCATCCCACAGAGGCAGCTGGTTTCTTTTTAAAGGAAAACCCAGGGCCTCCCTGGTGGTGCAGGTGGTTGAGTGCCGCACTGTGAAGCTGTCCACAGCCTCTGCAGCCCGGGTTCAATCCCGGCCTGCCAGGGAGATTCCCACAGGTCACAGCAGACCTCTCCTGTCGCGCCCGCTGCTCCCCTCAGCAGTGTATTTCGTCAGTCTGCCTGTTCTGTTCCCCGCTGTCTCTGGTGAGTCCTCTCACCCTCCTGCACATCTAACCCATACCCCAGCTCTTGTATAAATAAATCTCAAAAAAAGGCAAACCTGGAAAGTACAATGCAGGTTGGGGGGGGTCACAGCCGTTGGCTTGGGGTCCACCCTGCTGTCCACCCACCTGCGGGTGGTGGGCGGCAGCAAGTCAGCCAGCTCTGCTAGCCCCAGACCAGAGGTGCCCAGGCCTGCTCACCCTGCTGCATTTGTGGGCAGCTTCTGTGTGAGACAGAGAGGTGGCACCCAAGCTGGCTCCCCAAGAGGGGCCCACGGGGAGGGCGCTGGAGCAGGGTGCAGACCCTGCAGTCCTTGCTGAGGGATGCATGTGTGTAGGGAAGGCCCCCAACTCAAAGACAGCTAATGCCCACTTCTGGGGGGTGGCAGAGGGGAGACCTCATCCAAGCCCCCTGGACAACCAGGGCAGGAGCTGAGATTGGGGTCCATGCACAGGCTCAGCACCTGTGCCGCCATGTGTAAGACCCCCCCCCATGGCCTAGAGGCTCCAACAGCGCTGGACCTTGCTTGCAGCAGGCAGTCCCTCAGTGGGCCGTCCGGGAGCGTGAGCCGGGTGCTTTTGGCCCCAGGCCTCCCATGGGGTTCTGACCAGAGGCAGGGCCTCTATCCACCAGAGTCTGATATGGAGCCAAGATGCTTCTTTTCTGAAAAGGTTTTATTCATGTACACGGGGGTCAGTCTTTCTTGGCAGCAGCCTTCCTTAGGCAAGCCAGGATGGTGCCAGGTCCCCTCTCTTACCCCCACCACGCATGTGTCTCCACCCTCTTCTAGATGAACTCGAGGGCTGGCTTGTCCTTGGAGACTTGAGCAGCTCCCGCGCGCGAATTTGGGATGTGTGGTGAGGTGACCACCTCCCGGCTTGCGCAAGTTCTTGGTGACCAAGTGGCCCTTGTTGAGGCCCGCGGCCATGGGGGAGCGCAGAGCTGTGGCGCCGGCCCCTCCACCGCGGTGCCAAGGAGGCTTGCTCGGGTGGCAGCCTTGGGGAAGCCCCCCGTGCTCACTCGTGTCCTGTGACAGGGGACCAGCTCCTCCGAGTAGGAACCCTGAGGGAACAGGGCGGAAGCTGCAGGGTCATCAGCCAGCAGTCTGGCCTGGGAAAGCACGCACCCAGCCGCCTCCAGAGCAAGGTGACGGGATCCAGAGATTCTACCCATCACCCCAGGGCCAGGACAACGCAGTCGCTGGGCAGAGGAAGCCAGGAGAAAACAAACGCCGGACGCGGGGGGAGAGCCGCTGACAGACGCGGCCCTGCGCACAGGCAGACGCGTGCTCCGGGGCGCCCAGGCGGTGAACAGCGAGGGGGGCCGCTCCCGGGGAGCCGCACCGGCTGCTCCGGGGCCAACGCGCGCACGGCCCGGCCTGCGGAAACGTCCCGCCGGGCCCCGGAGACCCCAGCGGCGGCGGCTTCCAGCGTAAAACCTGGAGGCACCGTCTCCCGGGGGCGCCCGGCAACCCTCGCTGGCCCCGCTCCGCCCTCGTCCTCCCGGGGCGCTCCCGCTCGCCGGGCAGAAGAGCCGCCGCCCCGGCCTCCCGGCGCGCGCCCCGCTCCAGGCCGCGGCGCGGGGGCCAGGGCCGCTCCCCGTCCTCGGGCCGCCCCGCCCGCCTCCCTCCCCGCCCGCGGCCGCGGGGCCCCGCACCTGCGCCGCCCGGCGGGGCCCACACGCAGGGACAGGGCGCCGCGGCCGGGGCGGGAGGCCGAGCCGGGGCCGGGCCAGGCGGGCGCGGGCAGGACGCGGGCGCGAGCCCCGCGAGCGACGGCCGCCCCGGGGCGCTGGCCTCGGAGCCGCCCCGACTCGCGGCAGGGCGCCCCGGACGCGCGGCCTCGGCTTCCGTGGGTCGGAACAGCGGGCGCCGCCCGGGGGACCCGGGGATCCGCGCCCCCCGCGCCCCTTGGGCGGCCCCAGCCTCACATCTGCAGTCGCGACCCCTCCCCCGCGCAGGCGCCCTGGGCCCGCCCTCCTCCGCGCAGGCGCCCTGGGCCCGCCCTCCCCCGCGCAGGCGCCCTGGGCCCGCCCTCCCCCGCGCAGGCGCCCTCGGCCCGTCCTCTCCCCGCGCAGGCGCCCTCGGCCCGCCCTCCCCCGCGCAGGCGCCCTCGGCCCTCCCTCCTCCGCGCAGGCGCCCTGCCCCCACCCCGCGCAGGCACCGCCATCGCGCAGGCGCCGCCGCCCCGCGCGGGGCACGCCGGGAGCGGGAGGCGGCCGCCCCCGGGTCCGCCCCTCACCTGCCGGCGGCGGGCGCCGGGGCCCAATGGGAGCGGCGGCCGCCGCCCCGCCCAGCGCCGCCGGACGTCTGTGCCGGACATGGCCGCCGCCGAGCCGGGTCCTTGAGCCGAGCGCCCGCCGCCAGCAGCCCGCCGCCGCCAGCCGTCCGCGCGCGGAGGAGGAGGAGGCCGAGCGGGGCCGGGGCCGGGGCCGGGCCGGAGGCGCAGCGGCCGCGCATGGCGTCCATCTTGCTGCGGAGCTGCCGCGGCCGGGGGCCCGCCCGCCTCCCGCCGCCCCGCGCCGCCGCCCCGAGGGGTAAGCGGCGGGGCCGGGGCCGGGCGGGGCGGGGCGGGGCGGGCGGCGGCGGGCTGGCCGGGGTCTCGGGGGCAGCGGCGCGGGCCGGCGGCGCGGGGCGGCGGGGCCGTGACTCACCGGCGTGACCTTAGCCGCCGCGGCCGCGGGGCGGGCGCCTGAGGGGGCGCGGCGGGGCGGGCGCTGGCCCCGGGGGGGGCGCTGCCCGGGGGGGGGCGCCTGAGGGAGCGCGGCGGGACGGGCGTTGGCCGCGGCGGGGGCGCTGCCCGGGGGGTGGGACGCCTGAGGGAGCGCGGCGGGGCGGGCGCTGGCCGCGGGGGGGGGGGGGCGCTGGCCGCGGGGGGGGGGGCCTGAGGGAGCGCGGCGGGGCGGGCGCTGGCCGCGGGGGGGGGGGCGCTGCCGGGAGGGGGGGGGCGCCTGAGGGAGCGCGGCGGGGCGGGCGCTGGCCGCGGGGGGGGGGCGCTGGCCGGGGGGGGGGGGCCGCCTGAGGGAGCGCGGCGGGGCGGGCGTTGGCCCCGGGGTGGGGGGGGCGCTGCCCGGGGGGGGGGCGCCTGAGGGAGCGCGGCGGGGCGGGCGTTGGCCGCGGGGTGGGGGGGGCGCTGCCCGGGGGGGGGGCGCCTGAGGGAGCGCGGCGGGGCGGGCGCTGGCCGCGGGGGGGGGGGGGGCGCTGGCCGCGGCGGGGGCCCCTGAGGGAGCGCGGCGGGGCCGGCGGGAGGCTGTGTGGCGACCCGGGCAGGTGCCTTCGGACCTGGAGCTTCGCGGGGCTCCCCCGGCTCCTCCTGCAAAGGGTCCCCGCTGGGGCGCGGTGGCGGGGAAGACGCGGCTCGCTCGGGCTCCCCGAGGCTCGCGGCCTCCCGTGCTCTCTCAGCGGCTGCCGGGGCAGCGGCGGCTGCCGACCCGCTCTCCTGGCGCTCGCCCGGCGGCCGAGCGTGCTCTTGTCCCCGCCGGGACGCGGCCTCCCCGGCGCTGAGGGGCTGCGAGCGGCCGGGCGGGTGGAGGGACCCCAGTAGGGACGCTGCCGCCGGGCGCCACGGTCCGCTGCTGACCCTGCCAGCCCGGGGTGGGCCGTCGTGACCCCTTCCTCACTAGCGAGGGCCGCGCTGCGACGCGCCTCCTCTGTCCTTTGTCCCCTGCTTTCTGCTGTCACACGCTTTTCCTTCGTCCTGCACGCCGCGTGCCCCCTCGGTTGCACAACCTCCTGCCCCGCGCGCTCTTTATCCCAGCGGCTCCTGGCCCGAGACCCTGCCCAGAGCCGGCTGCATTCAGTCTTCGCTTCTCCTGAGCGACCTCTTGGCTGGGGCGGTGTCTCAGACTCGCGCGGGCGGAGAGGCGCCCTGGAGGGTGATGTCCCCGTGGCCAGGCGGGGCTCACAGGTTTGGGGGAGAGGGTCCACGAGAAGCGTCCTTCTCTTCACCAGTGGGAGGGTGCCTCTGGCCACGAGGGAGCGCGTGGTGGCCCTGGCCTCCGCTGGGGGTGTCGGTCAGGGTCTGTACTCTGGAGACCCCGGCAAAGTCCCCATCTCCAGAGGGTCCCCAGGAGCAGCCTGTGGTGCCCCACCCACCCTGCTCCGGGGAAGTCCAGGTGCCTGTCTCCTCTCCCCGTCCACTGCGGGACTTCCCTCTCATGCTGGCTCCCAAGGGGGCTCTCAGCAGCCAAACCTGCCCCTGCCCGGGGCCCCTATAGTATCTATGGATGCCTGCCCACTTTCTTTTTCTTTTTTTAAAAAAATTTATCTATGCCTAGAAGAAGTGGGGTACAGGGCAGAGGTGTGGGGGGAAGTTGGAGGATCCACCAGAGACAGAGAGGGGGACAGAACGGACAGATGGACTGAAATCCACTGCTGAGGGGAGCAGCAGATGAGACAGGAATGGTCTGTTTCGCCGTGTGTATGTTGGTCCCTGGCCGGCCAGGGATCGAACTCGTGCTGCAGAGGCTGCAGACAGCTTCACAGTGCTGTGCTTAACCCCTTGCGCCTCCAGGGAGGCCCTGCCTAGGCTCCCTGCCGGCACCCAGATGGGATGGCAGCCCCCCCATTTGTCTTGTCCCTTGCATAGGGTTCGACCACAGGTGGCCTGAAGGGGTGTGTCCCGGGACTGAATCTGGTGGGCAGGATAGACCCCAGGACTCTTTCCTGGCATGGAAGCCTCGGAGCGTGGCCTCCGTGCTCCTAGGGCTGAGCCGCGGCTTCTTGCTGCCCGGCCCACTCGCAGCTTCTGCTGCTTCTGATGATGGGACAGAAACAGCTCCGCTCACGATGGTAAACACCCTTCCCAACTTAAAGGAGAAAGAAGAAAGGTCCCCCGGGGGCTGCTCGTCCCCACTTTCGCCCCTTGTGGCCCTTGGAACGGGGCTTTTGTGGCTGTGGGCTGCTTGTGTTGGTCATCAGAGCCCCAGCCTCCGCCCGCACCCACAGGTGAGGCGGACCACAGCCTGGGTCCTGGCTGGTAGAACTGGGTGTCCCCACTTGGGCAGCCGGGAGCTGCCATGCCTCTCCTCTCCCTGGGGCCATCCCAGGATTCTGAATTTTTGAGTTGGGATCCAACTCGTGCCACAGTGGCTGGGATAGCTTCATAGGCTGCGTCTCAACCCCTTGCATCACCAGGGAGGGCCCTGAGAATCTGTATTACCTGCATCAAACCCTTCATTTAGCAACACTTAGAAGAAGCTTCTAGAAAATTACTCTGCAAACCAGATTGATGCTTTCTCAGGCCCCAGAGGCCTGTGGTGTGGTTGGAGACGTGCCACCCTGGCGGGGGACTAACTCTCGTTCTCCATGTTTTTGTCCAGAAGGCCTGGGGGACCGTGCCTGTCTCGGCTGTGCCCACGCCTTGAGGTTCATAAGCCGCACGTAAGTAAATATGTCTCTCCCTGTCTCCCTGAAAGTGGGCGTCTGAGGACATTTTGGGGACTGCGACCAGATGTCTGGGGAGACACCCATCCCACTTACCTGCTCTTTGTTTTACTGCTCACATCTTTGTCTCTTCATTTTGAGACATGTGACTGCGCACTTCACTGTCTTTGGAAACGAACTGATGCTCGTCATCTCCGCATTGGTTCCAGATTTTAATAGCATTTGATGACTTCCTTAAAGTTCTTTTTTTTTCTTTCTAATTTAAAGATTTATTTATTCATGTATACAAGAACTGGGATACTGTAGACCGGAAATGTGGGGGTGAGAGGACTCACCAGAGACAGAGTGGGGAGCAGAACAGGCAGATCCACTGAAACACACTGCTGAGAGGAGCAGCGCAGAGACAGGAGAGGTCTGCTGCGCCCTGTGGGCAGCTCCCTGGCGGGGGATCAGATTCTGGCTGTGGCGGTGACAGCCTGAGACTGACCCCTAGGCTACCAGGGAGGCCCCTGAAGATTGGTTTTTCTTGATAAATAAATAGTTATCGATAGGTAATTACTGAGCAGTTAAAATGTGAGAGCTGTGAGTTTATAGAACTTGGTTTAGGAATTGACATCTCAGGTCGGCCTCAGCATCCAAACCGTGCTTTGTGTTGACCGCACAGCACGAGGAAGCTGCCACCGAGGGAGCAGGTGCTGGCCCCTAGCTGGCCAGGCGGGGCACTGGCAGCTTGCAGTTCCTTACTGGGCATGCAGACTGATGCAGCCTCTGGTCTTTGGATGAGCTCGACCGCATGGAGGCAGCTTTGTGCCGGCCAGGGCAGGGTGTGTGGCTGGCAGGGAGATGAGGGCGCTGGGACGCTGGGACCCTCGCTGGGCTGACCAGCACTGAGCTGTGTGGGTGCCCGGGCCTGGACTGGCCCTCCTTGCCTGGGGCCCAGAGGTCCAGGCCGGCCTAGAGGAGGCCAGAGCCTCTGGGTCTCTGTGGCTGCTGCTGTGGTCTGGAGGCAGCAGCCTGACTGGTGGGAGATGGGTTGCTGGTGAGCGACATCCGCCTGCTAGCCGGGCGGCCTTTGTGACTGGGCTGAGCTCAGTGCCTGTGGGAGCAGGGCAGGGGCTGGCAGCGGAGCCTGTGGAGAGAGAGTAGTCCCTGAGGGAGGCTAGGACTTTCCTCCTGGTGCTGCTGTTCACACAGATGCCCTTGGGTGGCAGCACTGGGCATGTCCTCACCAACCTGAGACTTACTCAAGATCCAGGGGTCTCCGTAGAAAGTCACCTGTTAGGAAAGGGGTCTCAGACGCGGCAGATCCCTCCCCACGTGCCACTCCCCCAAGACCCAAAGCAGTGGGCCCTGCACGCCTCTGACCGCTAGCCAGCCCGCGGGCCGCGGAGGCAGGGCTGTCTGGGCTCCACTCTCACTTGGGGAGCCTGCCTCAGCCTGGGCTTTTGCGCAGAGGTTTCCTAACTCTGGAGGGGCTCCTGGGGGGGCGTCTGGCCCAGCACACGCCTAGAGGGCCGGGTGGTCTCAGGCGGTGGCTGCCCCTCATTGGTCGCGCTTCTCTCTCCTTTTTAAGGAATGTTCCTTTTGGCTGCTATACCCGGGCCCACCCTGGGTGCCTGTCCCTCAGAGGGGAGTCCCTGGGCTGCTGGACTCCGAGGCCCAAGTGCCCGGGCTGCGCCTCCCGCAGGCCGTGGCTTGTCCCAGGGCCCGGGCTCCTGCACGCACGCTGCTGGCACTCATCCCCACCCCGGGCTGACGACTCGGTGGTGGAGAAGTCCCTCAAGTCCTTGAAGGACAAGAACAAGAAGTTGGAGGAGGGCGGGCCCGTGTACAGCCCGCCCGCGGCTGTGCCCGTGAAGACATCGCTGGCGCAGAAGGTGCTGGACGAGCTGAAGCACTACTACCACGGCTTCCGCCTGCTCTGGATCGACACCAAGATCGCCGCCCGCACGCTCTGGCGCATCCTCAACGGCCACAGTCTGAGCCGCAGGGAGCGCAGGCAGGTAACGGGCGTCTCCAGCCGCCAGATGGCTCTGGGCTGCGCTGGCCTCGCTCCGGCTGCTTTTTGCTTAAAAAAAAACAAAAAAAAAAAACAGAAAAGTCCGTGAAAGATGGTGCTTCCGTGGGACGCTGCTGGCGCCTGCCGCTGCGGCCTTGGCCCTCCTGTGCCTCTGTCCTTGCGTGGCATTCAGGGTCAGGCTCCTGACCCTGAGGCTGCATGCGTGTGGTCAGCTGTAGCCCCCCACCCCCACCCCGCTATCTTCTGGGGGAAGCCCCTGGGCGCTGGGCCTGTGCATCTCTGCCAAGCTGGCTGTGAGGTGCTGGGCCGTGCCATGGCGCCTCTCCTGTCCCTACCTGCCCCTGCCTTTCTCCCAGGGCATGGGACAGCCTCACACCCTCGGGGCCCCAAGACCCAGGGGGTACAGAGATGCCCTTCCCTCGAAGGATCGGCCAAGGACTTCCTGCAGTGGATGCGTGGGGCCGGGTCAGCTTTTTCTTTCTCTTTTTCTTTTCTTTTTTTTTTTTTTCCCCGAAGATTTACTTATTTATGCCTGTAAGAGCTGGGGCATAGACCAGAGGTGCGGGGTGGCGGGGTGAGAGGATTCACCATAGACAGAGCGGGGAGCAGAACAGGCAGACTGACTGAAACACACTGCTAAGGGGAGCAGCGGGCCAGACAGGAGAGGTCTGCCGCGCCATGTGAGTAGCTCCTTGGCCGGCTGGGGATCGAACTAGTGCTGCAGAGGCTGCAGATTGCTTCACAGTGCTGTGCTTAACCCCTTGCGCCACCAGGGAGGCCCGGGCCGGGTCAGCTTCTGCGCGTGGCGCTCTGCCCTCCTCGAGGCCGCCAGCTGTCGGGCTGCTCCTTCGGAGGGGGCGGTGAAGGCCCCGGAGCCCCATTCTGCTGTGAACTTCACAGGTCTCTTGGCTACTCCATTAATGATGGGGGGGCCTTAAGAAGAGGAGAGAAAAGAGGGAGGTGGGACGCTCTGGGGCAGGAGCTCGGTTGACCCAGCTGTTGGGGTTAAGAGGGGGATTGTGGGGCCGTGGGACGGTTTTCTTGGTGTGGGGCCTCTCGGGAAATTTGAATTTGAGGAAAATATCAGGGATCCTAGTGAGACAGAAACGTAGCTGATGCTCACAGAGGCAGAGGCGGGCGGCGCTGAGGCCAGGGCCGCCGTGCAGCTGCTGAGTGGGGACCGCCCGCGGGCCTCAGGGAGCCCCTCACCTGCCCGGCCGGCCACGGCCCCCGACTGGCCACGGCTCCTGAGAAAGATGACGCGGGGCGGCTGCCCGAGGGCCGGGGTGAGACCGCTGGAGCTGGGGTGAGGGAGCCCTTTCCCCTCACGTGTCTGCTCCACGTGCCTCCCCGGGCCTGCACGGGCTGTTTCCTCGCTTCTGGTGCCCTTCACGGCCGAGCGTGCGTGCGACGTTCCCGGGCGTGCAGCCGGCGGCGCTGCGTGTCTGCTCACGTCTCTCGTCCCCGTCAGCACGGCTCCTGGCCCCGGCGCCCGGTCCCCCCGCCTTTCTCCCTGAATCTGCCAGGCCTGGGCCCTCGGCGGCTGTGGGCCCATCCTCTGGGCGGGCGGCGTCCCGGGGGAGCGCGGCCTGCCTGCTGTCCTTGGCGCGCCGCTCCGGGGGCCGGCCCGTGCGCTGCGGGGACTTGGAGACCTGGCGCCTGCCGGGACACGCTGGTCTGGCTCGCCGGCGTCCCAAGCTCAGCTGTCAGCTCGCTCTCTTATGTACATTCCGTCAGCTTTTGTCAGGAGCGGGTTTTGGGTTTTGTCAACTTTGTGCGTCCCCTCAGAGCTCCTCTCTTTCAGTTGTGTTCAGGAGCGTGCCGGCCACGCAGATGCCCCGCTGTGTGCGCCCCAGGGCGCAGCACGTGTCCAGGGGCCACGGACCAGCCTGGGGTGGCCTGGGTGGGAGCGCGGCTGAGGGGCGCGTGCAGAGGGGCTCGCTGGTGCTGCTCCTGGGCGGGCCCCTGTGGCCGAGGGGCTGGGGTGGTGACGCGCGTGGGCCTGGCCTTGCCCCCCAGTTCCTCCGGATCTGCGCCGACCTTTTCCGCCTGGTCCCCTTCCTGGTCTTCGTGGTGGTGCCCTTCATGGAGTTCCTGCTGCCCGTCGCCGTGAAGCTCTTCCCTAACATGCTGCCATCCACCTTCGAGACGCAGTCCATCAAGGTGACGTGGGCTGTGGCCGGGCCACGGTGCCCAGGCAGGGGTTTCTCTCCGCTGGGGCTCGTGCCATGGCCCTCAAACGCCGGCCTGGCTTGGTCGTGGTTTCTCTGAAGGCCTCAGGCCTTGGGTGAGGCCTGCCCAGGGTTCCCTTGGCCAGGGCAGGCAAGAGGAAGGTGGTGACCACTCAGCACCTCTGCACTGCCCGGAGCCGGGCTCGCTTCTCCCGGGGCCTCCTTCCGGGGCCACGTGGGGCCCAAAACCACAAAAGGGATGGTTGCAGTGGCCCTGCGCGTGGTGGTTCTGGGGGCCGGGAGGAAGAGGAGGCTGGTGCAGGGTGGGGTGCAGTGTTCTCTCTGCCCTGCAGGAGGAGAGGCTGAAGAAAGAGCTGCGGGTCAAGCTGGAGCTGGCCAAGTTTCTCCAGGACACCATTGAGGAGATGGCCTTGAAGAACAAGGCTGCCAAGGGCAGCGCCACCAAGGACTTTTCCATGTTTTTCCAGAAGGTTGAGTTGAGACCCAGGGCTCCTATCTATCCCCAGAGGGCAGGGGCTGGGGGCCCAGCCAGCGCAGGCTGGGGCAGGTGGGGGTGCACGCCGTGGTGACCCTCGCGGCTGCCCAGCAGATCCGAGAGACGGGCGAGAGGCCCAGCAATGAGGAGATCATGCGCTTCTCCAAGCTGTTCGAGGACGAGCTGACCCTGGACAACCTGACGCGGCCGCAGCTGGTGGCGCTGTGCCGGCTGCTGGAGCTGCAGTCCATCGGCACCAACAACTTCCTGCGCTTCCAGCTGACCATGCGGCTGCGTTCTATCAAGGCCGACGACAAGGTGGGCATGGGGGCTGGCCGCCTCTCTGCAGGCCACCTTCCCCTGCCTGCTGCCCTGGCCTGGCCTGGCCTGGCTTCCCAGGGGCCCCCAGTCTCCCTCCTGGCCTTTAGAATAGCTGGCTGGTGCTGGAAGTCAGAAACACCTGCTGGCCCTGGAGCAGGCTGTTCCCTGCCCCTCCTGTGCTCCCTGCCCCTCCCCGTGCTCCCTGCCCCTCCTGTGCTAACCTGCCCCTGCCCGTGTTCCCTGCCCCTCCTGTGCTCCCTGCCCCTCCTGTGCTCCCTGCCCCTCCCCGTGCTCCCTGCCCTCGCAGCTTGTGTGTGCCCCAGATGTGCCCTCCTCAGGGAGCGTTCCTGGGACCTCCCCCTTGCCCTAGCGATCTCCTGCCCATGGTGCCGCAGGACGCACCTGGGGTTGCCAGCTGTGTGGCACCAGGCAGCCGTGGCCAGCCCCTCCTCAGACTTAGACCCGCTGCACTGGCCTCTGGGCTGTCGGTGTTGTGGCCTACCGGCCAGGCCCTTACTCCTCCCAGCCTGTGTCTTCCGAATCTCCTGGTTGCCTTTTTTGGCTTCAGGTGCCCTCACCCCTCCTGAGCTGGCCGTTGCCTACTTTAGGAGTCTCCCCGGCTGGGCGAGAGTCCAGGGCAGCTCATTTGTGCCCCGTCCTCCTACCCCCGCCCCCACCCCTACCCCGGCCTGCTTCAAGATTGCTCTGGCCCTGCCATCCTGTCCCTGCTTCCTGCAGCCTTGGCCTGCCCCCGAGGTGCCCAGTCACCTTGGGCCCTTCTCTATTGCTGCCTTGCGCCCCTAGACCCCAGTTGTCCCAGCTTTCCTCTGCCCAGACCGTGTCCTCTGCGTGGCCCTGGGCTCTGCTGGGGAGAGGTCTCCTTGGAGACAGTGGCACCTGCCCCCGGCTCCCCAGCGGGCATGGAGCTTTCCTGCGAGCCCTGCCCTGTCTGCTGGCCACACTGGGCCCACCTTAAGGCCCCCTGCAGTCTCTGTGGACCTTTCCTGCGGCCACCAGGTCATCTTCCCTTCCAGCTGATCGACGAGGAGGGCGTGGACAGCCTGAATGTCAAGGAACTGCAGGCGGCGTGTCGGGCGCGAGGCATGCGTGCTCTGGGCGTCACGGAGGACCGTCTGCGGGACCAGCTGAGGCAGGTGCGTGGAGCCCGCCCCACTGGCCAGCTTGGGCAGAAAGCCCTGGACATTTCCCAGAGCCGGGCCGGCATGGCACCAACCTGGCCTCCCGCCTCCACCTGGCCGGCTCCTGACGGGCACTGGTGCCCAGGTGCGGCAGCCCTTCTCCTGGCTTCTGCGGACAGATGGGAACGAGGTTGACTTCCCAAGTGTCTGTGCATTTCTGCATGAGGCCAGGACATCAGCCAACCTCTTGCTTCCACCACTGGGGCTGGGACCTGCCTCCCCCAGGGCAGCTCTGCCACAGGCCACTCTGACGGCTGCTGGAGTGGGTGAAACATAGGGGCTGGGAGGCAACCCGGGGCACAGACCACCTCACGGGGCTTCTGGCCTGCTCTCCTCAGCAGGTGCGTCCCCGGCCTTCTCTGTCAGCGGTGGCCGCTGGGGGCGGGGGGAAGGGGGTTGCGCATGTGTCACCCCCAACCCCTGCTCCGCGTCTTCACTGCTCCTCCAAGCCCCGGCTCTTTCCGGCCCGCTTGAGTCCAGATGTCATTGTGGGGCTTTGTGAGCTCAAACGTCTTGTTGTCATGAAAATAGCCTAAAATAGTGGGTGACCCCCCCGGCCCCTGCTTCCCCATCCAAACTGAGGGGGAGTCCCAGTCTGAGCCCGCCTGCTGAGCTGGGGCCTCGAGGCAGGGCTGCCGGTGACTCAGTCCCTCCCTCTCGCCAGTGGCTGGAGCTGCACCTGCGCCAGGAAATCCCATCCTCGCTGCTCGTCCTGTCCCGAGCCATGTACCTGCCGGACACGCTCTCGCCCGCCGACCAGCTCAAGTCCACGCTGCAGACGCTCCCGGAGATAGTGGTGTGTGCGCTGGGGCGCTTTCCAGGACCCCTTGCTCTGGGGCGGCCACCTCCCAGCCGGAGGCCCTTTGCTGCCCCCGGGCCTGCGTCCGGCTATTGCAGAGCCCTCGGACACTGCTGGGGGAGGGCCCCGGCTGCCTCTCGCATTCAACAGCTACCAGGAGGCCCCCTGGGCCGGTGCAGGGTGCCGGGTGGGCGTGGGTCAGAGATGCAGGCAGAGGGTAGGGCACAGAGTATCCTGAGGGGTTGCCAAGCAGTGGCCATGCCTCCTGGCTCCCACAGTGCCCTCGGGACCCCTGCCCCTGGGGTCACTCACAGGTGTCCTCTCTCTGAAGACAAAGGAAGCCCAGATGAAAGTGGCCGAGGTGGAGGGCGAGCAGGTGGACAACAAGGCAAGGCTGGAGGCCACGCTGCAGGAGGAGGCAGCCATCCAGCAGGAGCAGCGGGAGAAGGAGCTGCAGCGGCTCTCTGAGGCAGCGGTGAGCCGCGTCCCAGGCCTGCCGGGGGCTTCTCCAGTGGGGGCCACGGCAGGTGGGACAGCGAGGAGTGGTAGGCAGCACATGAGGGGATCGCCTAGGGCTCTGGGCACCTAGTCACCTCGGAGCAGGCTCATCTCACTTTGCAGTGGCCGGAGGGGCTCCTGGCAAGCAGGCTGCCCGCTGCTGGTGGGTCTGTGCAAACCTCAGGGCCACGGGCAGCACCCGGCCAGGCCTGCCCTCTGGCGGACGTGCGTGGGCTGGGAGCTGCGGGGGCCGGGAGCTGCGGGGCCAAGCTGAAGGCGGCCTTGCTGTCCAGAAGGAAGCCGAGCCAGATGTGGTAGTGGTGGAAGCTGCCCCCGGGAGGCCGGCACCTGAGCCGCAGCCGGAAGCAACTAGTGTGACCCTGCCAGCTGAGCCCCTGAAGGACACCGCCCCCACCCTGGAAGGCTTGAAGGTGACAGCAGCGAGCCTAGGGGTGCTGGGCAGGCGAGAGGGTGGACACAGAGGTGGCAGGTTCTGGGTGGGGTAGCAGCTGGGCCAAGCTGTCCCCAGCCCTGGAGGGCTCCTTTTGGGGACTGGCAGGGCTGGGGTAACCCCAGAGTTGGGGAAGGCAGCGGAATTCCAGGGCCACTGCTGAGGCCTGGTCCGGGGTGACGGAAACAAGCGCAGAGGCACCTCTGTGTACCCAGACTGGGAAGGGAGCCCCGGGTACCTGGCCAGGCACCTCAAAGGGATTGAGATACGAGGTCTTGGGGGCACTGTGGGGCAGGGGCTGCTGGGCAGCGAGGAGGGGCCCTGTGGTGGATGCTGGGCGGAGCGGTCTCCCCGTGCAGGCAGACCTGCCATTGGCGTGGGAGGACTGAGGCACAGGCCCTGGCAGGGAGCACAGACCCTGGCCACCCCAGGTCAAGGAGGGGCCGCCCTCTCCTGGGTTGAGCTGCTTCTGAGGCTGGGCCGGACATCTCGGCCAGGGATGGGAAGTCCCTGAACGTCCGACGGGACAAGCGCCGCCACCCTCACAAAGGGGTTACAAGAGAGGCTCGTCCGGGGGTTGCAGGTCTGCGTAAAACTTAGACATCACCGTAGCTCCGTCTGAGAATCACGGAGGAGCCAGGTGTGGGGCCTGTGTAGTAGCGGGGCCAGGACGGCCCTCTGAGGCCACCCATCACAAGGGACAGCAGCTGCTGCTAGCCATGGTGGTGCCACGCAGGGGCCTGTGGCCGGGACAGAAAAGGAGAAGCAGAGCCCTCCGGGAGGGAGGGGGTGTCTTGGCCTGCGAGGATGTGAGTGCGAGAGGCCCAGGCTGGCCGGCCCGCCTGAGGGCAGGTGCAGGAGGAGGGGCCCCGTGGCTGGGGTGGGCCCGAGCGCTTGTAGCATCACCCATGTCCCACAAGTGCCACTCGAGGGGACGCCCAGGCCACCGCACATAGCGGGCTGCCTCCCCATGGGTTCTGGATGCTGGTTCCCCCCCAGGGCGAGGAGATCACCAAGGAGGAGATTGACATCCTCAGCGACGCCTGCTCGAAGCTGAAGGAGCAGAAGCAGCCCCTGACCAAGGAGAAGGAGGAGCTGGAGCTGCTCAAGGAGGACGTGCAGGACTACAGTGAGGTGGGCCCAGAGGCCACAGGGGACATTCGGTCTCTTCAGTCTTCCTGCGCTCCCCACTTTTCCGGGCACAGCAGGTTTTGTTTTTCTGAGGAAGACTGTGTCCTCAGCTTTTGTTTTTGCTCTTTTCTTTTCTTTTTTAAAGATATATTTATTTTATGTAAGAACCAGGGTAAAGACCAAATGCGCGGGAGGGTGAGAGGATTCACCAGAGCCAGAGCGGGGAGCGGAACAGGCAGACTGTTCTGTTAAATGCACTGCTGAGGGGAGCAGTGGGCGGCAGGAGAGGTCTGCGTGCCATGTGGGACCCTCGCCGGCGGCCGGGGATCGAACCGGCGCTGCAGAGGCTGCGGGCAGCTTCGCAGCCCAGCGCTCAACTGCTGTGCCACCGGGGAGGCCCTGTTTTTGCTCTTTTTAAGAGAGATTTGATTATGCATACAGGAGCTGGGGTACAGGCCAGAGGTGTGTGTGGGGGGGGGTGTGTGAGAAGGTTCACCGGAGACAGAGTGGGGAACAGAATAGGCAGACTGATGACATACACTGCGGAGGGGGACAGTGGGTGAGACAGGAGAGGTCTGCTGCGCTGTGTGGGTAGCTCCCTGGCCAGGGTCACACTCAGGCACAGCACTGAGACTGACTGCCCGGGGAGGCCTCGCCTCCTGGTGTGTAACGCTGCCTCTTGCCTGGTGAGAGCTGCTCACCCGTGGTGGGCACCTCTGGAGGGCACAGCACATCCACGCGAACCTTCCCGTGGGTATTCCGGGCGAGCTCATCCCTTGGCCTTGTCGCCCCGCACCCTCCCCTTGCCCTGCGGATGCAAGCACTTGCCCTCTTTTCGGTTCTTTACGGAGTGCAAAGAGAACCGCGGTCCAGGCAGATCCTTCCGTCGTGGCACAGAGTAGAGCTTGGGATTGCGCGAGTGGAATGGGTGTGTGTGATAGTGGTGAGCTGAGGGCCCTCGGGGCTTGAGCTGACGCCTCACAACTCTGCAGGACTTGCAGGAGATCAAGAAGGAGCTTTCGAAGACTGGTGAGGAGATATTCGTGGAGGAGTCGAAAGCCAGCAAGCGGCTGACGAAGCGGGTGCAGCAGATGATCGGGCAGATCGACGGCCTACTATCCCAGCTGGAGACTGGCCAGCGGGCGGGCGGGCCCGGCACCCCCACTGAGAGCACGCCCTCGGGGTGAGTGCGGGCTGGGGAATGCCCAGCCAGTCCCGCAGTCCTCACCCGTGCCCCACCTCTGACCCAACACCAGCCAGAGCTCCATGACGCTGCCGGGTCCTGCCGCCAGCAGGCCAGCACCTGTCAAGAACGCCTGGGGCTCCACTGGCGTCCCAGGTCCACCCTGCTCACATCTATGTCCAGGCTGTTGTTCTCTGGTCCTTCCATGCCACAGCCCCGGGGCCCACACCCTTCTTTCACGTGCTCCCCACCCCAGCCACACTCTTTGATCACACAGCCTGTGGGGCGGCCCCAAGTGGCCTGGGCCCTTGGGCATCCATGGGATGCCTGCCAGGCAGGAGAGTGGACACTGTGTCCTGGGTGCCCGTCTCTCTGGGTGCCCCCTACCCCAGCAGCCTGCTGTGCTGCGTGAGCCCCACCCCACGGGTCAGGCAGCATAGCCATGCACAGACCTTGTGACCACCATCCGAGTCGCCATAGGCAGGGCCTGCCGGGCGCCAAGCGCCTCCCGCGCCCGCAGCTCGCACACGCCCGCCGCTGATGGCCGCGTCTGGAGGAGGGGGTAGGAGGCCGTGCCACCTGCTCCTCTGGCTGTGCCCGCAGGGAGACCGTCGTCAGCACCACTGAGCTCATCACCGCCATGAAGCAGATCAAGGACATTCCGGAGAACAAGCTCATCAGCTTGGCCTCGGCGCTGGACGAGAACAAGGATGGCAAGATCGACATCGACGACCTGGTGAAGGTGCGTCTCGGGCCGTCTGCTGGCCGGGGCTGGGGCTGGAGCCGGGGCCGGGGCCCGTCCGTGCGTGCTGGTGCCAGCACTTGGTGGCCCTGGGAGGCCTTGGCCCGCCGCGGTACCTGGGGCCACTCTACACAGTTCGAACATGTGTGGTGCGGTGTCTGGCCCAGCCCCCGGCCCCATTTCTGTCCGCTGGATGGCAGTGGGGAGTGCTGGGGGGCGCGCGAGTTGGTGGTGGGGCCGGGTATCGTGTCGGCGCCTGGTGCCAGGACCTTGGGTGCCCAGGGTACCCACTGATATGCTTTCGGTCACTGTTGGATGCCAGCAGCCAGGGGTGGGGCCGTCACCCGCTCTTGCTGGTGCCCGAGGAACCCCTGCCTAGGCTGGCCTCACCTGAGGAGGGGCTGCCCAATCCTGGCCCACCTGCCACCACATTCCTGCCCGCCTAGCTGGGTGCGTCGTGCTTGGCAGCCTCACCTGTATCTGGCAGACCACAGGCCACTCGCTCTCTGAGGCCCTCCTGGGGACACTTGGTGGCCCGCTGGCCCTCCTGGGTGGGGTCCGGCACGCCGAGCGCCCAGGGGCCCTGTGTATCTGGCCTGGGCCCCGGTGGGACGGTGGCTGGGGGCGCGCTCCACCGGGCCGGCTGCCCTGAGCCCCGCCCTCCCGTGCAGGTGATTGAGCTCGTGGACAAGGAGGACGTCCACATCTCCACCGGCCAAGTGGCTGAGATCGTGGCCATGCTGGAGAAGGAGGGGAAGGTGGAGGAGAAGGAGAAGGCCAAGGAGAAGGCCGGGAAGGAGGCCGTGGAGGTGAAGAACTAGGCCACTGGCCATCTGCACCCCGCTGGGCCCCGTGCTCCTGCCAGGACCAGGGCCGCTCGGGGCGCGCCGAGGTGGCGAGCAGGGACACGTCTGCGCTTTTGTCTGGAATAAATCAGAAACTCTCATAATCAAGTAATTTTTAATTTTCATCATTCCACGAAGATGGTTGGGCCGCAGCCTGGGCCGCCCGGGCAGTGGTGTGGCCCCCGTGGGCCCTGGCCTGAGACGCAGTGCTGGCCACACGGGGCAGGGAGCGCCCGCGAGGGGCGGCTGCATGGACCCCACTGCTGGTGGAGTCTGGGCCGAGGCCTCCGTGGGCGCCGGACACTTACGCACATCCTCTGCCTGGGGACGCACCATCTGGGCCCCGGGGACGCGGGCTCGGACGCTGGACAGCACCGCGACGGCCCACCCTGCCTGTGCCGGAGCTGCCCCTGGAGCGGCCAGAAGACGCGTCCACTCGTCTGTCCATGGCCAGAGCGTGGGTCCCCGGCAGGAGTGTGCCAGAGCTCGCTCTCGATTGACCTGGAACTCTCAGCTGACCCTTCACCCGCTCCCCAACACAGATGCGTGCCCCTGCCCTGCTGGATGACACCCCACGCCATGCGGGGTGAAGCCAGGCACGATGGGGCGTGCTGGTGGTGGTGCTGCTGGAAAGTGGCATCATCCAGGTTTGCTCTGCATTGCCCCGAGGGTGGTGGGAGCGGTCTCCTGTGCCCCTAGGGACTCTGCGGGGCTCCGCTGCCCGGGGGCAGCCTCCGTGGGCGTGGCAGCCAGCCCTGGCGTGGGGCGGGCGTGGTGACTGCTGTGTGTCTGGGCAACTGAACACGGGCATCCCGACCCCGCGCCTGGAGAAGAGGACTCAACAGCGGTAGCTTCTAGATCACCGGAGAACCTCCCCCGCCACGACACGCCTGCCCGGCATCTGGACTGTCTGGTGGGTAGTGCAGGCCCTGCCCTTGCGCCCCGTCCTCCCACTTTTGCTGCCCTCGCTTGCCCAAGCCGCTGTCTGCGGGCAGGTGTCGCGAGTGGCCTGGACGCCCAAGTCCCGCGGCACGTTTGTCAGGCGCTGCGTCTGCCCGAGTGGCCTCCCTACCCGGTGCTCGTGTTGGCGGCTGCGCGGCCTCTGCCCGCCTGAGGGCGCATCAGGGTTTCCTGACCCTGGTGCCTCCGTGGCCCCTAACCTGACCCCGCTTTTGGTAGGCATTTGGGCAACTGACGTGCGACCTGCGGAGTCGCTCCGGAAGGGCAGGCCCAGACTTCCCCGTGAACTGAAGGCCCCTTCGGATGTCGGGAGGGCCTCTGGCCGGCGGCCCCGGGGCCAGCGCGTCCAAACAACCCTTGAAAGAGTTTGTTTAACAGGCCTCCCGCGTCCGGTGCCGGCCAAGGACCAGGTCCTGAGCCGCCTGGCGCTGTGAGCTGGTGGCGCAGGGCAGTGGGGTGGCCTCCAGGGGGAGCCCGGCCGCCCCTGGCCTGGAGACTGGAGACCCCCGGCTGGCGTCGGTGGGGGGCTGGGGGGAAGGGCTAATAAAGCGCTGTCTTCACAACCTGCCCTCCCGGTCTGGGGACGGGGAGGCGACTCCCTTCTGGCCAAGCCCCCCCTTCGGTGGGCACCTCAGGCTGGGAGGGTCTGGGGCCCAGGCTGCTGGCCCCGGTGGCGTGCCAGGCCTGAGATGCGGGAGGGTGGGCAGGTACAAGAGGGCGTGTTTCAGGGGTGGGACAGCAACTCCCGGGGTCACCTGGGAGGATGATTCTGTTCTGAATTATTCTGGGGGCCCTGGGGGGGGGTGCTGCCCCAGGACTACTCCCTCTGCTCTGCTGCTCAGCAGAGCTTTCCTCACCCCGCTGCCCAGACCCTGGACGGGCGGGGCCCGCACCCCGCCCTGTGCAGCAGGGAGCTCAGGGCACCCCTCCCCCACACATAGGGGCCCTCGGCCAGTGCCCCCCTCAGGCTCCTTGTCCTCCCTGCCAGCCCCAGGACCCAAGCCCAGGACACTCGCCTTCTTGGGGCCTCGCTCCTGTAGGGAGCCCCGTCGGGCATGGTCTCCTTGCACTTCGTCGGGCTCCACGCCCACCCTCACATCTGTCTACCTGCCCGACCCCCCCCAAGGGCACAGACTCCATGGCTCTGCCCAACCCGCCGCTGCCCCTGGCCTCACCCTAGGCCCCAGGAACGGGCCTGTTTTTTTAAAAAAAAAAGATTTATTTCTACAAGCACTGGGTGCAGTCAGAAGCGCGGGAGGGCGAGAGGATTCACCAGAGCCAGAGCGGGGAGCAGAGCAGGCAGAAGGACCGAAGGACACTGCTGAGGGGAGCAGCGGGCGGCAGGAGAGGTCTGCGCGCCATGCGGGACCCTCCTCCGGCGGCCGGGGAGCAGCCGGGGATCGAACTGGCGCCGCCGAGGCCGTGGGGAGCTTCGCAACCCAGCGCTCAGCCGCTGCGCCACCGGGGAGGACCAGGTGTTTTTTTTTTTTTTTTTTTTTTTTTTTTAAGGTTTATTTTTATTTACGCTGCAAGAGTTGGGTGCAGGCCAGAGGTGCAGAGGTGGGGGTGAGAGGGCTCCCCGGAGGCAGAGCGGGGAACAGAACAGGCGGATCCACTGAAGTAGACCGCGGGGAGCAGCGGGGAGACAGGAGGGGTCTGCTGCGCCCGTGGGGAGCTCCCTGGCGGGGATCGCATGTGCCTCCGTGGCTGCGACACCTCCTGTGCCCCCAGGAGGCCCCGCATGACAGCTGGGCCCGAGGCTCGGCGGGCAGGGTGGGCTGCGAGGGCGCCCCGGAGCCGGCTGGCGCGGGCCGACTCCCCCATGAGGGCCAGCTCCCCGGGCTCCCGAGCCGGCCGGGCCTCGCGCCTCCTGACCCGGAGCCGCGCCCGCGGCGGGCAGGGCTCCTGGGCCCCCCGAAGGCCGGCGCGGAGCGGTCCCCGGCGTGCCCGGACGGCCGGCCTCCCCCGGGCTTGGCGGACTCCCTCAAGCGGACGCCCCGCGACCAGACCCCGAAGAGACCAGCTGGTCTCCGTGGAAACAGCCGGAGGTGCCGCGGGCGGCCGCCCCGGAACCCCGCCCAGACCGCGGAGCGTCCGGCCAGCCCGCCTGGCCGGGCAGGAGGGTGGGGACGCGCGGCCGGGGGCGAGGAGGCTCCCCCTGGGCAGCGGCCCGGGCCCCCGCGGGCTGGGGAAGGCGGCGGCGGGCGCGAGGCGCGGGGGGAGCCGAGGAGCCGTCGGGCGAGGGCCGGGCGGGGCGCCCCACAGCGCGCGGCCCGCCCGCCTCGCGCCGGGCTGGTGCATCCCTCTTGGGACCGGCCCCTCGCCCGGGGCGCAGTTGCAGCCCTGGGGGCCGGCCTTGCGGGGGCGCCGGGTCCCTCGGTGTCCCGAGCGCGCCCCGAGCCCGGCCGCCCCGCTGCAGCCCGCGCCAGAGGGCGCCCCCGGCCCGCTCTGGCGCCCCGACTCCCGCCGCTCCGCCGGCGCCCTCCAGCAGGGGCCCGGACCCTCAGGCCCTCGCCGCCGGCACCTGGCGCGCTGGACACAGAGGGCCGGGGGCAGGCTGGAGGCGGGGAGGCAGACCACTTACCTGAATGGTGGTGGTTTTGCAAGCAGGCCCTCTGGGACCCAGAAAGCAGGCCCAGCCCCTCACCCAGAGGGTACAGCGAACATGCAAGGGGTAGTAAATGCCTCAGAAGATACACTGCAGCCCAGCAGTGGAGCTCTGTGGCGTCCCCAATGGCCTGGACACTGACACCTCCTCCAGGAAGCCCTCCTGGACTTACCCTGCCACTGCCATGTGGAAGTCCTGCTCTTTGCCCTGATGTTAACGGCAGAGCAGAGTGGGCCAGACCTGTCACTGGGGGGTGGGGACACATCTGCAAAGGCACAGGTGCCATGGCACGCAGGGGGCACAGTGGAGCCCACGATGGGGACAGAGGAGCCACCAGAGCAGGGGTGCGACCAGTGTCGACAACGCTGAGGCCTCTGATGGGGTGTCAGGGCACTGACACAAGGACTTTTCCTACAGGCAGCTCTGTGATGGGGAGACTACTGACTTGGGGAGGGGTGAGGCCTGAGCTGGTGTGGTGCCTGGACATGACCTGAGTCCACCTGGGCTTCATGAGCTGGGGAGCAGCCCAAGCCCTTCCTTCTGGGTTGCCACCGCTCCACGCCTGAACACCGCAATGCAATGCCCGCGCTCCCGGCCCTCAGCAACCAGACAGGCCACAGCTGTCGCGGGCTCCGCAGGGGAGCCTCCTGGAACCCCTGGCCCTCAGCTAGGTTTTGCCTTGACCCAGCAGTCGAGACCGAGGGGGAACCCTTGGGGAGCTGCAATAAGTGGCTGCAGCCCCCGCTCCCTCTTCTGGGACAGAGGACAGGCCTGTCACCGTGGGCAGCAGGACAGTGCCCGGGACCCTGGCGCAGGAGGCAAAAAGGGGACAGGCATCTGAACCAGCTGTCTCTTTATTTTGGGGGAAGCAAATCTGCCGCCTCGGGCCAGCACGGGCCGGGTGCCTGAGAACCGGCCCTCCTGGCACCCCGGCCCGGCGGGCCGGCTGACCGCAGAGGACAGCCACTGCAACGGCGTCACAGAGGCAGAGCTGACGCGCGGGCGCTCACCCAAGCTTTGACAGGCAGTGGTCAGGGTGGAAACGTCTAGAAGCGTTGCGTAAGAAGTGTTAAACCTACAGTGAGTACATCTCGTAAAAACTCAATAAATTATATAGATATATATAAACTGTAACATCTAGTAACCTCTGAACCCTGCCCGGCCCGCCCCTCCCTGCACGCCTCCTGCCTGGACACGTGGCAGTTAACCAGCGTACAGGAGACACCAGGCGGCTTTGAAGTCCAAAAAATAAGTCTCCTAAAGAAAAATCCTATAGAATTGAATCCCCTGCAGAAAGCCAAAGGAAATAGTGTCCCCCCTGGACTCGCCACCCCCACTACGGCCCCGGAGTGTGCGGGGCCGGCTCCGGCCAGGGGCTGCCGCGTCCTCGGCGGCTCCCTCGCTGTTACTACTTCGAAGCTCAGGCTGGAAGCTTGGTGGGCAGCAGGTGGGGCCTGGCGGTCTGTAAATGACTTCACCCACGGGCGGGCCCAGGTCCAATCTGCTCCACAGAGCCGTGGGGTCAGGAAGCCCCCATGGGGCTGCCCTGGCAGGCCGGGCCTCTGCTGGCCAGCCTCTCTCCCCCCATATAGATATTTTTATATATATACCTATGTGCGCGCCACGTGCGCGCGTCTATTTATATAAATGTACACCGTTTCTGGAATAAACCTTTCCCATAGAAGTTAAAGGCTCCGCCTTCAGGTACCCGTAATGTCAGTCTCCGAGGGGCACGGGGGAGGGGGGAGGGGGGGCTGTGTGCAGACACCCCCGGAGCCAGCGTGTGAGGGAGGTGCACACGGGGCTTCCTGCAGGCCCAGCTTTGGGCGCTGGGGGCCAGCCCGCCGGTTCTTCTGCGGGTGTCAGGGGACGAGGGGGCCTGGGAGGGGACCCCTGGGAGGAACCCTTACATTCTACATTCGGTCCCCCTGGTGCTGGCGGGCACGGCGGCCAGGAGGTCATTTACAGCAGGTGGGCCAGGGGCCCAGCACCGGCCTGAGGGGCGCGCAGGGACACGCAGCGTCTCCATCCGCCTGTCCACCCAGGTCCCCGCCGGGCTGGCGCCCGGTGGACCACACACCAGCAGCAGCAGCAGCAGCAGGAGGGAAGCTGGGGTCCACGCTCACATTGGTGGGGCTCGGCCGCAGGCCGGCAGCCCTTCACGTCCTAGGGCCCCCGCTGCCAGGGGACGCGGGGACAGCAGGTCGTGGGCAAACACGGAGTCGTCCCCCGAGGAGCCGGAGCTGGGGGTGTCCTGGCCGCCCGGCGAGTACTGCTCGAAGGGCACCGACAGGTCCAGGTACTCCTGCGGGGGCAGGGGTCAGCGCTCCGGCCTCGCCGGCCCCCCCCCAGGGCGGCCCGGGGCGCGCTCACGTCGGTCGACGTCACGGTGAGGATGCGGTCCAGGTCCTCCACCAGCTGCTTGAAGGTGGGCCTCTGGGACGGCGCCGCGTGCCAGCACTCCCGCATGATCATGTACCTGCGCGGCGGGGGGTCAGCGCCGCTCGGGGCGGGCGGGGGCGCGCGGGGGCGGGGGGCCGGCACTCACAGGTCGTGCGTGCAGTTGGCCGGCTTGTCCATGCGGTGGCCCTCCCGCAGCAGCTTGAACAGCTCCTCCACGGGGATGCCGGGGTACGGCGAGCCCCCAGGGTGAAGGTCTCCCAGAGCAGGACCCCAAAGGACCAGCTGCGGGGGCGGGCCCGGTCAGCGGCGGCCCACCTGCGGGCCGCGCCCCCCGGCCCCGCCCACGGAGGTGCCCAGGGGCGCCACGTACACGTCGCTCTGGTGGGTGTAGACGCGGTCGAACAGGGCCTCGGGCGCCATCCACTTGACGGGCAGCCGGCCCTGCGGGGGGCGGAGGACGGCGCGGTGGGTGGGCGCCCCGGGCCCGCGCCCCCCGCCCCCCGGCCGCGCGCTCACGTTGGTGGTCTTCTTGTAGTAGTCCAGGTTGTGCACGTCGCGGGCCAGCCCGAAGTCCGCGATCTTCATCACGTTGTCCTCGGTCACCAGCACGTTGCGGGCCGCCAGGTCCCGGTGGATGCACTGGGGGCGGGCGGGCGGGCGGGCGGGCGGGGTGAGCGCGGGCGGGGGGCGGCGGGCGGGGGGCGGGGGGCGGGCGCGCCCCGCGCACGCACCTTCTGCGAGGCCAGGTACTCCATGCCGCGCGCCACCTGGTAGGCGCAGGACACCAGGTCCTTGAAGGTCAGCTGCTCCTCGGGCAGCTTGCACGTGTCGAAGGAGTAGTCCATGCCCGGCGGCCGGCGCGCGCGCAGGTACTCGCGCAGGTTGCCCTTGGCCGCGTACTCCACCAGCACGTACAGGGGCCCTGCGGGGCGCGCGCCTCAGCGGGGGCGAGCGGGGGCGCCCCCACCTGCCCAGGCCCCGCCCCTCAGCCCCGCCCAGGCCTAGGCCCCGCCCCTCAGCCCCGCCCAGCCCTAGGCCCCGCCCCCTCAGCCCACCGCCCCGCTCGTAGGCCACGCCCACTGTCCAAGCAGAGCCCCGCCCTGCCCGACCCAGCCCCGCCCGTCACCCGCAGGGCACGCCCACTCACCCCCGCCCTGCTCGGAGGCCCCGCCCCGCCCCGGGCCCCGCCCCGCCCACACCCACCGCCCTGCGTGCAGGCCCCCAGCAGGTTGATGATGTTCTTGTGCTTGCCGATCATCTTCATCATCTCCATCTCCGACACCAGGTCCGACAGGTCCTTGTCAGTGGCGTCGTCTGCGCAGCGGTGTGGCGGTCAGGCCAGTGTCCACCGCGCAGCCCGAAGCCCCCACCGCGGCCCGGCGCTCACCTTTCAGCATCTTCACCGCCACGGTGACGGGCCTGGCCGCCCGGTCCTTGTCAATGCCAACCGCCTCCGCCATGACCACCTGGCCGAAGCAGCCCTCCCCAAGGGGCTTGCCCAGGGTCAGCCTGGCAACGGGCAAGGGCAGCGTCACAGGCAGCGGGGCCAGAGACCAGCTTGTGGCAAGTCGCTCGCTCCCGCCCTGCCGGCCTCGCCCCAGCGGCCCCCAAGGGCCGGTCCAGCGTGGTGCCCACCCAGTGCTCCACCGGGGCCCCCCCAACATGCCCAGCCCCTTCCACACTGACCGGGCCCGGGACAGCTCCCACTTGGGGTCGGCAGGCAGCTCCAGCTCTGAGACATTGGCCAGCGCAGGGCCCTCCCCCGAGGACAGGCGGGCGACGCGCACCAGGGGGGTGTTGGAGTTCATGGACGAGTCGGACTCCAGGGACACCTGCTTGGGGCGCAGGGGCAGGTCGGGGCTGCACTCCAGGCCGGGCACCCCGGGGGTACCCCAGATCCACACAGCGACCTCATAAACAAGGCCAGGCCCTCCAGCCGGCTGCCGTCCCGGGGCAGGGGCCTCAGTACCGTGGTGCCCATGGGAGCCGGCACAGCGCGGCGCGGGGATCTGCTGTTACCTGTCGCTTGAGCGGGAAGCGGGAGACTCTGTGCACCGCGGGCGAGCCCAGGCCCTTCTTGGGCGGCCTGTGCAGGCGGCAGAGCACCACGGCAGCCACCACCAGGACGAAGAGGAGGAAGCCGGCCCCGTAGCTGAGGACGCCCGCGTACACGCCACCGGCCTCTCCCGCCTCCACCAGCTCCTCCTCGGCTGCAAAGACACGGGCGTCGGGGCCTGGCCAGCTCACAGGCACCCCCGGCGGGAGCCGGAGGCACAGTGGGGGCAGGCGGGGCCACACCCCGGCCGGTGGGGCGGTGAGGCCCCGAGGCCCACACATCAGGGCCCTGCAGTTGGAAGCGCCGAGTCAGAGGCAGGCCCAAGAGAGAAGGAGCCCAGCGGGCCAGCAGCACCTCACCCCGCCACCCAGGGAGACGCCAACGCCGCCGCCTGGGCTGTGGCCTCGGGGCCCATGGGAGCCCCGCGCAGGGAGGCTCTGGCCCTCCTATCCCCGGCGGCGTTGGTGTGTCCCGAGCCAGCAGCCCAGGCGCAGCGGAGCAGCAGCAGGACCGGTACCTGGGAGCACCACCAGCCACGCAGAGTGATGGGAAAACCCGATAGAATTGCCCGCCAGACACGTGTACTCCCCCGCATCCTCAAAGGTGACATTGCGCAAGGACAGAACCTCTAGCTCCTTGTCGGTGGTGTTAGCGCCCGCCGTCTACAAAGAGAGAACAGAGCACGATAGGCACGCGCCAGCACCCATGGGCACCAAGCCAGTCCACTCGGCGACGGTCCAGCCGGACTGCAAGGAAAACGCCGCTGCCGCCACCACCGCCATGGCCGGGCCGCGTCCTCCGCCTGTGCGTCCACACCGAGCCGAAGCCGTCCCTCCACCGGCGAGTCCTCTGTCCCAGGTGAGTGCCAGGCGCGCGGCCGTGCAGACGCGCATGCGGGGTTAGCGCGACGCCGGGCGGGCAGCAGGCAGACAGGCGGGGGCAGAGTGGCAGGGCGCCAGAGAGGCGGCGGTGGGCGCGGGCGTGGAGGGCAGGTGCGCAGGCCGGGCTGGGGAGGGCGGGTCGGCAGGGCCGGGGCCCAAGCAGGCGGTCACAGCGGAGGCCAGAGGGGCTGGCGGTGCAGAGTGGCCGCGTCCGGGCGCGGGCTGGGGTGGGAGCGAGCAGGGGCGTGCAGGCGGGCGCTGGCCAGGGTGTCGGAGCTGCAGCTCTGCGTGCCAGGCAGGCGTGGGACAGAGTCGTTACCTGCTCGGGGCTCGTGCACACGCAGCCAAAAGGCCTTCTCAGCCACGCCTATGAAATTGGTGGCTCGACAGAGGTACTCGCCCCCGTCGCGCTCGGACACATTGGCCAGGCGGAGGCGCGCGTCAGCCTCCACACTCTCACTGATCCAGGACTGCGGGGACAAGAGACCGGGCTCAGGCGCCCGTGGCAGCCGCCCACCATGGACGAGGCCCAGCTCAGGCGGGAGCGGAGGGCCGCCGGCGGAGGGCCGCCGGGCGCACGGTGGTGGCTGTGGCTCGGCGGGCGGGACCCTGTGTCCGGCCGCCGCGGGCTCCCCCAGAGAGGCCCCGCCTGCCGGGCCGGGCCGGGCCGGGCCGGCCAGCCTGGGCCCTGCTCACCCTGGGTGCTCCCACACGGGCGGAGCAGCCGGGGCCCTGGCCTCTGGGCTGGCCTGGCCCGCACTCAGCCCCGGGCCTGCTCCCGCCCCGGCCGGCTCGGCTCTAAACAGATGTTTCTCTTTGTTCCGTAACCAGTGTTGCAAGAGCCCAGGCGGCCCCCACCCGTGCCGCGGGAACCCCGCCGCTGTCCTGGCCCTGAGGGTGGAGGAGGCAGGCGGGGTGGCCGCCACCCTGCCCTGGGCCCCTGGGGGGGCTGGCTGCCCCGGTGGTCCTGGGCCCTGGAGGTAGAGCCCACCCCAGAGAGTCTTCTGCCCCCTCCAGGGCCAAAGTGGCCCCTCGCGCAGGCACGCCGCAGACTTGAGCGCCGTCTGGGCCACCCCCTCTGCCCACGGGACCATCCCCAAGGCCACTTTCTCCCCTAAGCGGTCCAAGCCGCCCAGCCCCCTCCTATTACCCCAAGGGCTGCCCTCCCGGTCTGGGCGCCCAGGGGCCCGCAGCAGCACCCACCTTGAGCACCGTGACGTACGGGGTGCCGTCGGGCCCCACCTTGCTGCCGTTCACCTCCACATGCTTCAGCCACTGGATGTGGGGCTGCGCGTCGCTGTACACCTTGCACTGGAACTCCACGTCGCTGCCCAGCACCGCCGTCTGGTTGGCCGGCAGCCCCGCCTGCAGGATGGGCCGGTGCGGGGAGCGCTCTGCGGGGCAGGCGGACTCAGTGGCTGGACGCAGCCTCCCGCCCGCCGCCGCCCGCCGCCCGCCGCCGGGCCTCACCCAGCACGTCCAGCATGTAGGTCTGCTGGATGCTGCCGAACTTGTTCTCCACGATGCACGTGTAGTTGCCGCGGTCCGAGGGCACCACGCTCTCCATGACCAGGCTCCACTGCTGGTGCCGCAGCTGCAGGGCAGGCAGGCGGGGGTGAGCTCGCAGACCCTGGACCCCGCGACCCCCCGCCCGGGTCCGGACCCCACAGCACCCCAGCCCTGTGCCCGACGCCGCGGCCACCCACCGCCCCACCTTGATGCCCCCGATGCGGTGCTCGCCCCGGAACTCCTTGCCGTTCTTCAGCCAGGAGATGGACGGGGTGGGGTTGCCGGCGGCCGGGCAGCGGAAGCGCACGGTGTTGGCGGCCGGCACAGCCAGCAGCTTCTTGTCCATCCGCTCAGGCCGCGTCCAGAAAGGGGCCCCTGATGGCCAAGGGACTGGTGAAGACCATGATCGCCTGAGCTCCCCACTGTGCCCAGCCTCCCCACTGTGCCCACTGTGCCTCAGTTTCCCCTTGGGGTGCGGAAACTGGTTTTCGAGGCTCCCCGCCTGCTGCATTGTCAGGACTTGGCCCCTCCAGGGTGAGTAAGTCCAGGTGGGCACCCACCCCGGGGCACAGATGGGGCAGGCCTGGCCAGCAGAGGCAGAGGCCCCCTGCCCAGCTGGCCCAGCCCACCAAGTGGACAGTGGCGCGGTGAGGGGCGGGGGGGGTGTTGCTCGGGAAGTGCCCTGGAGTGGCTGAGACCCTGCGCTGCCACCATGGCCTGACAGGTGTGGGGGCGGGGTGCCCCACCTGTCTTCCAGGCTGCCCCACCCCCCATGGCCAGACTGGTTTTTCTCCTCCTTTGGGGAGGCTGCAGGGGCCCCCCGGGCAGCCCCTCCCTGTGGGCAGCCCCTCCCTGTGACCTCGCTGCTCCAGACGCTGCCTGTAGGAGCCCAGGTGGACAGTATAGGCAGACGCCTCCCAGGTGGAGACCCAGGTGACCGGAGAGTCCAGCAGGCTGTGCCCAGGGACGAGACCAACGGCTCAGCGCCTGGACCGTGCCCTCAGGGAGGCTGAGGTTGTGGCCCTCAGACCGGAGTCTCAGGGCAGGAACCCCAGCAGCCTGCACCCGCGGGGGGCCCCGAGTACTGGGCCAGAACTTGGCCGAGCTTCCTGGAAGCCAAAGGGCAAAGGGACGACGGGCCCCCAGCCCGGCCCTGGAGCCACCCCGGCAGAGCCTCACGCCGTGCTGGCTCGCTCCCTGGGGCCTGCCCCCACCCCCCTACACATCTAGCCTCTGAAGCCCCCAAACCCTATACCCACCTCCTCCCTCACCCTCCCACAAGGCTGGGCAAGGCTGCCGCCTGCTCCACCCTAGCCCCGCCCCCGCTGCGGTCTCCCCACCAGCACCCTCCCGCCCGCTGGCACCCCCACCGCAGAGGGGCTCACCTGCGTCTTCCGTCTCGTCCTCTCCATCTTCGTCGTCTCCCGAGGACGGGGCCTCTGCCGGGCAAGGGGTAGGTCGGCCCAGGTCGTGTCCCAGCCGCTCCCCCTCCCACTGACCCCCGGGGGGGGGCGCCACCCACCTGCCACCCGCACGCGGAAGCGGCACAGGGCACGCTGGGTGAGCCGCTGCCGGCAGCTGTAGGCCCCGGCGTCCTCCTGGGAGGCATTGAGCACCTGCAGCTGCTGCGACCCCACCAGGACGCGGGCCGAGGGCACCAGCCCCGCCCCGTCCTTGACCCAGATGGTGGGTCCTACAGGGACGCCTGCCGGCACGGGGCAGCTCAGCCGCACGGTGTCACCGCTGCCAAAGACCAGCTGCTCCTGGATGCCCGGCTCCGGCCCCGAGGCCTCTGCGGAGAGGGGCATGTGAGGGGCCACCCTGGGCTGCGTGGCCACTGGGTCTGCTGTCCAAGGGGTCACGGGCTTGTCCCCCTGCACTGAGCTTGCTGCCCTACACCCGGGGCCAGCAGTGGCCCAGAGGCCGCCCACCCGAGAGGCCTGGCCCTCAGCCCGGCCCCGCACGGAGTGCCCCGTCCCTGACCTGGGAGGTTCGGTCAGCCTTGGGCTAAGTCTGAGGACACACGGCCAGGGGCTTAGAGCCAGAGGGGGAGCACCGGGTCTGGTCAGCGGGCCTCACAGGCCAGTGGGCGGGGGCCAGGACCCCCAGGACATAGGCAAGGGAGGGTCTTGGCCCTGCAGGTGCTAAAGCTAGATCCAGGCTGGGAGCTGCTGCCCAGAGGCTGCCCAGCTCCCAAGGGGCCAGTAAGGCCCAGAGGCCCAGTGCCGCACTGCCGGCCCTCACCGGGCCTCGCCAGGCCAGACAATGTGCAGCGCGGGAGGGCAGCCTGGGCTTGGGGCCCAGGGAAAGGGTGGGTGGTCCCACCGGGCAGCCTCCCTCCCCAGGCCCAGCTGGGTCAGTTGTGCCGATACTTGTCATTCTGGCCGACACACGGCCTAGATTCGAGGGCCCAGCTGCCCGCTCTAGCCACGCCAGCCCCTGGCCCCCCAGACAGGTTCCACCCCCACTCTCAGTGTCCTCACAACCCCCTGCTTGTCCCCATGGTGTCCAAAGAGTCTGCACCCCTGGAGTCCCCAGTCAGGAGGTCCTGGGCCCCAGGCCTGGCGGCTGTGTCCCGCGGGGACCACCAGGGTCAGGCGTTGACCAAGGCCCCCAGAAGGCCAGAAGCAGGCCAGTGGGGTGACCTCAGGCCAGGCGCTGGCCCGAGGGCAGAGTGTGGGTCCGGCTGGCCTGGGCGGGCTGCAGGTCAAGCTGTCCCCACAGCGCTCATTTCAGTTCAGAGGAGCCTGGAGGAAAACCGGCCACTCCACAGGTGTGGGGGGATGGGGCCAAGGGCTCCCCCACCTGCCCTGCCAGGTGCCCTGCGACCCCACCCCGGGGCTGAGAAGGGCAGCGCCCACACCTGAGCCTGGGACCAATGGCAGGAGGTGGGGCCCAGAGGGACAGGCCCAGAGCAGCCCGAAGAGCCAGGGTCTGACTGTGCTGGAGGCAGCGGGGACTTGCCAGCCAGCCCCCCCATGCCGTGGGCTCTCAGCACCCCCTTCAGGGTCCCTAACCCTGTCCCCCTGATCACAGCGCTAGGGCAGCGGCAGCTCTTGGTGGTCCCTCAGCCCCCAGGCCCACTCCAGCACAGGGCGCCCCAGGCCAGCTCCGGGACGCTGGTCTCCTCGCCAGCAGCCCTCGGCCTCAGTCCCCCCGTGCGGCTGAGGGCCCCAGGTCCGCGCCGCAGCCAGAGTGCTGAAGCCTGTGAAAGCAGGGCCAGACCCCCACCCGGCCACTGCCAGGACTGACGTCCACCAGGTTGCGGGCAGTGCTGGGCAGGCCACACCCCGCTGGTTTGGGGTCACTGTGGGGTGGCCCACCAGCGTGCAGGGGGGTGCTCCATCAGAAGGGCCTCGGTGGCCCCACTCGGACCTGAGAGGCCCTGGGGGGCTGCGCGGGGCAGGGCTGGGCTCAGGGACAAGGCCAGGTGTGCCCGAGACAGGAGGGCACCTGCAAAGGGCCAGCCGAGAGGGGAGGCCGGTCTCCCTGCCTCCCACCAGGAAACATTCTGAAAAGTTTCGTAACAGGAAAAAAAAGGGATCCGGAGGCCCTAATGAGGGCTTAGGGACGTCCGCCCCGCCCAGCCGGCCAGCCCAGCCCCAGCCCCAGGAGCCCTCCGGACAGGTGGGGGCCGCGGGGCAGCCCTGCCAGGTGGTGCCGGGAGGCTCCGCTCCGCTTTCACGTGTAAATGGCCCGTCCCCGTCTCCCCCAAGGCCCGTCTGGGCTCCTGCCTGGGGTGACCCTCCCTCCTCCCCAGTCCAGCCATAGCCGGGCTTTGGCAGGGCCCCCAGCAGCTCGGGCGGGGGCTGGGCCGCCCGCCGGGTTAATGAACCACCCGGCGCCGGCCGCGCGCAAAGTCCGCGGGGCGGGGCGGGGCGCCTCTGCCTGCGGGAGCCCGCCCCGGCCCTCCTGGCTGGCTGGGGGGCATGAGGCCGGGGCAGGGCCCCCCACGCTGGGGGCGGGCCGGGGCCTCTCGGGGAGCGCCCCGGGTCGGGGACAGGCGGCGCGCGGCCCCGGGCGGCCCCGGGTGTCCGGGCAGGCGGGCGGCCCCCGCGGCCCCGCGGCCCTTGACCTCGGCCCTCGCCCCGCCACGGCGTCCCGGGAAGGCGCGGGGGCTCTGGAAGCCTCACCCGGCCGCGGTGCTTTACTGCGGCGCGTCCGCTAAGGAGCCGGATTCGGTTTACGGAGCTGTCAGCTCCCGCCGCCCGCCCGGCCCCGCGGCTCGGGACCCTCCCGGGCGGGCCCCTGCGGGCCGCCCCGGCGCCCTGGACGCGGCCGCGACGGCTCGGGGCGCGCCGACCCCCGGCGGCCGGTCACGCCGCGGCCGACACGCGCGCCCAGGGGCAGGGCCAGGGCCACGGGGCGCGCAGCCCCGGCGGGCGGCCGGGCGCGGGGAGGGGCGCCGCCATCTGCCCCGGCCGCCGGCCCGCGCCCGCCTCGCGCCTCCCGGGCCGCCATCCATGCGCGGTCTGTGGCCGCCGGGTACAAAGGAGCGGCTGTTCGGCCCCGCCGGGTGGGGCTGCGCGCCCCGGGCGAGGCCGCCCTCCGCGCCGCCGCCGCCGGGTCCGGGGCGCGCCCCGAGGGGCCGGTCTCGGGGCGGGGTCCCCCCGCGCTGCCCCCCGGGCCGCCCCCCGCGTGGTGGCGCCGCGCCCAGGGCGCTCGCGGCCCCTCGACGCGCGCGGGTCATCCCCCTCCCGCGTCCAGCCGGCTCGGAGCCCCCGGGCGGCGACAGCTCGGGGCGCCAGACACGGGGGGCGGGCGAGGCCCTGGGGCCGGGGGTGGGGGCCGGCGGGCGCCCGCCCCGTCCACCGAAGCGCGGCCAGTCGCTCTGCCGAGGCCGGCCGGGATCCGGGGCCGGCGGGAGGGGCTGGCGGCGGCGCCGGCAACAGGAGCTGCCCGTCGGGCAGGGCGCGGGGCGCGGGGCTGAGGCGCGGCCCGCGCTCGGGGGTTCCCGGGCGGCCGGCGCCCCTGGGGCCGGGCGAGGCTGCGGCGCCGCCGTGGTGCCCGCCCCGCCGCAGCCGCGCACTCGGGAGGCGGCCCCGCGGCCCCGGCCCCAGACGGCGCGCCAGCCCCGGCCTCGGAGCGGGGGGCGGCGTCGGGCCCGCGGCGGCCGCCCCGGGCGCCCCCACCCCCCGCCCGGCGCCCTCCCGGCCCGCAGCCCCGCCGCCGGGGCCGGGCTCCCCGCGCCGCGCCCCTCTCACCTGCCGCTCTCCGCGCGACGCGCTGCTCCGCGGCGCCGGCCACGACGGCCGCGGCCACGCACACGGCGAGGGCCCAGGCCGGGGCGCCCATGGCGGGCCGGGGACGGCGTCCTCAGGCGGCGCGCGCGGGCTCGCTGCGCCCCATGGCCCGGCGCCGGCACCGGCGGGAGGACGGCGCCCCCGGGGTCTGCGGGGGCGGGAGGGGCGGTCAGCCCGGGGCCCGCGCCCGCCCGGCCCCCGCCCGCCGCCGCCCGGGGCCCCGGCGCCGGCCGCCCCTCCCGCCGGCCCTCGCGGCGCGGCCGAGCCTCCGGGGCGGGAAGCCGGCGCCCGGCGATCCGCCGGCGGGGACCCTCGGGGCCGGCCCCCGCGCCCCGCGCCCCGCGCCCCGCGCCCCGCGCCGCGCCCCGACCTGGCGGCCGCCGACGCCGACTCGCTGCGCGCGGCTCCCGCTCCGCTGGCGGCCCCGCCGGCCCCGCGCCCGCCGCCCGCCGCCGCCCGCCGGCCCCGCGCCCGCCGCCCGCCGCCGCCAGCGCGCACTGAGCCCCCGGCCGGCGCGCGGCTCCAGAGGGGCCGGCCCGCGCGCGCCCCGCCCCCGCCACGCCCGCCGCCCGGCCGCGCCTCCTCCCGGGCGGGGCCGGCGGGGGCGCCGGGCGGTCTCGGAGGGCGTGGGAGCGGGCGCGGCGCGGGACCCCGGCTCGGCGGCCGGCCCGGCGCCCCGAGGGGCCCAGGCGCGGGACGCGGCCCGAGCGGGGCGCCGAGGGAGGCCGCGCCCGAGCGGGGACCGCGCCAGCCCGCCGAGCGCGCGGGGGTCCCCCGGCCGCCGGCCGAGGGGCGGCCCCTGGGGGCGCGCGCCTGGCCCGGGTCTGAAGTCCTCGTACCCGCACCCCAGAAGCGGCGCCCTCGGAGCCGTGTGGCGCCGCCCCAGCCCCCCACCCGCGGCATCGGACAGCGGGTGCCTCCGGGCGTCAGAATGGGGCCGCCCTGAGAGAGGACGGCTTAGGGGGCTCCCGGCCCGCCCCAGCTGGCCCCAGGTGCCAGGCCCGGGGCACTGAGAAGGGCACAGGCGGAGCCTGGGGAGACCCACCCGGCCCCCATGTGACTGCCCTGCCCGGCCTGCCTGCTCTCCAGAGGGCTCCTCTCCCCTGCGCGGTCCCGGGCCCTACCCAGGGGAGGGGGCGGTGGGGCATCCTGGGGCCTCTGGGCTCTTCACCCAGCGCCTCTGCCCTCCTGGCCGGCGGCTGCTGGGACTCACTGTGCTCACGGACAGGGGCAGTGGGTGGCCTGTGGGCAGCTGCCCCCTCCGGTGTGCGCAGCAGAGGCCGGTGCGCGGACATGCCGGCCTCCAGGCCAGACTCCAGGGCCCTGGAGGGACCCCGCAGGGCACCCTCCGCCACCGCCCGTGAGTGCCTGTGGTGCGCCCCCTGCGCCCCCCGCGCCCACTCAGGGCCACTCACCCACTGCCAGTTGCCTCACCAGTAGGTGCTTAACTTGCCGGGTTCCCCTTTTCGTGGGAGACCCGCTGCCTTGGTGAGAAGGTGCTGGAGGGGCCTGGCCATCGCTCCAGGGTGACTTCCTGGGGGCCCTCTGGGCCCAGGCAGGGTCTG